TTTTATTTTAAAATTCATTGTTTTGCAACAAAAATAATAAGTATTTATTATTCTCTGACACAACAAAAATGTTTATTTTAAGAAATTTTATAGTTACTTTCAAGATAGTGGGTATATGTGTATTTAAAATTTTAAACCATTTTAATATCTTAAAAGTGACGGTAAAACCATCTTAAAAATAGACACTTGTTTAACGATGTGGTTTTTTTTATTTTAAATAAGTTTCTTTTTTATTTTTCACAACGTCTTGGTCGTTTAACTTTATTGTACTTTAAAGGAAGAGTATTTTTATTTATTGGATTTCTTTTTTGTTAACGAAATTGCTTTTAAAAGTTAAACGAAATATTTTACAGCTCCTTCTTTGTCAACTATTTTTTGTTATCTTTAACAATCCATTGTTTTGCATATCAAAAATATCAGCATTGAAGCGTAAAAATTTACAGTATATGTACCGTTTGTAACATTACGTTGCAATAAAGCATGTAAAATTAAAACATGTAATTGAAGGTTACTACGGCAATTTGTAATATTGTTTCGTGACTTTTAAAATCAACGGATTTTAGTTTTTTGTCTTTTTATATTGTATATAATATATTATACGACCTAGAGTGTTTTATTTCTCTTTTTAAGTACAAGGCTCAAGTATTGTATTTTCTTCCGATTCATCTTCATTTCTATTCTTTTATAAAGTAAATATTCTCAATTTTTAGCACCACTTAAATTTGAATTTCAATTGTAATTCAAAATTATTTCAAGCTAATTGTTAATATTATTGAAAAAATCTTTGACAAAAGTAAATCAACTTTCAAATAGCCAAATAAAAAAAATATAATTAAAATAAAAAAAAATAATACAAGATTATTTAAAGTATTTAAACATTTAACAATGAAATACAAAAAGTATTAAATAATCACAAAAAATTACATCAAAATGATAATTAATTATTTAAATTAGCATCAAAAATAATTCTTATCTTATTTATTTCACCAATTATTTATCAATTTTTGGAAAAAAAAATTATTCCATTGTATTTTTATATCTAGTAAATAAAGAAAAAGAACGTAAAAGATAACTTCTTAAACATATGATTGAAAGTCTTGACAAATTTTCTTATCGTTTATAATGAAGACTAAAAACAAATTACTTTTTTTGTGTTTAATGTTCACACTTAAGTCGTATATAATTTTATCATTAATCAAATAAAAATGAATCGTAAATATAAAAATAGATAAGATGATCCATTTGTGGTCTTCAAATTAATATTTTTGTTTTTAATACATTAACACGCTGATTAAGAAACTTTACTATTAAAAATATTTTCTTTTTAATTAGTTCTAATTACCATTATCTTGATTTTCTCAATACCAGTTATATATATTTATATAAAATTAAAATTCAGTAAAATAAAATCAATTTTCACTTTAGAAACTCAAAATTAAAGATAAAAAAAATTTTGAAATTGATCATGAAACCGTGAATTTATATGATACACTTTCTAAACATAAATGACATCATTTTGTCAAAAACAAAAAAGAAAAAGAAGAACTAAAAGAGGAACTAAAAATTGAAATCCACTACTTATTTTTCGTACAACACAATTGCTTTCAATGTTAAGGTTCTTTAAAGAGATGACTAATGAATTTTAATGATCGCAAAAATTCTATGACAATCTAACGACAGTAACATTATATACATGTAAAACATAAATATGTACAAGACAAACAGAAAAATTTGTGGAAAAAATTAAAAACAGATTTTTGTTTAATAATCTCAGGCTTCGCTTGGCCGATCAAGAAAAATAGTTAATAACCAAGGTCAACTAATTTTCAATTCAAAAAATTTGCAAATATTACAAATTATTCAATAAATATCTTTATATGAATTTTTCATAAATCTAACGTAACCGAAAATGATACTTTCACATATCATTAAATTTTCCCTAACAATATTTATTTCTCCAATCTACTAAATTTTTGAATCAATATAACTAAAGGGCTAATTAAAAACCTATCTTCATTTCTCATAATGATAAAATTTTATTCTCTCCATTTTCCCTAAAATAAAGATCACAATGAAAATTCATTTCTGAATATGAAGGACAATAGAAAAGCTCTATAGGAGAAAGGGAACTTTAATGACCCTGGCAATTTATTGTAACTGAGAAGTAAAATCGCAATGAACGCAATATTAAATTACCAATTCGTCATTCGCTTTATACAAAGTACTTTTATACAGAATTTTCTTAACTTTTATTGATATCAAGACACATCTATCAAGATATATAAAATCATGTTGTGATCTAAATTTAGACTTCCTTATTGTCCATAAATTTAATAGAAATTAATGCACATGACAATATTATCAAGTGACCTCGACTTTAGTTTTCATATATGATAAAATAATTCCTTCTCATTTGCATTTTTATAGCATTTCTTTTAAATTATATTATTTCATTTTACAGTCGCATAAAACAACAAAGAGTTACTTCTTATCTTGAAAATCAAGATCGATTTGAAAATGTGTAGATAAAACAAATTGTTTAAACAAAGTTCAATGAACCTGTGTTGTTGTTTTTTATCTACAAGTCTAGTTCTAAGTAGAAAAAAGAAATTTACTTCTTCAGGGTTGCCACGCAACCTGGAAACCTGGAAATGTCAGAGAATTTTATAAACCTTGAAAAAACCTGAAAAAGTCAGGGAATTTTGTTCAAAATCCTGGAAAACTGTTGTTTTCTAATGTTATTGTGTTTATTCTTAAAATCTAATTTCACTTAAATATTTCAAAATTAATTCAATTTTAAAAGAATTGCGTTTACAATTTTCAAAAGTAGATGAACTTCAAAAGATTTTCATTTAAAATTTTGTAACATTTCAATTTTAAATGAATTTAATTAGAAATATAAAAAAACTTAGATTTAAAAAAAAATTTTTTAAACTAAAATACTTCGTAAATTAGTTAAATTTTTGTATATATATTTAAATGATTATTAATAAATAATGGATTTATAGAAAAATTTTAGTTAAAACACTAAAACCAATTGAATTTTGAAGCAATTAAAAATAATTGCAGAAATTCAATTATTTTCAAAAGTAGTAAAATTCCTCTCAGAAATTCAATTATTTTCAAAAATTTCGATAAAATTCTTGGCAAAATTTTAATTATTTTCAAAAACATTCTTCAATTTAATGATTCTTAATATCTACTACTTTAATAAAAATTCCTAAAAGAATTCAATTAGTTAAAAAAAAATTTAATAAAATTCTACGCACATTTAATTATTTTCATAAATAATAAAAATTCCACAGGAATTCAAAATCTACTGATTTAAAGTAGAATTTTAGTTAAAAATACTAAAAGAATGGAATATTTGAGAAGTTACAAATGATTGCAGAAATTAAATTATTTTCAAAAGTAATAAAAATTCTTCTCTGAAATTCAATTATTTTTAAAAGTAATAAAAATTCTCCTCTGAAATTCAATTATTTTCAAAAGTAATAAAAATTCTTCTCTGAAATTCAATTATTTTCCAAAATTTTCCTCAATTCAATCATTTTCAATATCTACTATTTTAGTAACATTTTCTAAAGGAATTCAATTATTTAAAAAAAATTTTTGATAAAATTCTACGCAAACATTTCATTATTTTCATTCATATATAATAAAAATTTCACAGGACTTCAATTATTTTCATAAATAATAAAACTCAATGCTAAATTTCAATTACTTTTTATAAAATTTGAATGGAATTCCTTAAGAAATGTAATTATTCTCAAAAATTTTATTTAAATTTATCAAAGAAATTCAATTATTTTAAAAACCTTTGCTACAATTTATTTATTAGAATTTAAGTATTATTTTCAATACATTTTTAATTAAATTTCTTTAAAGAATTAAATTATTTTCAAAAATTTTAATGAAATTCTTTGGGTAACAATTCAATTTTTTTCAAAATAATTTTAATAAAATTCTTCGTAGAAATCCAATTTTGTTTCAAAATTTACAAAAATTCTCGTCAAAATTTCAATTATCTTTATAAATAATCAAATTTTTCTTCGAAATTCAATTATTTTTAAAAATTGTAATAAAATTCTTGGCAGGATTTTAATTATTTTTAATACAATTTTCATCTTTCTCGAAAAATGCAATTATTCTCAAAAATTTTATTAAAATTTGTCAAACAAATTCAATTATTTAAAAATTCGTTGATAAAATTCTTTATGAAAATTTAATTTTAAGAAACATTCAATTTTTTAATAAAATATTTATTTTTATTGTTAAATAATTGAATTCTCGTAGAATTTTCTAATAAATATTGATTTAAAAATGAATTTTAAATTAAAATGTTTGAAAATTTGAACTTTTCAAACATTTAATTAAGACTTCTATAGAATTAATTTTTCTCAATAAGTTTAATGGATTTTTTTTTAATTATTTGAAGTTTTTAATTCCTAATATATTTAATTGAAGAATATCAGAATAATCGAAATTTCGTAAAATTAAATTGTAAACAAAAGAATTTGAAAATTCACAAAGAACTTTTTCAAGAATTATTTTAAAAAATTGACTTAAAGAAGAATTTTAGTTGAAAATTCTAGAAATGAATAATCGTAATGATGAAAATAATTTTTGAAGAAGTTACAGTAAAAAAGTAGCAAGTTTTAATTATTATAAAACAAAAAGAAAGCGATGACTTCGAGTCGAAGACTCGGAGTGATCGATATCTTCGTGTTTTGTAATAATATTCTTACATTTTATTGAATTTCAAATATTTTGAATATGTTAATTTCTACAAAAAAAGTAATGATTAAATATATATTTAAAAATGAAGTTATTCATGTTTTCGAATAATTTTCGTTTTAAAAACCTGGAAAAATTCCGTTTTTAAACTTGTAAAACAAAGAAAAGTCAGGGAATTTGAAAAGAGCAAAAGCATAGCAACCCTGTTTCTATTTTTTTTTTTTTTTTAATAAAAACACTCGATTTGTTGTTTGTTAATACAGAAGGACGACACAAGTTTACTAGCTCAATTCTTTTATGCTGACGAATCCTTAAACGCAGTAGCCTGTGAACTAGATTCTTTCGATGGTCGCCAAGAACCAGAAAGATGTACATCTTTGGTCAATCAACTTCGTCATTGTCAAGACAAGGTCTTAACTATATGCAATCAAATTATGGATGACTTAATTCCAGACAATAGAGCCAACAGAGATTTTCGAGTTAAATTTCCCGACGACGTGATGCAGGAAAATTTAGCCGGCCAACTTTGGTTTGGAGCTGAATGTTTGGCAGCAGGTTCGTCAATTATGAATCGAGAAGCCGAAAGTTCTGCAATGAGACCCCTCGCTAAAGCTCTAACAAAATCATTGGAAAATGTTCGAAATCTCCTTCGAGAACATGCACTAAAAGGACATATAAATTTAAAGGTAATTCAATTTTTGTTTTCTATTTCTTTAATATTGATGAAAATTAAAGAAAATGTTCACAAACAATAGAAAATAAAAAAAAAGTAAAATTACACTTTTGAATATTTTTTCACGCATCTGCTAATCATTGTTATTTGATTACAGATTCAAAATCCACTGGAGCCATCGATCGAAAAATTAATCGAGTCTCTGAAAATTTTCGACCGACTCTTCGCTGACTTTGAATTATGTTATGTCGGCGCCATGGTGCCAGTTAAATCTACAAAGGAGTACGAACAACAGGAACTTGTTTGCGTTTTATTTTCGGAAACTTTGCAGAGAGCACTCGAAAGAGGTTTACTAAATCAAGCAGATGTGGACAATTACGAGCCGGCTTTAATGTTCACTATTCCGCGTTTGGCTATTGTCTCTGGTCTATTGGCTCCTCCTGGAGGTCCTCTCTGTCTCAACTCCCCCGACAATATTAGTGAAATGTTCAGACCATTCAAAGTAAGCAATTTTAGTTCACTAACAAAGAGAAAATTATAATAATAATGAAATAATGATAATAATGATAACACTAATAATAATAATAATAATAACAATAATAGTAATAGTAGAAATAATAATTTTAAACAGTAAATAAAAACTGATCATTATTTACAGACTCTTCTTCTAAAAATAAGAGAACTGCTCTGGACCTTAAACAACCGTGAGCTCTACATGTTGGAGAAACTTTTGTGTTCAAATGAAGAGCCATCCGCATCGATGACGCAAACGAATAAAACAACGTGCCAAGACGCTCCTGATCTTGATGAATTCGTCCACAATTTTTACACAGGCTATCCAAATTGCAAGGATTTTATTGTTGACTTTTATACAGTGACGCGAAATAATGGAAGCAATATGGATGAAATAGCAAATGACGCGGTTCAAATAATGGATCAGAGAAATGGACACATCGATTTGTCGGATGTGTGCGAGCTAAGCCAAAAAGACAATGATGAAATGAGAATGGAAAAAGTTGTATCTCACGTTAATGAGAATACAAATGAAATAAATCTTGATAATAATTCTCACGAGGCAAATAATATTACAACTACTCGGCAATGTGCCTTGAATCGTGAAACAATGAGAAATACAGAAGACAGTGCACAATTTTTAGTGAACAATGACATTCCATGTAGCGTTAGACAAAATTCCGATAGCAGTTCTTCCAGTAGTCAAGAGAATAACGTTCGTAATGAAAGAGTAGAAAATTATCTCACCTCTAATATGTCACAAATGCTAGGAGATTCGGAGAACCTCGAAATACCTTCACTTCAATATTTATTAAATCAAGTTTCACATGAAAATACCCTAACAGGTAAAGTATCAATTTTCTCGCTATTTAATTAATTTATTCTAACATTTCCATTGTTTAAATTAACATTTTTATTCTCTACTAGATGGAGAGTGTCTCAACGAGATCTCAGAGCATACAGACTCCGGAATTTGTACAGTAATATCCTCAGAGAATACAAGTCTCTATGATAAAAGTCCCGAGGAAAAGAAAATATTTGCCACTAATACCGAGACAAACGAGAATCATAATTTCGACGACGAAGATATCGAGGAAAATACAAGTTACTCTTGCTCTAATCTCAATTCGCCAAAGAGAAAAAATTCCACAATTTCAGAAAACTCCTGTATTTGCAGCTTACGTAATGCAAAGATTGTCGATCATTCCCTAGAAGTATCAAATCTAACAACAAATAACGTTGAATCGAAAAATGGCACAAGAATATCCTCAACATTCGATGGATCAAACGAAGAATTCATCGGCGTTGCCTATGGCAATGGACAAATTTCCGTCTGTGACGGAAATCAACCAAGCTTTCAAATAAACTATTCAGAAAATTGGGAAAACCTAAATATAAATATCGACGCATCATCATCGAGAAAGGAATTTTGGAACGATCTCAAGTGTGAAAATTGTCCATCGACATCGCAGAATATCGAGAAAATTGGCAGTAAAATAGAGAAATTTGCAAATGAGAAAATAATCACAAAACGAGCACGAGAAACGGAGAAGCAAAGGAAACGACATCAACGTAAATATGAAAGAAGTCACAAAAATCACGATGAACATACAAGACAGAGTATATCGTTTAATGTTCAAAGTATTCATTTACCAAGAAGTACTGAGAGTTCTCGTTCGAACTCAATAGATCGTCTTAATCCTAGATTATTGAGTTTAGGTGCCAGCCTTCATCCTAGTCAAAATACAAGGCAAATGCCAAATTTCGGCAGTCGTAGTCCCCATTCAAGTCCCAGACTACAACACTTTGAGACTCGAGTAAATCTCAATTCAGAACAAAGAAACGCTCATTCCCAAAGATTATACCAAAACTCGTCATCACAACACAAAAAATTATTAGATCACAGGTAAAAAAAAGTTTCTATTAAATTTATCTTTAATGTTCTTAAATTTTTAATTTCAAGTCCCTGAAAATTTCTCAACATTCAGACCAAAAATTAAAAATTACGGACCAATTACTAGCAAAAATACAACCAGTCCTAGTCAAATAAGAGAACATTTTACTTAAAACTATAAATTAAATTTTTCATTTTTCATAACTATAAAACATGAAGATATCGATAACTCCGAGTCGAGACTCGGAGTGATCGATTTCTTCATGTTCTATAATAATTAAAGATAACCGAGTCATAAAATAATTATTTTATATTATAAGAATATTATAACTTCTTCAAAATTATTTTCATCATTTCAATTCAATTATTATTTACAACAATTTTTAACTAAATTTCTACTTTAGATCAATTATTTTTAATAATTTTCGAAAAAGTTCTTTGGCAATTTTCAAATCCATTTATTTACAATATTTAATTTCACAAAATTTCAATTATTCCTAAATTCTTCAATTAAATGCATATTACAAAATAAAAACTTCAAATAATATAAAAAAATTCAATTAAACGTTTTAAAAAAAAAAAATTTTCAAAATTCAATTATTTCTAAAAATTCACGCTATATTGCTTTTAATATTCAATTATTATCTAAATTTTTAACTGAAATTAATTTTTAAATCAATTTTTATTAGAAAATTCTACGAGGATTCCATTATTTTAATACAAAAGTAAATAATTTATTGAATAATTGAATGATTCTCAAAACTGAATTCTCATAAAGAATTTTATCACCAAATTTTTAAATAATTAAATTCTTTAGTCGAATTTTATTAAAACTTGTATGAAAATAATTACTTTCTTCAAGGAATTCAATTAAAATTGTATGAAAAATAATTGAAATTCTACGATGAGTTTTAGTATTTTTAGAAATAATTGAAATTTTGTAAAATTGAATTATAGACAAATTAATTTGAAAATTCTCAAAGAACTTTTCCAATATAAAATTTTTTTTTTCGTGTTTTTAACTAAAATTCTTCTATAAATCCATTATTTTTAATAATTTTTAAAAAAGTTCTTTGAAAATTTTCAAATTAATTTGTTTATAATTTAATTTTACAAAATTTTAATTATTCAGAAATTCTTCAATTAAATATATATTAGAAAATAAAAACTTGAAATAATTTTAAAAAAAAATCCAATTAATCTTTTTCAAAAGAATTAATTTTACAGAATTGTTTGTTAAAAATATGAAAAATTCAGAATTTTAATGATTTTAATTAGAAACCTTTTCAAAATTCAATTATTTCTCAAAATCGACGTTATAATGCTTTTAATATTTAATTATAATCTAAAATTTTAACTGAAATTCATTTTTAAAACAATTTTTATTAGTAAATTCTTCGAGAATTCAATTATTTAACAATAAAAATAAATATTTTATTAAAAAATTGAATGTTACATTTTTTCAGGAATTTAATTAAAATTGTATTAAAAATAATTGAAATTTGGCTATGAGTTTTATTATTTAAGAAAATAATTGAATTTCTAAAAAGAATTTTATTATTTACGAAAATAATTAAATCCCTCTAAAAATGTTATTATTTATGAAAATAATTGAATTATTGCGAAGAAATTTATAAAAAATTTGTAAATAATTGAATTCCTGTACAATTTTTTTATTATTTATGAAAATAATTGAATGTTTGCGTAGAATTTTATTCAAATTTTTTTTAATAATGGAATTCTTTTGGAAAATTTTATTAAAATAGTAGATATTGAAAATCATTGAATTTGAGTAAATTTTTGAAAATAATTGAAATTTTACCAAGAATTTGAATAAAATTTTGATATATAATTGAATTTCAGAGAAGAATTTTATTATTTATAAAGATAATTGAAATTTTTATTAGAATTTTTAATATGATTTAAATTTGAAAAATAAATAAATAATTTTCTCCACTTGAACATTAAAAAATTTAAGAACATATTTTAAAACATTAAATTACCACAAACTCCACTAATATTTTACGTTTAATTACAGGAGATCAAGATCGGAAAAATTGGCACGCTTAAAAAGAAAAGAATCAGACAAGAGAGATAGATATGAAAGAATGAGCAGCAAATCGGAGTTCAATAAAAGACGATTAAGTGCAAGGAATTCGAGTGACTTAATGAACGACGGTTTGGGACCAAGAACTGATAAAAGTGGTTTAGTCGTGGAGGCAATTTCTCCAACGGAGTCACGATCGTTTCGGCATGAACGACACAATTCAAAAAGAAATGTCAGACCTGTTATAATTAACACATCAATGGTTTCAAAAGTCCACAGTGCAAATTTTGAACACTCACTAGTGCAGAGAGCAGATTTAGATTCCAGTTCCAGTTACTCGAGTTTCTATGAATCAAGTTCAGAGACTAGCGAATTTCAGAGCGATTGCCAGGATGACGAAGAAATTGCTCTCGCTATGCAAGCTGCCGAAATAGCGAATAGAAATCAAATTCGTGCTAAATTCAGGTAAATAATATTGCAAATAAGAAAAAGAACATACTAATTGTAAATGAATTATTATAATTTACTTTTTTTATAGTTGTATTCTAATTTACTATTTTTGGGAAATAAAAAATGAATTAAATGCAATTTTCAGGTCTTCCGAGGATTTAGTGCACAGATTATTCGTCTGCATCGCAGGTGTTGCTGATCAATTACAAACGAATTTTGCCTCCGATCTTCGAAATATATTAAAATGTGTTTTTCTAATGAACAGCAGTCAAACGAGCGACAGTGATACTAAAGTTGAAGAGGAGGAAGAAGAACAAGTATTAACTCCTATCGAGACCGATAGAAATTTTCCAGAATCGTTTAATACTACTGAAAATAACGAAAATCTACTTCAAGAAACCGCGAACGACCTAATCGAATCAACTCCAATAAATAATAGAAGTAAGTTTAGTTTCAAGAGAAATAAACATTTCCCTTACAGAAATAAATGAAAAAAAATTGCATTTTTTGCAAATTTATTGTTTTTAAACAAAACTTTGTTTATAGTTTCGCCTACGACTGAACGAGGTGAGGAATGTGTGGAGCGGGCTCCAGCGTGGGTGCCAGACAATGATGCCCCAAGGTGCATGGCTTGTCAGGCAGGATTCACGGTCGTTCGTCGACGACATCACTGCAGAAATTGTGGCAAAGTATTTTGTGGCCGTTGCAGCAGCAATAATGTGCCATTGCCACGTTATGGACACACAAAACCAGTGCGAGTGTGTAACAGGTGTTTCCTTTATCAGGTGACGCCATTCACTGTGTCTCAGGTAACGTCTACCAGCTGAAGATTTTCTTTGTGATTATTCATTCTTAAATTACTCTACATTGACTTGTCTGCTTTAATTTAAAAAAAAACATGTTTGCTGTTGAAATGAAGTTTTTGTAAATAGTTACACGGCCTTTTTTTAAATGGGACCATCATTCCTATTGGAGTTTCTTAATTCTAATTGACTCTCTTTTAACATTCACAGAGAGTCAGTCAATTAAAATTTAAATAAAAATAAAAGCGAAATAACATTTCCAACTATCAATATAGAGAACAAAAATTGCGTTTCGACTAGGCAACACTACCAAAAAAAAGCAGTAAAAAAACTATACCTATCAAATTCTGTTTGTCTTGCAAATATTTGTTTTAATAAAAAAAATACTTTTTTTTAAGTAAATAATTAATATACACTTTTTAAAAGCACAGAAAAATAAATGTGTGCTCAACAACCAAAGTTGGTGTACAAAAACAAACATAAAATAGCGATTAATGACATTTCATTTCGTGAAAAACTTGGTAGTCTTATGCTTGTTACATTTTACAAGTCGATTCGCAAACAATTATTTATATTTAACATTGTATTTTTTCTTTCTTGAAGGAAAACCAAGTAATGAAAAAAGTTAATTAAAAAAAGTGATATAAAAAATTAAAATCATGGTTAATGAAAAAAAAACAACGACTTTAACCCAGGTTAAAATTTCACTGAAACAGTTTCTTAATTTTAATGGTAAAAACTATATTACTGAATTATTATCGTTAACTACCAATAATCGAAACTAATATACCGTTTCAATGTACTAATATAGTTCAAAAAGCAATGATAAAAACTATCATTGATAAAAATTAATTTTTTCAAGTTACTATATGAATTAAAATTACCAATAATTCGCCAATGATTAAAAAACTAAAAATTACTCTTTTTAGTTATTTACTCAAAAAAATCAATTTTTTTTGTGTAAAAATAGTTTAAGTAGAAATTGATTTTAAAATTTTTGTATTTTTAATTTTCTTTTAAATCAATATTTTTTAATGAGAATAGTAATTATGCCTACACAACATATAACTGCCTGTACCGGGTATTTTCTAACTTTAAATATCTGTGGTAATTTCTAAAAAAAAATTATTAATTAATAACGCATTGATTTTAATTATTTACTTTTAGAAAATACCCAGTAGTACATGTGCATTTGGATAAAAGATAAAGACTGTTTGAATATAATTGTCAAAATGCGCGATTATTTAAAAAAAAATCATATCGATTTGTAACTTCCATTCTCTTTAAACCATTAATAACAATCTAAACTAAATTCGGAAGAATTGAAGAAATAAAAAATATTTTTTGCTGCCAATTCGTTATATAAAAAAAGAACGTGGCCTACACTTTTTCATAAAAGCTAAAAACTAAACTTCACAATTATAAAATTAATGAATTATGCGTCTATTTCCGCAAGATAATAATTATAACTAAATGATGTAATTAATTATTCATCATACCGCTGTACAAATTAAAAACATATTTACTACACCCAGAAAAAAGATTTTTTTGAATAAAAAGAAATTTGTACATATATACGAGAAAAGAAAAAATTCTTTGATTTAAATAGTTTTTTTGAAATAAAAACTTTAAATCAAAGAAAAATTTTCTTTCAAATTAATAAAAAAATTAACTTCATTTCTTTGCGAAAATTTTTTTCCTGGATGTAAATATATCAGAATAATAAAATAAAGTGTACAGTTTAAATAATCAAGTGTTTTAAAATAGAAGCAAAATAATTATTCACTGCAGTAAATTGTGACTTAATTACAAAAAAAAATGAGTTCATTAGATTTTTTAATTAAAATATATAATTCAAAATAATAATATTCATTCCGTTTAGTTTTAATTGATGAAAATGATTTAAAAAAAGGAGATTTTCTTAAATGTTATATTAACAATTTAATTACTGATTTGTGATATGAATAAAATGACAAAAATATTTAATGTATCCATAATGCGCACGTAATGTAAAAACATTTAGGATAAAACTATTTTTCAATTTTTGAATGTTAATAATAATCTTAAGGTTTTAGAAAAATGTGTCGAAAAAATCGTTCCAATTACTTAAAAATATGTAGTTTAAAATTCGCGAATGTGTGTAATCTTTAAATATCTTTGCTCATAAACTTAAAAATTCACGTGCCGAAAGCAAAGCTTTTTCTCATTATATCGAAAATTAAATAGAAATTTGGTACTTCAAATCTTAAAATGTAAAAAAAAAATTTCGAACATTGTCAAAAAAAAAAAGTTAAATAATATTTATATAATAATACTTGAAAAAGTGTTTGCGAAAATTTAATATCCTATATAAAAAAAATTCCATTACTTTTAACAAGATGCCTTATGTAAAATTTGTTCTTATCAATAAGAAAACATGAGATAAATTCTTGACTGTTGCTTAAATAAAAAAAAAATGGATTGTATGTGTGCTGAAAATATTTTAAATATGAATTTTCAAAATCAACATTTGAAAGTATTTCATTCTCTCTATATACTCGTTATTTTCAGAAAAATATAGCATATCTTTGAAAATTTATTTTCGCTTTTACATTTAAATAGATATAGAATAATTCGGAACTAAAAAAGCATCAATGGAATTAATAATAATATACCAATTATTATAGTCAAATATTTTAAATTAAAAATATATTAGAGCGTATTTACAATTTATTTAACATTGTTTTTATCGAAAGGTGTATGTGTGTATACGTGTGCATTTGTAAATAAATAAATTTTCTTGAAATTACATTAATGTCGATCTTTAGAAAAATATAGGAATATTAATGCATTAATTATAAATTTTAATTAAAACCAATGCATATAATTTTATTTGTCTACTTTATACAAATGTGTAAAAAGTTATGTAATTTCTTTTTTAATTTAAAAATTGTTTTTAATTTAATAAATCGGCATAAATGTGAAAAAAAACCAAGAAAATAATAATAATAATACTATAGTCAAAGTGTAACTGGAAAGACAAGATGTTCGTGATTACTTGATTGTATTGTATAAATTGTTGTGTGAAAAGAAATCGTATCATGAACACATTATACAAATAATATAATCACTGGTTTTGGTCATGAACTTTAATATGATACGAATGTAAATAAAAAATTTGTTATTCAAAACATATTGAATATTATTAATTCACCTAAATCAATCCTTCTTCTTTTGAAACAATGAATGAGTATTTTAAAAAGGTACGATTATCCAAAAACTATATAGTAAGATTTTTCTAAAAGTAGAAAACGAAAAATACGAATAAAAATTTTTTTTAGAGATATTAAAGAATATTCTGTTTAAAACAACAACATGAAGAAGTCGAAAAAACTCTTTAAATTCCACCAAATTTCATAGTAAAGAATTTTTCTAGCAATCAGTTAATATTTAAATATTAATTAATTATATTTCAATGCTGAGAAAAAAATTAAAATTGATGTAACATTAATTTGCACCAAAATGAATTATTCTCTATAACGCATGAATCATTCTCTATATTTTTTCCCAAACTTAATTTTTTTGTCTTTTTAAATTTCGATTTTAAAAAATGAAAACTATTAGGAAGAGGAACTTATAAGAGGGGCACAAAATGTTACCTAAACATAGGAAGAGTGAAATAATAATAAATTAATAAAAAAAGGACTCACCGATAATTGTCCTCCAAGCAATGATAGCAAACTTCAAGAAAGATCACTTCGACTAAGTCATTCATTTTATCCTTCAAAACCTCATCTGGACCAGCTAATGTAGATCCAGGATAGTAAAGGAGGAGGGGGTGGCACTTCTTTTGTATTGTCTTTAATGTCCTTGAAAATTTTTAAGATGTATTTTCTTTTGAACCCCCATGTTTACAACTAGGAGAAATGATGATGTGATGACTTTTGGCATCACTTTTAACTTCTTTCTCTTTTTATTCTTAAAGATCCTTAGGAATTGTCTGAAACAAAAAAAAAAATTATTGAAAATCAGGATTGCCACGCTTTTGCTCTTTTCAAATTCCCTGACTTTTCCAGGTTTTCCAGGTTAAGAAACGGAATTTTTCCACGTTTTTAAAACGAAAATCATTCGAAAACATCAATAACTTCATTTTTAAATAAATATTTAATAATTATTTTTTTATAGAAATTAAGATATTCAAAAATTTGAAATTCAAAAACTTATAAGAATATTATTATAAAAACATGAAGATAACGATCACACCGAGTCTTCGACTCGGAGTGATCGCTTTCTTCATGTTTTATAATAATTAAAACTTGCTACTTTGTTATTGTAACTATTTCAAAAATTATTTTCATCATTACGATTATTCACTTCTAGAATTTTCAACTAAAATTTTTTTTAATAAGTCTTGAAAAAGTTCTTTGTAAATATTCAAATTCTTTTGTTTACAATTTAATTTTACGAAATTTCGATTATTCTGACATTCTTCAATTAAATATATTAAAAATTAAAAACTTCAAATAATTAAAAAAAATCCCATTAAACTTATTGAGAAAAATTAATTCTATAGAATTCTTAATTAAAAGTATAAAAAGTTCAAATCTTCAAAGATTTTAATTTGAAATTCATTTTTAAATCAATATTTATTAGAAAATTCTACAAAAATTCAATTATCTAAATACAAAAATAAATATTAATAAACAATTGAATGTTTCTTAAAATTGAATTCTCATAAAGAATTTTATCAACAAATTTTTAAATAATTGAATTCTCTTGACAAATTTTAATAAAATTTTAAGAATATTTACGCCCTTCGAATTTTTTAGATTCTAAAAACCATACTAAAAGATACAAAAAATTTTTTTTTTTAAATTACTCTAAGAATATATTAAATTATTTAAAAAAATAAATATTAAAAATGTATTAATTATATATGTATTAAAAAAATAATAATATTTATAAAAGATAACTTTCAAAACTGTCTAACAAAATAAAATCAATAACAAGTATCTAAATTATAATTAATGAGGTACCTAATAATAAGTATTTATTTCTTTTCGTCAAATCAAATTAAACTTTATTTCAATTAAATTAAATATTAATTTATAATTATTAATAATTACTAGCCAAACTATCCGCGCGCAAGCGAGCGGGAATGTTGTATGGGGTTGCTTATTTTAAACAATTTAAAAAATTTTAAAGAAATAATTATTATAACCTAACAAAGAGATTTAACTAACTAAAATTCAAATAATTTCACTCAATGGTCTCAATTTAAATAGAATTTACATTACTAGACTTAAACTATGGGTAGAACAATTACAATTAGTATCTGGGTCATCTTTTGCACTGCTTATTTTATAAAGCCATTTTAAATTAAATACTTTTTAAAGAAATAATAATTATTACACACTGAAAAAAGTTTTACTTGAAATAGCGATAAGTTTCTCTAGAATAACGAAAGTATTAATTGAAGCACTAAATAATTTCGCTACTAAAGTGAAATCTGTAGTTCATCCAGCTAAATATTTTTTGCCGTGCATAACGAAAAAAGAATTAAATTAACATCAGATTTTCTACATTCAAAAAAAAACGAATTCAAATAGAAATTAATCATTTTACAACTTAACCAAATTCACCCCAGAAATAACTGAATTCGATAATTTAGAAGAAAGTCAGACAAAAGCAGGGTTCCTACAGAATCTGGAAATCATGAAAATCATGGAAATGGTATGGAATTTTAAAAAGGCTTCTGGAAATCAGGGAAATCATGGAAAAGGCCTGTAATTTTTAAAAAATTCTAAATTTTTTCAGTTTTCCATTTTTTCTCTTGAATAAAAATTCAAATAATAATAAACCTAATGGTATAAAAGAGAAAAAAAATGTTGAATTTAAAGAAATTCAATTTTTCGGATTTTTGATAATTTTTAATAATTTTTTATTTTTTTCCAAAGAGTCGAGACAATTTAATAAGTAAAGTATTTTCCAAAAGCACAAAAATAATGAAGCTAAATCCTATAAAAGAGAGGAAAGAATGTTGAATTTTAAGAAATTCGGATTTTTGAATTTTTGATAAATTTTCGATAATTTCACATTTTTTACCAAAGAGTCAAGACAATTAAATAAGTAAAGTATTTTCCAAAAGCACAAAAATAATGAAGCTAAATCCCATAAAAGAGAGGAAAAAATGTTGAATTTTAAGAAATTCGCATTTTTGAATTTTTGATAATTTTCGATAATTTTAGATTTTTTACCAAAGAGTCGAGACAATTTAATAAGTAAAGTATTTTCCAAAAGCACAAAAATAATGAAGCTAAATCCCATAAAAGAGAAGAAAAAATGTTGAATTTTAAAAAAATCGGAATTTTGAATTTTTTCGAATTCTTGATAATTTTAGATGTTTTACTAAAGAGTCGAACTATTAAATAAGTAAAGTATTTTCCAAAAGCACAAAAATAATGAAGCTAAATCCCATTAAGAAGAGGAAAAAATGTTGAATTTTAAGAAATTCGCATTTTTGAATTTTTGATCATTTTCGATAATTTTAGATTTTTTACTAAAGAGTCGAGACAATTTAATAAGTAAAGTATTTTCCAAAAGCACAAAAATAATGAAGCTAAATCCTATAAAAGAGAGGAAAAAATGTTGAATTTTAAGAAATTCGGATTTTTGAATTTTTTCGAATTTTTGATAATTTTAGATTTTTTACCAAAGAGTCGAGACAATTTAATAAGTAAAGTATTTTCCAAAAGCACCAAAATAATAAAGCTAAATCCCATAAAAGAGAAGACAAAATGTTGAATTTTAAGAAAATTGGATTTTTGAATTTTTGATAATTTTCGATAATTTTACATTTTTTACCAAAGAGTCGAGACAATTTAATAAGTCAAGCATTTTCCAAAAGCACAAAAATAATAAAGCTAAATCCCATAAAAGAGAAGACAAAATGTTGAATTTTAAGAAATTCGGATTTTTGAATTTTTGATAATTTTCGATAATTTAACATTTTTTACCAAAGAGTCGAGACAATTTAATAAGTAAAGTATTTTCCAAAAGCACAAAAATAATGAAGCTAAATCCTATTAAGGAGAGGAAATATTGTTGAATTTTAAGAAATTCGCATTTTTGAATTTTTGATAATTTTCGATAATTTTAGATTTTTTACCAAAGAGTCGAGACAATTTAATAAGTAAAGTATTTTCTAAAAGCACAAAAATAATGAAGCTAAATCCTATAAAAGAGAGGAAAAAATGTTGAATTTTAAGAAAAACGGATTTTTGAATTTTTTCGAATTTTTGATAATTTTAGATTTTTTACCAAAGAGTCGAGACAATTTAATAAGTAAAGTATTTTCCAAAAGCACCAAAATAATAAAGCTAAATCCCATAAAAGAGAAGACAAAATGTTGAATTTTAAGAAAATCGGATTTTTCAATTTTTTCGAATTTTTGATAATTTTAGATTTTTTACTAAAGAGTCGAGACAATTTAATAAGTAAAGTATTTTCCGAAAGCACAAAAATAATGAAGCTAAATCCTATAAAAGAGAGGAAAAAATGTTGAATTTTAAGAAATTCGGATTTTTGAATTTTTGATAAATTTTCGATAATTTTAGATTTGTTACAAAAGAGTCGAGACAATTTAATAAGTAAAGTATTTTCCAAAAGCACAAAAATAATGAAGCTAAATCCTATAAAAGAGAGGAAAGAATGTTGAATTTTAAGAAATTCGCATCTTTGAATTTTTGATAATTTTCGATAATTTTAGATTTTTTACCAAAGAGTCGAGACAATTTAATAAGTAAAGTATTTTCCAAAAGCACAAAAATAATGAAGCTAAATCCTATAAAAGAGAGGAAAGAATGTTGAATTTTAAGAAATTCGCATCTTTGAATTTTTGATAATTTTCGATAATTTTAGATTTTTTACCAAAGAGTCGAGACAATTTAATAAGTAAAGTATTTTCCAAAAGCACCAAAATAATAAAGCTAAATCCCATAAAAGAGAAGACAAAATGTTGAATTTTAAGAAAATTGGATTTTTGAATTTTTGATAATTTTCGATAATTTTACATTTTTTACCAAAGAGTCGAGACAATTTAATAAGTCAAGCATTTTCCAAAAGCACAAAAATAATAAAGCTAAATCCCATAAAAGAGAAGACAAAATGTTGAATTTTAAGAAATTCGGATTTTTGAATTTTTGATAATTTTCGATAATTTAACATTTTTTACCAAAGAGTCGAGACAATTTAATAAGTAAAGTATTTTCCAAAAGCACAAAAATAATGAAGCTAAATCCTATTAAGGAGAGGAAATATTGTTGAATTTTAAGAAATTCGCATTTTTGAATTTTTGATAATTTTCGATAATTTTAGATTTTTTACCAAAGAGTCGAGACAATTTAATAAGTAAAGTATTTTCTAAAAGCACAAAAATAATGAAGCTAAATCCTATAAAAGAGAGGAAAAAATGTTGAATTTTAAGAAAAACGGATTTTTGAATTTTTTCGAATTTTTGATAATTTTAGATTTTTTACCAAAGAGTCGAGACAATTTAATAAGTAAAGTATTTTCCAAAAGCACCAAAATAATAAAGCTAAATCCCATAAAAGAGAAGACAAAATGTTGAATTTTAAGAAAATCGGATTTTTCAATTTTTTCGAATTTTTGATAATTTTAGATTTTTTACTAAAGAGTCGAGACAATTTAATAAGTAAAGTATTTTCCGAAAGCACAAAAATAATGAAGCTAAATCCTATAAAAGAGAGGAAAAAATGTTGAATTTTAAGAAATTCGGATTTTTGAATTTTTGATAAATTTTCGATAATTTTAGATTTGTTACAAAAGAGTCGAGACAATTTAATAAGTAAAGTATTTTCCAAAAGCACAAAAATAATGAAGCTAAATCCTATAAAAGAGAGGAAAGAATGTTGAATTTTAAGAAATTCGCATCTTTGAATTTTTGATAATTTTCGATAATTTTAGATTTTTTACCAAAGAGTCGAGACAATTTAATAAGTAAAGTATTTTCCAAAAGCACAAAAATAATGAAGCTAAATCCTATAAAAGAGAGGAAAGAATGTTGAATTTTAAGAAATTCGCATCTTTGAATTTTTGATAATTTTCGATAATTTTAGATTTTTTACCAAAGAGTCGAGACAATTTAATAAGTAAAGCATTTTCCAAAAGCACAAAAATAATGAAGCTAAATCCTATAAAAGAGAGGAAAAAATGTTGAATTTTAAGAAATTCGGATGTTTGAATTTTTGATAATTTTCGATAATTTCACATTTTTTAACAAACAGTCGAGACAATTTAATAAGTAAAGCATTTTCCAAAAGCACAAAAATAATGAAGCTAAATCCTATAAAAGAGAGGAAAGAATGTTGAATTTTAAGAAATTCGGATTTTTGAATTTTTTCGAATTTTTGATAATTTTAGATTTTTTACCAAAGAGTCAAGACAATTTAATAAATAAAGTATTTTCCAAAAGCACAAAAATAATGAAGCTAAATCCTATAAAAGAGAGGAAAAAATGTTGAATTTTAAGAAATTCGGATGTTTGAATTTTTGATAATTTTCGATAATTTCACATTTTTTACCAAAGAGTCGAGACAATTTAATAAGTAAAGCATTTTCCAAAAGCACAAAAATAATGAAGCTAAATCCCATAAAAGAGAGGAAAGAATGTTAAATTTTAAGAAATTCGGATTTTTGATAATTTTCGATAATTTTAGATTTTTTACCAAAGAGTCGAGACAATTTAATAAGTAAAGTATTTTCCACATTAAAAAGTTTGACATTAAAAAATATATAAAAAATGCCAATACTTAACCCACAAAATTAAATTTTCAAAACAAACAAATGTATGCAGATAATTTGCTAACGGAAAGGAAACTTACGATTATTATAATGTATTATAGTAAATAAAATAAAAAAATAATTAAATTTATAAAGTTTTTGCAGAAAAATAAAGAAAATATTACTTACGAATTAGAAATTCCTTCCTCAGAATGTTGGCAGTGGCAGTATCTTTTGGACCAACACAAAATCTTTTATAATCCCGAAGATGACTGGAGGGAGTGAGGGAGGAGCCACTTTTATTCACGCCCTTTTTTTCAGAAATACACAAGAAAAATTTGGAAAATTAATAATTTAAAATAAAATAGATTGAATTATTATAAAATAATAATTTATTATTAATTAATAATTCAATAGTTAAATAAAATAATTTATTATTAGTTAGAAATTTAATTTCAAAAATGTCTAAAATAAAATCAAAAGTAAACATTTTTTTAAAATAATTAATTTTCACTTACCAATTATGAATTCCTTTTTTACAACGTTTTCAGCGCAGCATCCTGTATAAAAGCTCAAGATTTCTTTGAATCCTGCTGTTGACTAGAGAGAATGAGTGTGGGGTCACTCTAACTCATGTCCTCCATCCTTTTATTGTAGGCCCTCTTCATCGGCATCATCTTAATTGTCGTCTTTTTGCTTCCACTTCCTGGCATCTTTGGTGCGGACTCTTGGCGACTAATGCAGTATTTCACTACATCTCTTCTTGTGGTTCCCAATGTCCAGGTTCTCAGAAAGTGTCCACAATAGAGATTTTTTAGGTTAAGTTGACACATTACAAACAATAGAGACTCTATTGTGTATAACGGGTAAACATAACCTTAAATTCCCAGTTGTGGAACAACCCTTAACTGGCTCTACAATGAGGTAGAAACCCCATTATGGAGTCAGCTTTACATTGGCAACCTAGACATCATCACCTAGAATCCAGGTTGCTTTAAGGTGTAAAACATCTTAAGCATACCTCACCCTGGACTCCAGGCAGTGATGCCCAGTTTGCCAACTGAGCCACCCCTGGTCCCCACCCTGGGGTCACCCTCCTCCTCTGGGAGGGGCCCCTGGCAGCTTCTCCAACCGAGGAGACCCGGAGGGTCTCAACCCGGGAGAACCAGCTACTACCACCGTCACCGGTGGTTGCCAGCCGCCGACTGAGCTCCGCGCACAGCACCAACGCATGTTCGGTATAGCGCGCTCTCATTGGCTGCGCGTCGACCAATGAGAAAGCGCTTTGCCGACGCCTACGCGCGCTCGTGTCGATTATTTCAACTATCGAAAACTATCGATATTCAAATTATTTACAATAAATATTAAATTAACTAAGTAATTAATAAGTAAAATACATTAAATTAATAATTAATATTAATAAATATGTTAAATAATAATAATTTATTAGATACATTGCACTAAATATTGCGTTTTTAAATCCATTTTCAAATAATCGATTTCTAACTAGGAACAATCTAACCTGTAGCCAACTTCGCTAACTTCATTGAAGAAATACGTGCTGTCATAATAATATTTATTATTAGAGAATTAAAAACGATATAAATAAATATTAATATTTAATTAATTGAATACATTAGTAATTGAAAGTAGCCTAATAATAGATAATTTGCACTCGTCTGTAAATGGTGATATGGGGAAAAGAGAATTATTCGAAGAAGGAATGAGAGAAATGTGGGTTTTCGCACGGCGTGGTTAAACAATCCTTTGTGTTTCTCAACCGTCTCAACTCTCTTGGACCGCAGACGTTACGAGTGCGTTTTCCAAAACTCCACAAGGATGACAAGGATTAAAGGTGTTTAAAGGATTATAGATTTGTGTCATTAGCAACTAGGTACATCTTATTCGACAAAAACTGTAAACAGAAAAAGTCAAACTTTGTAGGTAACTTTACAGGTATTTTAATTTACAAACTAATTTATACTATTTTTCTTCTTTTTACGGCTATTTTTGATGAGTTATTATTAAAAAGAGTGTATTTAGTATAATTTTAATAGGGGGAATTTATTTGTGCAATTGCAAAAGTAAACAATGAAATTGAAAAGTTTTATTATGTTCTGTCAGTTCTGTGGCGATTTTATGGGTTATGTTAGCGATTAAAAAGAAAAATTATTAATATTATGTTAATATTATAAAGTTAAATATATTATTTACTATCAATTATTTTTTATTTTTAATAATTATTTAGTTATTATGACTTCTTATCAATTATTTGGTAATATTTACTTTAAATAGCGTGAAAAGTAAATATTTTGACACAATTTAAATTTATTATTAAATATACGACTATTTCTCAATTCATAAGACAATTCTTTATAGAATATTTATAACATTTTGTTAAAAATTAGAATTTTTTTATTTAATAAATAATTAAAAATACATTACAAAGAATATTAAAAAGCATGTATTACTTAATATAAATTTCATAAAAAAAACTGCGATAGAATATTTGTTATATTTTTCCTTAATATTTATTTAAATAATTTTTTCGAAATTCTTAATGTTTGTAAATTTTATTCTTGCCTTACAATTTGAACACCTTATATATTTTATTATGTGATCACTTTTTTTATAAATTTAGAAGACTTTACTCTTGAGATCGTTATCAGATTTTTAGCTGATAATAGAATACAATTTTAATGATAATAATTATCATATAAAGTCTTTGTTATCTGGACACCTGTTGTGTCCAAAATAATTCAGTAGGAATTATTTAATTAAACAGAAATGGTTTTAATTGAAATTCTTTCTATTATTGGAGCCTTATCATTAGCTCGACTTTTTACATTTATTTTGACTCCTGTAGAAAATGTCGAACCTATTTTTGGCATCTATAAACGGCCTGGAAAATGGTACTGGGCAAAATATTTGGCCATGTTTTTCATTCTAAAATCTCGAAAAGTAAGTATAAAAATTTTTCTGAAAGTTGAAATGAAAAAACATTTTAAGTGAGGAAGAAAATATTAAATCTATAATAAAGATATTTTCAAAACAATTTTCTTTTTATTTTAGATATTGGGCTACCTTGATAGGCAACGTCATCATCGGACAGGCTATGGATTGAAATCGCGATCATCGCCAGAAGAAATGGAAATGCCTCAAACATTGTCACCTGAACATCCTAAAGTAATTTTAAATAATTTTTTACTTTATTTAATATTTGTTGAGACATTATTGTCACTGAAAATTATTAAGATAACCATCAAATGTTACAGTTACGAGACATCACACATTCATTTTATTATTATTATTTTGCAAATTACAAAATTTTTTTATTTTTCAATATATAAACTTAAATTTATGGATAATTTCAGATTCAAAATTAAAAAAACTCACTTTTACTAAATACATAATTAATTAATAACGTTTATTATTTTCAAAAAATATTCTCAAAAATTCAATTAATTTTATAAATCGTCGGCTGAGAATTATACTGAGTCATGTCCATTTTTTGAAAATTTTTTAAAAATTAGTGCTTTTTATTCCACGAAACTTGCTGAATCAAAAGCAGTGATTATTAAAAAATTTTCAAAAATGGACATGACTCAATATAATTTTCTGCCGACGAAATATTAATAATATTAATATTTATTATTAATTAATAATAATATTAACAAAATTTAATAATAGTAAAACTATTAATTACAATTATATTAACAAAAAATCAAGTATTTTACCTATTTCGTTTATTATATGCTTTTTTCTAAAACAAATTTCGTTTCACTAATTATTTACAAAAACTCTATTGAAATTGTTTATTTAACAGAATCCAATTTACTATTCATATTTTAATAAAATGTAATAATAGTAAAACTATAAATTACACTTATTAACAAAATCGATTATATTTAAAAAATTAAAAAATGTTTTGACAGAATTTCATTATTCTCATAAATAATAAAATTCTTCGAAAGAAAATTCTTTTTAAAAAATCATTATTTTTAAAATTTTTAATAAAATTCCTTCAAAAAATTCAATAATTTTCAAAAATGCAGATAAAATTCTTCGAAACAATTCAATTATTATTATAAACTAGCTGTCGTATACCCGTCTTCAACGGGTTTTAGTTTCTACCAATACATTTAACAATGTTTCTACCAATCTGGAAAATCAGAAAATAGCCGGGAATTTAATTTCATCGGAAAATTAATAATTAGTTACCATTAGCTATTTCGGTAGTATAATATTTACTATTTGAATAGTCTCCACCCTTTAGCAAAAAATTATCAAAAATTCGAAGAACCGAATTTCTTAAAATTTAACGTTTTTTTCTTCTCTTTTATATCATTAAGCTTTATTATTTTTGGGCTCTTCAAAAACACTTTACTTAATTAATAGTCTCCACCCTTTGGTAAAAAATCAAAAATTATCAAAAATTATGAAAATTTCGAAAAACCGAATTTCTTAAAATTCAACATTTTTTCTTCTCTTTTATAGCATTTAGCTTCATTATTTTTGTCTAATGTAGCAAATTTCTTACTTTACATACTGATCTTTAAATAAAAAACTTTAATAACTTTTACTGAAAAGCTTGCTTCAACATTAAAAATCACTATTTTTTTAGAAAAAAGTTGATCTAAAAAAACGAAAAAAACGTCAAAATACTAAACAGTGCAAGAAATAATATGAAATTTAGTAAAGTTATATGAAAATTCTTGATATTTGATATAATAATACTAAAATTTCATATTATTCCTTTCACTGTTTAATATTTTTTATATCAAAATTTCGCTTTGTCGCATTTTTTCCCCGCAAATTGTGAAATACTTTTACAAAATTTAATATAATTTTTTTCCGTGTAATTGTAAATAAAAAAAAATTTAATTTTATTGTAATAATACATTTAAATTCTAAAAATAAATAAGATTTACATGTAAATTTTCTCTTAAAAATATAGGAAAAGTTTATGTATTAACGGTAAATGAATTTTCTTTTATTTTCAGGCAGTTGAAGCAGTTTTCTTTATCCTGTGTACCAAAGAAGGTTTTTACATGATGTGCGGATGCGAAAAAAGACACAATAATATCCACAATGGATATGTTTATCTTTTAGTAAGTAAATTTTCCTCCTAAAATTAATTTTGGATTTTTTTAATTCATTCATACATATTTCAATCTAATTAATTCAATTTTTTAAATAATTGATAGTCAAGTAGTTTTTTACGAATGTTTTTATAAGTACATGCAGAAATAGTTTAGAAGGTGCACCTATTAAAGTGTAACCCAATATACTTTGATGATAAACTGGAAGTCGTATTACAGGAAACACAATACATTTAAATAAAGTGATAGATAACAAAATTCTCTATAAAAATTCAATTATTTTTAGGAATTTAAAAAAAATTCTTTGCTTAATTCAATTATTTTCAAAAATAACAATATTTATCAAAAAATTTCAATTATTTTCAAAAGTAATAAAATTCTTGGAAGAAATTCAATTATTTTTCAAAATTTTAACGAATATCTTGTCAAGAATTCAATTATCTTTACAAATAGGAAAATTTTTCCCTAAAAATTCAATTATTTTCAAAAATTAAAATAAACTTTATTGCAAAATTTCAATTATTTTCAATATTTACTATTTATATAAAATTTATCAAATAATTTAATTATTAAAACAAATTTTTGATACAATTCTACAAAACATTCAACCATTTTCATAAATAATAAAATTTAATTTATGAATTCAATTATTCTCATCGCAAAATTTCAAATATTTTTCATACAGTTTTAAATAAATTCCTCGATAAATGCAATTATTCTTAAAAATTTTATTAAAACTTGACGAAAGAATTCAATTTTAAGAAACATTTATTAATTCAATAAAATTCAATGCAATAATTCAATTATTTTCAAAATTTTTAAATAATTCTGCAAAAGAATTCAATTATCTTGATAAACAACAAAATTCTCGCTATAAAATCAATTACTTTAAGGAATTTTAATAAAATTCTTTTCCAAAAATTAATTATTTTGATAAATAGGTATCAAAATTCTCGTCAAGAATTAAATTATCTTTATAATTTTTATTGAGCGAAATTCTTCCCAAGAATTCAATTATTGTCAAAAATTTTAATAAAATTCTTCAAAAAGTTTTTAATTTATTATTTTCAAAAATTGTTATAAAATTTTGTAATTCAATAAATTTCAGTAAATTTTAATTAAATTCCTTAAAAGAAATTCATTATTTTCAAAAGTTGTTAATAAAATTCTTCGTAAAAATTAAATTTTAAGAAACATTCAATTTATTATTCAATAAATTGTTTATTTTTGTATTTAAATAATTTAATTCTCGTAGAATTTTCTAATAAAAATTAATTTAAAAATGAATTTCGGTTAAAATTTTATATAATAATTCAATATGAAGAGCATTATTATAAAATAATAATTTTATCACTGGGTTATTTTTAATGTCTTCTTCATGTTTATTTTATAATAATATTCTTATAATTTGTTGAATTTAAAATAGGTTTGAATTTGAATGTTTTGAAAAATTTTGATTATTCTTACTGATGTTTTCGAATAATTTTACAATAAAAGAAATTCTTAAATAAATGTATTAGAACATTTTTCTCAATATCTATAATCATTTTTAGAGCGAATCAGAATATTCTTTAGGGTCAGGGAAAAAGTCAAAATTCTGTCTGGAAATCAGGGAAAAATCAGGAAAGAACAAAGTTAAATTTTTGTGCCAACCCTGTTTTAGTTTCGCGTTTAGAATTTAATTCGAAACTTGTTAATCTATTTCTTTTGTTTAATTAAGGTTCCTGGAGTTGGTTTATTAGGCAGTGAAAAACTGCCAAACACTGTTTTACATGGAGGACATCCCAATAGTTATGGAGCCGAGGGAATCAAAATTTCATTAGTCAAACCAATGAAAGAATGGACAGTTGAATTTGATGGCAACATGAAGTAAATTTCTCAATATTTTTCCAATCTTTATTTATTTCTCGTTATTTAACAATTTTCATAAAAGAACAATATTATTTCAGATACATTTCTAAAAAGGAAACTGATGAAAATTCTGAATCGAAATTTCTTAAAGTCAAATTGGAAGGTACTTGGCAAAGCGATTTGCCTTATTTTGATTTCGACACCGATTTAAATACAAATCAAATCTGTAAGGCTTTGGCTGTTGAAGATTGGACTGAGGATTTCTTCCGATATCTTCGAGAGTAAATTTTATTTAAAAATTAAAAAAAAACAATGTCATTTATTTTAATTTAATTTTGTTTTTAATTTCCTTTTTATTTTTAATATTTTATTTTTAATTTTATTTTTAATTTTAATATATTTTATTTTTTAGGGCCCACCAAACTCATTATGAGCACATGGGGAACATGAAAGCAAAATTGTCGATTGATGGGAAACTTTACGAGTTTGAGGGTTTGTCATTTCGAGATCATAGTTATGGTAAGTAGTAGTTTATAAAGTTACCAGAAAATCTACTAGAACGTGTGCCATAAAATCAATCGATTGACACTTACAGGATTTAAACGAGATTGGAATTTAATGCACAGATACATTTATCACATACTCTTTATGGAGAACGGAATGACTTTATCGATCGGCGTTTTGAGTCAGCCATGCACTACTTCCTGGTGAGATTTAAAAAAAATTTTCCAAGTTTATGAAGATTTGAAAAATTTAAATATCGATTTTAATTTTCGTTTAAAATTAGTTTTCTTATTTAATTTTAAATTTTTATACTTTTCATTTTATTTTTTTTTTATATTTTTTTTTCTATATCATAAAATATGTATTTTATTCGCAAAGTTCTGTTTAGTACAGTGAAAAATTCCAAAGGAAAAGTACAGTAAAATTAGTTGATTGTGCTCTAATTATCTTATTCTAAAAGTGCTTTAAAGAGTAGTAATTCTCGATTTAATGCATTTTCCATTTTTGAGCTCATTAAATTGATATTCTAATTAGACAGGAAACTTTTGAAAAATTCCCCATTTGTAAAATAATTAGAATTAAATTTAAATTTTCGTTTCATTTTAAAGTTATTTTAATGATTTAATTTCCAAATTTTATTCAAATATGTTTGTATTGTTTTAAATTAATTAATATTAAAAAAAACTTGATTAGATAGGAGACAAAAAGGATTAATAAAGAATATACTCAATACTTTCATAACATTCTTTTTAACTCTAATAATATAACAATAGACTCTTAGGAAAGTTTATACGATTTTCCTTGAATTTAATTTCCTTTTAGCGAAATAAAAACTTTTATTATTTTTAATCATCTAGAATGAACCGTAAAAAGTAAAATTTAAAAGTGAACTACATAGATTTTAATTATCACCTTTCTTTCACTTTATTCTATAGTTTGATGCAATTTAATTAAAGTTTATATGATGTTTTTGTCAATTTAATAACAATTAAGTAACTTGGATTATTTTTTAATTTCAATTTTAACATGGACCGAACCAGTGAAAGTATTTAAAAATGCGGACTTTACGGACCAAAAATTAAAAATTACGAACCAATTATTACTGACAAAAATATAACCAGTCCGAGTCAAATAAGACAACAATTTACGTAAAACTATAAATTAAATTTTTCATAATTAAAAAACATGAAGAAATCGATAACTCCGAGTCTTCGACTCGGAGTGATCGATTTCTTCATGTTTTATAATAATTAAAGATAACCGAGTGACAAAATCATTATGAAAATATAAATTCCTAAAAAAATTGTATTATTCATGAAAATAATTGAATTATTGCGAAGAAATTTATATAAATTTTGTAGATAATTTGAATTCTTGTGGAATTTTTATTATTTATGAAAATAATTAAATGTTTGCGTAGAAGTTTACCAAAAATTTTTTTAAATAATTAGATTCTTTTGGAAAATTTTATTAAAATAGTTAATATTAAAAATCATTGAATTGAAGAAAACTTTTGGAAAATAATTGAATTTTAGAGAAGAATTTTTATTGCTTTTGAAAATAATTGAATTTCTGCAATCAAACTTCACAAAAATTCAATTTTTTTATTCTTTTTAACTAAAATTCTTCTTTAAATCAATTATTTTTAATAATTTTCTTAAGAGTTATTTGAGAATTTTTACATCCATTTGTTTACCATATTCAATTTTACGAAATTTCAATTATTCGTAAATTCTTGAATTAAATATATATTATTAAAAAAAAAACTTCAAATAATTTCAAGAAAAATTCAAATTAACGTTTTCAAAATTCAATTATTTCTAAAAATTCACGCTTTATTGTTTTTAATATTCAATTACTATCTAACATTTTAACTTAAATTAATTTTTAAATAAATGATTATTAGAAATTTCAACTAGAATTCAATTATTGAAATACGAAAATAAATAATTTATTGAATAATTGAATGTTTCTTAAAATTCAATTCCCATACGGAATTTTATCAACCAATTTTTAAATAATAATTGAATTCTTTCAAGGGATTTTAATAAAATTTTTAAGAATAATTACATTTTTCGAGAAATTTGATTAAAATTAATTAAAATTCTGTGATGAGTTTTATTATTTGTGAAAATAATTGAATCCCCCCCTAAGAAGAATTTTATTATTTTTGAACAATATTTACTTTTTGCGAAGAATATTATTATTCTTGAAAATAATTGAATTTCTGCAATAATTTGTAACTTTTTCAAAATTAAATTTTTTTTTCGTCTTTTTAACTAAAATTCTTCTATAAATGCATTATTTTTAATAATTTTTGAAAAATTTCTTTGCGAATTTTCAAATTCATTTCTTTACAATTCAATTTTAGAAAGATGTTAATTTGAAACCTTTTCAAAATTCAAATAATTCTAAAAAAATTCACGATCTAATGCTTTTAATATTCAATTATAATTTGAAATTTTAACTGAAATCCATTTTTAAATCAATTTTTATTACAAAATTTTACTAGAATTCAATTATTTAAATACAAATAAAAACAATTTATTTTAATAATTGCATGCTTTCTAAAATTGAATTCTCATAAAGAATTTTATCAATGAATTTTTAAATAATTGAATTCTTTTGACGTTTTTTAATAAAATTTTTAAGAATATTTACAATTTTCGAGGAATTCGATTAAAATTGTATTAAAAATAATTGAAATTCTGCAATGAGTTTTATTATTTTATGAAAATAATTGAATTCCTAAAAAGAATTTTATTATTCACGAAAATAATTTAATCCTTGTTAAAAATTTTATTATTTATGAAAATAATTAAATTATTGCGAGGAAATTTATAAAAAATTTGTAAATAATTGAATTCCTATGAAATTTTTATTATTTCATGAAAATAATTAAATGTTTGCGTAGAATTTTATCAAATTTTTTATAAGCAATTAAATTTTTTTGGAAAATTTTATTAAAATAGTAGATATATTGAAATTTTGCCAAGAATTGTATTAAAATTTTTAAAAATATTTGAATTTCGAAGAAGAGTTTTAATATTTCTAAAGATAATTGAAATTTTGACGAGAATTTTTTTTAAATTTTTTAACGAAATTGAATTTCTGCGAAGAATTTTATTACTTTTGAAAATAATTGTATTTCTGCAATCATTTGTAATTTCTCTAAAATTCTCCAAATATTATATCATACAATTTACGAACTTTGCTACTTTTCTTAATCAAATTACGGACCTTTTTTTAAAAAAAAAAACTGACTTTAACGGATTTGAAGCAAATTTATGGACCTTTAGGGGATTTACAAACCTAGTTCGAGCCCCGTTTTAATTATAAAACTATAAAATAATTATTCTCACTCTTAAAATTCTTGTTTTCAATTTTCGAATTCAACATGAAAATGCAATTAGAACTAATATTTTTAATCCAATTTGGTGCATTAATAGTTGAGAAAAGTTTCGTATAGTATCAACAGTTACAAGTAAATATAAATTACTAAAGGAAATCAGGTTTGCAAAGTATTAATTCGTATGTTTCTAGAAGTTTTTCCCTCTTAATGAGATTTAAGGAAATGGAATTGCAAAAAGAAAGTATTTTGTATTTTGCTCTGATTCTTGTGATGAATCTACTTGTTGATGAATTTTCGCATTTTCAAGAGAGTTAAAAAATTTGAAATTTTTTTATAAATTTTAATTTTGTTTGTTAATTACAGTTTGAGGACTGGCTATGTCTATGAACCCGATGGTACCGTACATTCTTTGCAGAAATGTGATTTAGAATTATATCAGCATGGCGAAAGAGGCATACCAACGAGAGATTACGCATTTTCTTTTTCAGCGGGTAAGAAAATACTGTTTTAATCTTTAAAATACATTTTATCGGTATTTTTTTTAAAGGGTTTTGAATTTTCAAACGAGCAAAGAACTAAGTAACAAAACACTTTTTTTCTTTATTAAAATTCAAAAATGTATCACAGAATAAAGAAATAGTTCTTTTAATTACTATTCCAGCAAAAATCGATCATTTTATTTAATTTATTTTCTTTTTTTTTTATTCTTGAATTATATTCAATAATTATTTTTGTCTAAAAATATTTACATCAAAGAGGGGAAAATAAATGAAACAAGTGAAATTTTTATTTCTTTGTTTCACGATGAAAAGTATTTATAACAGATAAAATGTTTTTATTGATAGAAAAACAATAACTGGAACCAAGATTAATCAATTACTTTCTTCACAGGTAATAAAAATTATTGGATACAGGTCGAGATAGTGGATGAAGCAGTGCACGTTGTTGGTGGAAATAGTGAGGAAGCAAGAATGGTGGAATTTTTCGTAAAGGTGCGAGTGAATGGTAAAATCAACGGTAGAGGTATTTGTGAATATAATTACAACAATGCTTATTATCAGAAAATAATAGGAACCAGTTTATAAACAGTCGTCACGCAGTTTATCGACTACGATATTAAAAAAATCATTTATAATAACATGCAATAAAATTGATTTACTAAATTTTTAAATGAATATTAATTTTAAAATCTAATTCAACTTGTTTTAATTAATTCTATTTTCATTAAGATCGAATGATAGAATAATTTATTAAGATAGATTTAAAAAACATTTTTAACTTTAGAAAGTAGGTTTTAAATATTTTTTCGTTCCTTTGCTTTTTTTTTGTAAAGAAAATTATATTTACTCCTAACTTTATATTGTGACCACTTTGAAAAAAGAATTTTAGAACGTAATCGTTTGACCTGAATTTACATTTTTCAAATTATCAAGATAGAGTTTTTTTCCTAAGAATTCTGCCACTTTATGTCAATATTATCTTAGTATTTGCTTCCGTCACAAGTAAAATTTAATGTAAGTAGATGAAGTAATCAAATTGAAGATTTAACAAGTAATATATTTTAAAGTACAAATATTAGAAAAAAAAGAGAATTTTTGAAAAATAAAATGGAAAATAATTCTAAGTTTAGATTCTAATCAAGAGTATTGATATTTTAATTAAAAATATCGTTTTCCTTTCCGTATTAAATAATTCCATGTTGAATTTTTTTACGCCAATATTGGAATTAAATAAAAAAATATTTACGACCTATAGCTAAAATTGAGAATAATTCAAGCGTCGTTATGATTTAAATAAAAAGAAATTTAATCTTGATGTTAATAAAAATTGTGGATTTAACAGAAAAATAATCATGATTCTTATTTTGCGAAAAATGAGTGAATGGGAAAAATGAATCTAATTCTGATTAAATGTTTAAAATCATGTTCCTTTGCGATTTTACACTTAATTACAGTTTTCTATATTAATAATCCTTATATTTTGAATATGTGTTCGAGGTTTGAAGTTAGTTGCTTTTATTCACTTTTTTCTTTTCTAATTTTTTTGATAATTTATTCCTTTTAAATGTTTTGAATTTTAAAATTACTGCAAATAAAATTTAATGCTTTGAAGATTTATATTTAATAATTAAATAATAACGAAAATTAATTAAGCAAAGATTTTTTCAATTAAAAATCATAATTTTATTTAACTTTCTAAACCATAAAAATTGTTACTTATAAATTATTGTAAAAATTTATTTATTTCAATGTCTTGTTCTATGTGAAATTAAAAATTATTTTCAATCTTTTACTAATTCAGATTTAGAACATAGATTTTGTGATACTATTCTTGCAAGAAAAATTTCTAAATTTTTTTAAGTTCCATAATTTTCCATTTCTTTTATTTTAAAAGATGAATGATTTTTTATTTAAAAAACTGTTATTTTTATTTTTTATTTATTTTATTTTTACGGGCAATTATAATCTTTATAATTTTGAATTTAAAATAATCTCATTCTGAAGTAAAATTTTATTAAAGTTCTGGAAAAAATTTACTTATCTCGAAAAGATTTTTGAAAAAAAATAATTGAATTCTTTTAAGAAATTTAATTAAAATTGTGTTTAAAATAATTGAATTTCTAAGAATAATTTTATTATTTATGAAAAAAATTAAATTCCTTCGAAGAATATTATTGAAATTTTAAAAAATAATACAATTCTTTCTAGAAATTGATGAAAATAATTGAATTCTTGCCAAGATTTTTTTTATCCTTTTAAAAATATTAATTTAAAATTAAAATTTTTAATTGAATTAATTCGAAAATTTTTTAAAAATAATAATTTTTTTTTTAGAAATTTACTATAAATTAAAAATAATAATTGAATTCTATAAAAAAAATGCATTATTTATGAAAATAATTGAATCCTGCAAAGAATAAATTTTATTATTTGTGACAATATTTGAATTTCTGCGAAGAATTTTATTAAAATTTTTGAATTATTCTAATAAATTTTATTAAAATTTTTGAAAATAATTGAATTATTTCGAAGTATTTGATTAAAAAAAAATTTAAAAACCATTAAATTCTTTCAAAGAATTTAAATAAACTATATTAAAAAAATTCAATTGTATTGAATTCTGTAAAAAAATGTATTATTTAAGAAAGTAATTGAATCCTGCAAAGAATAAATTTTATTATTTATGACATTATTTATTTATTATGAAAATAATTGAATTTTTTTTAAGTTTTTTAAAATCAGAGGTTTTTTTTCGATGACTATTATTATTTATGTACATAATTAAATTTTTGCGAAGTTTTTTTTTTTAATTTTTGAAAATATTAAATTTTATTGAAATCAATTGAATTTCTGCTAAGAATTTTATTATTTATTTAAAAATAAATAATTAATTATTTATAAGAATTTTATTGAAAATTTTTAAAAATAATTAATTATTTATAAGAATTTTATTGAAAATTTTTAAAAATAATTGTATTATTTCGAAGAACTTTTTTTTTAAATAGTAAATGATAATAATTGTTAATTAATTAATAAGGGAGCTTTTTTAAATTTTAAATCTGAAATTATTAAAAAATTTAAGTTGATATTTAAAAATAGAAAATTTTCCAATTTCCATAATAATAATTTAAATAACGATTAATTCAAGGAATTGAATTATTTAATCTAAAAGAACTGAAGTGGAAAATGTATGTATTCATCAGACAAACTTAAAGTGTTGAAGTAGAAAATGATTGTTCCTAAGAGACGATTTGAGAAACTAAAATTTGATATTACTAAATAGTTACTAAATTATATAATTAACTAACTTATTTTAATTTATTTTACTTTATTTTACTTTATTTATGTATTCATTTCTTCAAGCATATTGACCGTGAATTTTTGTCTCTCTATTATTTTTATTGCAGAATAATATATCATTTCTTTAACTTCAAAAATACGTTTAGGAATCTTATTATTTGGATTTGTTGGACAACACAAAAAAATTTATGCGATGTTGCTGAAAATCAATTTTCATCTTCAGTGTATTACTTAATAAATAGATAGGACGAAGGAGATGGAATTTGATTGATGGTCATGTTATGTATGGCAATTTATTTAATGTTCGCGAACACAAAAATGTTTACCTTTCAGACGAAATCAATGTTTTGGCAAATTGCTAACTATTTAATTTTACTACACTCAATTTTTACAGGAATTTTCTCTCATCCACAGCTATTGTGAACAAGTTCATTTGCGTCTTTATATTGTAAGTTGATAAATAATTAGAAATTTTTTTCTTTTCCTATCCGAAAAATTTGGCAGGAAATTTTTCCAAGTAGAAGAAATAATTAATTTCACCCTTTTTTTTTGCAGATTCTATTCTACAGGTCCTCTTCTTTTTTGAGTTTAAAATTATATGTGAATAATGGAGAAAAAGAGAGAGAGAGAGAGAAAATTGTATAAAATAACAACTCGAAAAATTGGATAAAATTCTTCTCTGATGAAGAGGGGAAAGAGCTTTTAACCTGGGGAGCACGCGCTGAATGCGTGTAGATGTCTTTTGAGCAGTAGCGTCGCGACGCTTGCGCGACGTTCAACAACGATCAGCTGGCTTCTTGTGGAGTGAAGCTATATCAGTAGCAAACGTTGAACGACGGCACCCACTACTATTTTCCAACCCCTTCTCTCTCCGTCTCTTTCCCTCTCATGTGAGTCCTCGATCACTCACGCCACGGTGGTGCAGCCGTAAACCGCATCGGTCGATCGAAACCAGGCACAGACAAACTTAAAAAAGCTTCACAGAAATTATCGACATTCACATCACTAATACAGTTTTAAATAAAAATAATGATGTACTGCTCGGAAAAAATATTGAGATTCGATCGTCCCCGTGATGACGGTTCGGTGTTGTTTTATTTCAACGACATCGTTTGAATCATTGGATAGTGTTATTGGCACATTCCTCTGATCGAGCAGCAACATCATAAGAGAGGACCCCAGAAGGAGAGGGAAGGAAGCACGGATACCACGAGGACGCTTCGGACGAACGTTGTCAATTCTCACGGACGTTGTCGATTTAACGAAACTTATTTCCATTCGAATGCTACAAAGGAGACAAGATCACGCCACAGCATCCTGGGTACGTCGACGACCTCGTCGTCGGCGACGTCGAACATGACAAAGTGTTTCCCCCTGATGATGGTGATCACATGCCTGATTACCATCTGTTTTGATCACGCAGCAGCGAGGTCCTATCAACAGAAATCAAGGGAAATTTCCAACAATGAATATCCAATGCGTCAATCTGCGGGGGATGATTATGAATATCCACTTGATCCTGGCCAACCTTTTCCTGGCACGAAATTCGGTCCCATGGGTCCCATTGACAAGAATGATTTTCGAATGGCCAAGGAGATAAGAAATTTGGCAAGTGACACTGGTACCACGGCTTCAATAACCACGAGTCCTCCGGTCCAATCGACCAAGGAATATGAAATCTTCACCGTGGAATTTCATCGGGTGGAAACTCCGTTTGTCATCGGACTTTGGATATTTTTTGCCAGCCTTGCCAAAATAGGTGAGTGAGAGTTTAGGTCAGGGGTTATTGGGAGGGTGTTGGGTGATTTGTTAGTGAATGTTATTCAGGTCAGAAGGGCGAGAGTAAGAAGATTTCAGTATATACATTGATATTCATTGTGAAAAAAGTTTTTGTTTCACTCAAAAATTCAAGCAGAAAATTTATTAAATCCACAAAGGAATGTACATTCGATTCAAAACAATACATATTGAACTTAAAAACACGAGTATTGGCTACAAAAATAAATACCAAATGATCAAAAGAAATGTTTGTTGTGATTTCTCTCGTTTTTCTAAATTATCTAGTTATTTATTTCAAGTTCTCAATGATCAATTAAATGGAAAATCTCAAATATTTACAATTGACAACTGAAACAAATTAAACAATTAACATTCCAAACAATTTTAAAATTGTTAAAAAATCTATAAATTTTCCTGTAAAGTCGATTTTTAAATTCTTTTGAATTCATAATTTATTTAAAACAAATGAAAATAGAATACAGGGCATTGTACGTTTTATTAGATCGTTAACATGTTAAATAAACAAAAATAGAAGAACAATTCAATTCCAAACTTTACAAATTCATTAAGAAAAAAACACTGGATTATAAAAATTATTAAATTATAAATATCCGTAAATAAATAAATAAATAATTCTGAATTATACATTAATAAATTAAAAATATATTATAATTAAAATTATATAAATTCAAAATTATATTATAAAATTATAAACTCAGAATTACGTCAATCTTTTGAGAAATTTCGAGCGAGTTTTACATAAAATTTACATAATTAGACATTTTTTATCAATGTAAAAAAAATTTTTAATTTAAATTAAATAAATTAAATAAATAATAAATTCATAATGATTTAATTTTTAACTTTCAATTTCTTTATTTTAACATTTTGATAAAATATTTACTTAAAATTTTTGAATTATTTTAATAAATTTTATTAAAATTTTTGAAAATAATTGAATTATTTCGAAGTATCTGATTTAAAAAATTTTAAAAACAATTGAATTCTTTCAGAGAATTTAAATAAATTATATTTAAAAAATTAAATTGTATTGAAAATAATTGAATTTTTTCATAAAATTTACATAATTAGACACTTTTTACCAATGTAAAAAATTTTTTTTAATTTCAATTAAATAAATTTAATTAATTAAATAAATAATAAATAGTAATAAATAATAAATTCATAATTATTTAATTTTTAACTTTCAATTTCTTTATTTTAACATTTTGATAAAATATTTACTTCCACAGTCATTTTAAGAATAATAATAAATTCGGTAAAAAAAAATGTCAACAATCTTGGATTTTTGTACAATACACATTATTATTCAATGTAATAGTAATTTTCTTCTAATTGATGATTGTCTTCAATAAATACTGAGAAAGTTAAAAATAATAAAACAACTTTGAGTCCATTCTAATTTTATATTTCTGAATGAAATACAATTATCAATGACCTGAAAAGAGGAAAAAATTTTGTTTTTAAAGAGTTATTTTACACTATAAGTGGACAATTCGGAAAATATTTTTTTTTCTATTAAATAATAGATTGTTAAATTCAGTAATTTTGTCTCGTCTTCAAGAAGCAAATAATTATCAATAATATGAATATTTAATTAGTAATATTTTAAATTATAATAAACATACTATAAACGATAAGAAAATAAATTTACATTTTATTAAAATATTTTGAGGCGAGGAAAATGCGACAAACAGAAATTTTTATACAAAAAATGCTAAAATTTACATAATTATTTTTGAAATTTAACATAGTTACATAAAAAAATTAATCAAATTTTAATTTAACTAGATACTAAATTTTATAGTATAAAACTTCTAGTAAATTTTTTTACATCAAAATTTCGCATTGTCGCATTTTCTCCCTAAATTGTAAAATATTTAAAAAATTCAATATTTATTTTTTTCTTCGTCTGGTAGTTTCTTCTGACAAATAAAATTAATTCAAATATTTCATTCTGTATTTCAAAAAAGGAAATTTTTATTTTCGTATTTCGACGATCTTTTTTTTTCATTGTTACCAAGGAAGTGTTTAAATTCTAATCGGTTTATTACCACTTTTTATATTCTCTTAAAACCAATTTTTTTTCTTCTTTTTCGAAAAAACAATGGACAATAATTTTCGCTGAACTATCTTAAAAAATTAATTATCGCTTTTACTTGTATATTTCTTAAGTTATGAAATATTATTAGCGAATAATTATAAAACAAAGTATTTATAATTCTTGAGAAAAAAATTTTACCTTTAAGAAAAAATCGCAATTAGAATAATTATTTTTAAATTCTTAAATTACTCCGTTTACCTTTTTCAATTGTGAATGTGAAATGAAAAGAAAAACGGAAATGAAAGAACAAAAAATTGCAATGAATTAAATAAACAAAACTTGATTATTACATATTAGTATTATTTATAGACTGAAAAAGAAATTTATTTCTATCAAGTAAATTATTATTATTATTATCATTATTATCAAATAAATATTTATACTTGAATCTAATAATTTTTATTTAAATCAAATTTATTGGAACCAATAATTTCAGTATTTGAACTAAATCCCGTTTAATTGATTAAAATAAAAATTATTTCTTCCAAGTAAAGATTTATTTAATAGTGGACGAATAATAATATTGAGACATAATTTTTGTTTTATATTATTTAGGTATTCATTATTCTTAATTACAGTTTCGATAAGAAAAATGAGAAAATTATTATTATTGAGAATTGAATAATGTTGATGATGAAGATTATTATAAAATAATTTAGGGGTAGAAATTATTATATCATTCTGAAATGTCTAGTTATGGAATATTGTATACGAATATTATGAAGAGCAGACTAATGACAAAGATTATGAATATATACGAATTACAGATTCTATATTATTGTGATGAACGCGTATTATATTGATTTGTGATTTAGAAATAATTTCCCCAAGTATTTATTATTCGTGAATTAAAAGTTAAATACAAAAGTTGAAAATTTTGGAATAAAATATAAATATACGCAGATTCAATTTTTATTGTCTAATTATATAATATTTATAATCCAGTACTATTGTTTCATTTTTATTTTTTATTATTACGATTATCACATCTTTTTCCATTGAAATAATCTTATTAAATTTTGTATTTTAAATATTTTATTATTATTTTTTATACAGCGTTTGCACATTTTAGTATATTTTAAAGTTCTATTTTTACTTTCTGATTGTTTGTCGTGTTTTATTTAGTTTTTGTAATAATTACTTCTATGTTATTTTATCGTATTTTTTATACCCTTTTTTTAAATGTGGCTAAAAATATCTTCCAGTACATCATTGTAAAAATACTACTTGGTAATTTCTTCGATACTGTAATTGGAAATTGTTATTTTTTTTTATTAGAAATTAAAAAAATGAATATTTTATGTATAGAAAAAAATATGTAAAATAACAGGACTGGTTTAACAAACAGCCATGTTGGTTTTAAAATTGTATTGATTTCTTTAAAAAGACCAAAGTTAATGTCAAGGACACTTATTACAATACAATGTTCTGGTGGATGCCATTTTATTTACAAAAAAGAAAGAATAAAACAAAAAGTTGCATTTTATTGTGAATAATTTATAACTATGATGCGTAAATTATTTCTAAATCTTTAAATACAATTTCCACGTGTAAGTCATACTAATAATAGTTGAACTATTTACGTATAGGCATATAAAAGCAACCGCTTAATAATACTATTCCGGATTCATTATTTTTATAAATAAATTTCATTTTTAATATATTTTTTTTATTTTATTAACTTTTTTTTATAATTTTAATATTTTTATTTGAAATTCTCTTTGAATAATTCTTCTTCATTTTCATTTGAATAGTTGTTTGAATAGTAAGTTGTTGAAGAGTTTATTTTACACTGTTAATTAAACTGATAAAAAGTATTTTTATTTATTTTTTTGGAAAAATGATATAACTTTTTATGTAAATTCATTTATTTCTTTTATATCTATATACGTTCGTCGTTATTAGTATGCAACCTGAGTGTAAAGTAAAATGAGTCCAGAATATTTGAGATGCTATGAAAATGATTTTATAAATGCTTATATAGGTCATTTCGTGTTGAAATGTGCTGATATGAAATTTACATAGGAAAATTTAGTTTGTTTGAATTAAACATTTGATCAATCTCAACATCGCCCAGTACAACAATGACATTTTTAATGTTTCTGAGAGGAGAATGAAAAAAATGGAAATTTAATCAATTTTTAGTCATTAGACTTTATCGTTTGATTATTTTTGCGATAAATTTTTTAATTTCCCCAAACTTCTAATCCTTTAAACAATTTTAATTTTAATTTTAATTTTAATTTTAATTTTAATTTTAATTTTAATTTTAATTTTAATTTTAATTTTAATTTTAAATTTTAAACTGTAATTTACTAAATTTAACAGTAAATTTTATATTTCACTCTAATTTGTTCTCTTATTACGAATCAGAATTTAATCTTGACGAATATAATCTTCATAACCGAATAAATTATAACAATGATAGAGAAATCTTTTTTTCGTTTACAATTAAAAAAATTATTATTTAATATTAAATCAGTCGCAGCATCCTTTTCTCTTTAGCAATAAAGTGTGTAAAAAAACTGTCTGTTTAAGCTTTCTTGCATAAGAGGTCTTTGCATGACTCGATGTTTCATTATCGATTTTTCTTTCCCCTGGTTTTTCGATGACCATCTGTTCTTTTATATAAAACTCGATAAACGTTTAAAATGTGATTCATTCAATTTCTTCCCTTTTTTGCATAAAATCTTTGTTACAAATAAATTAACAATTTAATGTCTCTATTTGTCTAGGAAATTCTCAGGCATTTTTATTCCTGAATAGAAAAATTCTTCTCAGAATAAAATGAAATGAAATTATATTTTATAATCGAATATTTTAATATCTATAAATAATGAAGCTATAAACTTTTTTTTTACAAAGAAAATAATTTTTTTTCAAATGAAAATAAATTATTTTTGCAATTGTGAAAAAACACGTGTTTTCGTTTTTGTATGAAGAGCTTTGCCATTTGTATAAAAGTTCATTTTTTTTTTTTTATTCTTCAAGGCAATCTTATTTTGTACGTTTTTCTTCTTTTTCGTTAGTAAATCAATTTAAGGATGGTGCCCTTGAAACTCGAAATGGGATATTTTTCACATTTGTTCAAGACATTCACAAGAGATAGAATTAACTGACGCTGAAAACTTTTTGGACCGTAAAATAATAAAGAAGTAATAAATTTCTGGGTGGATGTACACGGAAAAGCGTGTATGAATAATCACGAGATTGAGATAAAAATTAAAAAAAAAGAATTATTTCTTTTTTTAATATTGTGAAACGCAAACTTATTTGAACAAGAATTAATACAGGTGTAAAGATTTACTACCGATTTGTTCATATAGTAGTTTTATTATTTTTGAGTTTACAAATAATATAAATCTTCTTCCGTTTAAGAGAAGAAAACGAAAAAAATGATAATTTTGTTTAGATATGAATTTTTGGTAGAAATTAATTTATAGACCATAATTTTAGTGTTTCTCTATTTTTTTATAACTTACTTATAACTTGATTTATTTAATTATTTAAATTTGATTTATAATGAATGGAATTTATTTAAAATTGATTTGTAATGAATTTCAGTTAATAAACATTTTGTTATTTTCTAGGTTTTCACATGGCGCCAAAATTGAGTAGGATTTTTCCTGAATCCTGTCTACTGATTGCTGTGGGTGTCATTGTGGGTTTCGTTCTGTCTCACGCAAATACAATCGGCGAATCGCCATTAACGCCAGATACTTTCTTTCTTTATATGTTACCACCTATTATTCTGGACGCTGGATATTTTATGCCAAATCGACTATTTTTCGACCACCTTGGAACAATTTTGTTATTTGCTGTCCTTGGAACTATATTCAATACACTATCGATAGGTTTGTTACAAAATTGTCGCTTTCAAATGCATTGTCTTCATATTTTTTTTTTTTTTTTTCATTATTTTACAAATATATTTTTGCATCGTAGAAAAAATTGTTCAAACATAAAACTGATAAAGGTCTTAATTTATCATTTATGCACATTATCATTATCATTTTAAAGAAATTTTAATTATTTAATATTTAGTTACTATTTTTTCTAAACGAAAAGTATGACGATATTATTTTATCTAAGAAAAATATATACTTTTTGTTTAAAAAATATTTCAAAACAAAAATCTACATTTATAATTTTTAAACAAAAAGTTTGAAACAAAAACACTCCTAGAAAAATTTATAATAATATTTTAATCGAAATGGAAAATTAGCATTGAGAACTTTATATATGGACATTAAAAAAGTAAAACAACTTTTGATAAAATATTCCATGGAATTGAGCCTGTTTTATGCGATATTATATAATCTTTGAAAGAAAAATTATTAGTTTCTTTATAAAAATGACTTTTACATTTTTCTAGTTATAAATTCTTTCAATTTCTTTATTCAAGAGAAAATCAATTTGAAAAGGAAAAATCTTCTTGGAGAAATGATGCATTCAGATTTTTAAATGTGGTTATAGACTATTTTTTTTCTATTTTCCTTTTTCAAGAGAAAGAGTTAATATATAAAAATTGCAATAATTTACAAAGTAAATAATGCAAAATGACAGAGGATATAATTGAAAATTGATATATGTTTTAAAATCTAATATGATTTGATGCAGTGATTTATTTAGGATGTCAGGAATTTGCATGAAAACAAGTAAAAACGCACTTAAATTGTCATCATGCCAAATTAACTGTTCTCTTTCACACATTATCAGAAATTTTACACAGATTTAATAAGACGTAAATGAAAATTTTGCCGAATGAGAAATCATGCCACGGCCTTTTGATATTTTTATTTTTTTAGGCTTCACTTTTTTTTTAATTTTTCCTTTAAATTTTATTCTAAATATATTTTTTATTTGAAATTTTTTATTCTAAATATACTCTTTACTTAAAATTTTCTATTCTAAATATATTTTTCAATTAAAATTTATTCTAAATATATTTCTAAAAATTAAATTTGAAATAATTTCTTCTCACTACCATTATATGCTTTTACAACATAAAAGAATAAGCTTTGAAAAAAATCAAATTAGAAAGAAAAAAAGGAAATTTTTAATCAATTTCATTAGTTTCATTTGACATTTTCCGATAAAACATTAATTTATTTTCTTTCTCGAGAGTCAAATCGATTAGATATACATAATACGTTGTCAAATAAGTAAATTTTATTTCTAAAATGAAAGTATCTAAATTCTCGTTTTCCAAAAAAAGGAGCAATAAAATAATTTTTTCGAAATTGAGTAAAATAAAAATTATGAAATTTTCTCGTGGAACTAAAGAGTAAATTTGTTTACGTATATATATACGAGAATGGCTAAGGCAACGACGCCAGAATTATTTTTGGATTAATGGACCAACTTTATTTTCATGGTAAAAATCTAGAAATATCTGGATGTTTCTGGATTTTTTTTTGCAATAATGCAATCGAAGAATGAATTTATAAATTTTCGTTTATTTAACTGCGTAAATTCAAGTAGTGATTTATTTATTTATTTAATTTTTTTTTAATAAACCGTTTTTAATATTAGATGAATTTGGTCGAGTTCAATGACCAGAGGTTCATAATAATTGGATTGATTCCCAAGAATTATGAAGTGTTTCCCAGCAGAGGAATAATAAATTATTACTTTATAAGAGTTGAGGGCAAAAAAAATGAGTGTTTATTTAAAAATTTAATATTTTTCCGTCGTTTTCTCTCATTTCTTACTTAGAGCGTCATAATTTCTTAAAGAACCTTTTTCTCAAATGACTTTTCTTAAATAAAACCTTCTTCTTAATGTAAAAAAATGTTTTTCATATATTAAAAAAGTGCTTTTAATTTTGACATTGGGAAATTATTCAGATTTTATGATGTTGAGTGGAAATTCTCGTACATATAATTACGTAATTTCGAGGACTTTAGTCGAATGTGGGGTAACTTTTTCCGAGATGGAAAATATTTTTTGCAATCATGAAATAGAATATAGAAATTTAAAAAAAATTTGCTAGAAAGAAATTATTTCTTTAGGTATAAAAAAGGAATTATTATTCCTTTTTTTAAATTCGATTGCAAAACTAATATAAATAAATTTTCCAAGGAAACTATTTTCTAATCTGGTGATATAAAAAATTCAAGTGGAAAAGTGTAACAGACAATAAAGAACCTTGTGTTATTTCACATAAAGTAGTATTAAATTCTGTGTGCATTTAAATTCTATCAGTTGTATGGCTACAGAATTTTGCAAATAAAAGAAATTGCTTACATAAAAGGGTATATACTTTCATAACAAAGAAATGAAAAACGTTTTAACGAAATAAAAAATAAAATCTCTCTCTATAATTTTTTTTCTTTTTTCTAAATTTATTTTCAGGTGGAACTTTATGGGCTTTAGGACAATTTGGCATTTATGGAAATATTGAGACACCTCTCTTGGATATGTTCCTATTTTCGGCCTTGATCAGTGCAGTTGATCCGGTTGCTGTTTTGGCAGTTTTCGAAGAAATTCACGTCAATGAAATTTTGTACATAGTTGTCTTTGGCGAAAGTCTTTTAAATGACGCGGTTACAGTCGTGAGTATATTTTTATTATTTTATATTATCTTATCGAAAATTCATTTAAGGGGACAAACGCGCCCGTATCTAGGCTAGAGAATAATAGAACAAGGAGAGTGACATTAAAATTATTACCTAACGTTGAAATAATGAAGATAATCTCTCATTTCATGACATTTTATCACTTTGATCCTTTTGTTAATATTTTTTTTTATTTCGCTAATATTTTATTTATTTAATATTTTGGTATTTTTTTATTTTTAATTTTATTCTTTTCGCTATATTTTTTGTCCTTTTATTATATTTCTTCCTCCTAGAGAAAGAATTGTATTTTTATATTTAATTTTTATTATTAAACAAAAAAGTTGTTAATATGTTTATGATTTTATCTTCTGAAGTTTTTTTTTAATTCGTTATCATTGAATCATTTTATTACAATTAAGACATTAGAGTACAGATAATGAATATGACATTTAAATTGATTGATAAAATTTATCATATTCCGTGCGGTATAATTTGTGTAATTGCTGAATAATTTTGACAGGTACTTTATCATATGTTCGAGGCCTACAGCGAAATGGGTATTCACAGAATTAATTACACGCACATTTTGTCTAGCTTGGCAAATTTTTTAATTGTTGCGATTGGAGGCACGATAATTGGAATAATCTGGGGATTTGCCACTGGTTTTGTAACAAGGTTCACTCATCAGGTTCGCGTAATCGAGCCGATCTTCATTTTTATTATGGCCTACCTGGCTTATCTGAATGCCGAAATATTTCACATGTCTGGAATTCTCGCGTAAGCCTAAAAAATTACTCTTTCTTTTTCTTTTCTTTACTTTTTTGATTTGAATTTCATTTTCGATACAGAAGGAAAAAATTTTCATTCTCAATTGTTCAATTAAATTGAACAAAAATTCAAATTTGTTCAGGAGAAAAAAGCAATCTGGATTATTTTTTCTTTTCAATTACTGAAAAAGGTTGATTCAATAATGGATGCAATTTCAATAAAAGAAAAAAGCTATTTCTCTATAAACTGAATTGACAATAGAAGTTACAATCTGTTGTCTTCAACGCTTTTTCATTTTTCGAATGAAATAGAATTTGTCAATTTTCACATTTTTTTTATTCTGAATAATCAAAATGTGACTACTGGCAAATTTTTAGTTAAATCTATTTTTAATTAGTAAATAATGGAATTTATTTTATTTTTAATTTGACCTCTTTCTGTTTGACTAATCGTTTTATTGAACGAAAGTTTTCTTTCCATTAATGTTTCTCTTTTGGCGAAATTAATATTTATCAGAATTTTTTATCTCGCATTACAATAAATTATTCTCTTCTATTTTAATAATTGTATAATCCAGATTCATCATGACGGAATATATTTTTCTTTTTTCTTTGAAAGAATTAATTTGGAAATTTTTTAATTTCATGTTCAGTTTAAAGAAGAATTTATTTTTAAAATTGTGCTTTTTTTCATTTACAGCATTACATTTTGTGGAATCACCATGAAAAATTATGTCGAAGCCAATATATCGCACAAGTCTCACACAACAGTTAAATACACAATGAAGATGCTATCCAGTAGTTCAGAAACGATTATATTTATGTTCCTTGGTGTTGCGACTGTGAATAATCACCATGACTGGAATACTTGGTTCATAGTGATGACCATAGTCTTTTGTTCCATTTATAGGATCATCGGTGAGTTATACAAATGTTATTCCCCTTATATGAAATATAGAAAATTGAGAGCAGAAGAATTTAGAAAATCGATACTCTAGACATATATATTTAATTATTAAACGAGAACTGTCAAGTTGAAAGATTAAATTCTCATTCTCTCCTTTAAATGAAAATTAAATTTATTCCTTTAAATTTAAGGAAGAAAAGGAGAATTAATAATGAGGTCAAAAGTTAAGAATCCAAACTTTATGACCTAAAATTTGAATCACAGAATTTTTGCTTGCTATGCAAACTTCTTGTTTGTATTTAGCAAAGCAACAAATTGTTAGTGATTCCGATATTTTTGTCTATATTTTCTTTTTTTTCTGTGAAAAAATTGAAAACATTGAAAGTATCATTTATCTAAAGACAATGAGAGGAAATTGACCGTTATTGTTGAATTTTGTTATTAACTTAAGATGCTTGATGTCAATGATGAATTCTTGAAGAAATAGGTCTACCACAATATGCAAATTTAAAAGAAATTGACTCAAGGTTGATCTTAAAGGTCATAGATTATAATAAAATACCTTAAGGCAAAAACGTCTCATCGCAAAGCTTGACCTTATATGTAGAATTATTTTTTAATAACGGAGAAAAGAGATAAACAAATTTGTTTTAAGAAATCGAGCCTTTTTTTACTTTTTTCCAAAGTACAGAAAGTTACCCACTTGAGTAAAAAAGTAACAAAAAAAGAATATGTTTAATATCTAAGTGTTGAAATAGAAAAAAAGAAGAAATATTTCAAAAAAAAGAAAGACTTTCCTGACAAGAGGTTTTACTTAATTCATACTATATGTAATCTCCAAATCGTCTTAAGTTGGAGACTAAACGTGTCAGAGAAAGCTTTTTTTTTATATAAGTGCGCTTGGCAGAGAAAAAGAAATAATGGTGTGACTTTAATTCAATTTACAGGTGTAATCGTTCTGTCTGCAGTGGCAAATCAATTTCGTTTGCACAAGCTTGATAAGGTGGAAAAATTTGTCATGTCCTACGGCGGTTTGCGGGGTGCTGTTGCCTTCGCGTTAGTCCTATTGATCGATCCATCACACGTGAAGCTAAAAAATATGTTTGTCACCACTACTATTGCTGTTATATATTTCACAGTTTTCATTCAGGTATGAATTTTTTTTTTTTTTCTAAAAAGAACATATATATCAATTATAAGAAACATTTTTTTTTGCTCAAGATTTTCACATGAAAGCTTTTTAGAGAAAAAACGTGAGAGAAGATGAAAAGTAAGAGATCAAAGAACGCATTCAATTTGCTTCTAGGGAATCACCATCAAGCCTCTTGTCAAGATTCTCAACGTTAAAAGAGCAGAGAGAAGGAAGCCAACTATGAACGAACGAATACATGAAAGGGTTTGTTTCTCTTATTTATTTGCACTCTTTACCGTATTTATAATTTCTCTAAATTTTCGTTTTGTCTTTGATGAGGGAAAAATATTTTTTTCGGTAAATTAAATATTTACTAAATTAAATTTTTATTAAAGTAAATATTTACTGCATTAAATTTCTATTCAAGAAAGTATTTATTAAATTAATAATTGAATTAATATTAAATTACATTTTTCTGGTGAAGCAATTTAATCATCGATTAAATTAGGGGGTGAAATTAAATATTGACATTAAAAACTAACAAGTGAATTGCTTGCAATTTTCGTTAATATTTATTTTTCATTTATATTAAATTTTCACCCATTTGGAAATATAATAGTTTATATTGTATGAAGAAAATTTGTTTAATCAGTATGACATTTTTTCTTTATAATTTTTTTTATTGAACTTGGCAAATATAAGAACGATAAGAATGATAGATTTCGCCACACCTTTTAGATTATAGATCATACGATGGCAGGGATCGAAGATATTCTAGGAAAACACGGGAACTACCATGTCAGGGACAAGTAAGCCAACACGCTATCACTATTGAATTTGTATTCGAATGATAAATACACTAAAAATGCATTGTTTATATCGTTTAGCTACTTTTGTTTTTTTTTTCTTTCAATTATTATTCAATCGTCACACGAGTGTTGAGTTGAAAATTCTGAATTTAGAAAAAGTATTTAGAAAATTCACTTTTCTTTAGAGATTAAAATTTAAAAGAAACACTTTTTAAACGCAAAGTAGAAATAATTTTTTATCGATTTAACAATTTTGTTAATTTCATTTTCTAGATTCAAACGCTTCGACAACAAATTCATTCGTCCCTATCTTGTGAGGGACCATTGTGGAGCAGAGCCAAAAATTTTGGAGACTTATTCCAAATTGGCAATGAAGGACGCTCTCGACTATATCAGAAGGAATGCATCAACCATTGGGAATATAAGTGGTACTGAGAGTATGTCCGCAATATTCAGGAATTACAGCAATACTGGCCAATTTAATGCCAGGTAATCATTTTAATTACAAAGTTGACCTTATTAAAAAAAGAACTTTCTTAACTTCTTTTTTGTGAAAAAAATCCCGATTATAACATTATTGAAAACAAAAATCAATTGTAAAAAAAAATTGCGAAAACTAAAGTTTAGTTTAAAAAAAAGAATAGCAAAACGGAAATCGTACGGTATTATTGTCTCCTTACTGAGGAAATATTTTATTTAATTATTTGCTTTTAATTAACCAATTGTGCAAGTTTTGCATTATGTTAGTAATTTTACAATGTAGAAGAAAGAAACGACAATAAGAGAGATCTAAATAAACTGTAATTTAAGGCTCTTAGGTAACAACAGAACGGAAGTTGTTCGACCGTTATTTAATAATTTTAAAAAAAGACTTCTGGAAAATATTTTCAAATCGTTTACAAATTGTAAAGAATTTTTTCTCCATTGAATGAAGTTTTATTTAAATGAAATTTTTAAACCTTGAAATTAACAGACTGTGACAATGTTTCTTTTATTTATTTTTAAGAAAAAATTCGTGGAGTATTTTTTTAATCAAATAAATATTTGATATTAATATTTTTATTGTAAAAATTTCAGTCCGAGCTGTAGCCAATTGGAGGCTGGTTGGAATATTGATCTTCAGGAATTGGAGTACAATCCTTCGAAAAAAGATTTAACTGACGCTAAAATACATCATCTTCTCGCTGAGGAATTGTGCAAGCCTTATAAACGCGTGAGTATTGTTCGTGACTAACATTTGTTTTCGCTTCGTCCTTACTAGTTCCCCTAGACCCAACAAAACTATTTACAGAGAAATCGAGAGACTTCGAAATTGCAGCATCGTCGCCTTAGCTACAGCCGTCATGCCGTAGACGATCGAGACCTCTCGACTCAAGTCAATTACAAGATGCACATGAACATCAGGCGAATGGTGGGAGAGCACAAACATCGTCACAAACGCAGCAAAAAATTGCTCAAGGTAATATTAATCTATTTATTACTATCAGTATCATTAATTTGTCCTTTATATTCATTTAATTCAAATTTGTTTTTTTTTATTTCCATTTATTTTTGTTTTCATTGTTTCATTTCAATTAATTTTTTTATTTTAATTTATTTACATTTAATAAAAATTTGTCTATTCTTTTCTTTTGTATAACAATTTTGTCTTTGATTTTTAATTGCCGGAAAATTAAATTCGACTCATACATTTGAAATGTCGCTTGTTGCTTTATTGAATTTTAATTAAATTCGTGAAAAGCTTTTTATTATATTCAGGATGACGAGGGCGTCGAGTGTTCGAATAATTTTCTATCGCCTGAAAATATTCCAAGATATATTTCTGATGATAAGGAGAAGGTATAATCGATAAACACCCCCCCTAAAATGTCGAGTTTTTGAAAACGTTATTAACACAATTCTAACAGAGTTGAGATCTTTCATTTTGATCCCTTCAGCTTTGTAGAATTAGTCCGTTTTGATTGACACCTAAAATTAAAATCCAATATTAAAAATAATAAACAATTCTTAATTGGAAATAAATGTCTTTTTCGCTAAAATATTTTCTTAAAAATTGATTTGTATTGAGTGATTTAAATAATCCGTGATTAAAAATAGAAAATAAAAAAATAAAAATAACTAAAGAAATAAAAATTTATTAAAATAACATTTTCTCTAATGTTCACAATTATTTAAGTAAATATTTAATAAGTCGTAATAAATATTATTTGAATTTTAGGATGGTAAGCAGAATCACGTAAGTTTTCCCGAGTTTCAACAAAATGGTTCAACGAAACTTTTTTCACAAGGTTTGTATTTTTGAATAATAATAATAATAATAATAATACAATAAAAGAGAAAATAACATTACAAAGAGAAAATAATACTATACAGATAAAATGAATATTCAAATCTTAAAGTTTATAATTTATGTATCCCTTGTGAACAATCTTGTAGATTATATTAACGATGTGTTGGACGAGTCGGATAATGGGGATTCTTCTAAACCTCCAAACGACTGGGAATCAGGGATTACTTTTACTGCCCGCACCTCTGGTAACGAAATTAATCTTCTTTGAAATAATTTTAAAATATGCAAATTGTCATTTACATAATTCAAAACAGTTATTGTGTTTAAAGTTGAAATATAACAAATTTTTTTCTACAGATTCTTCAATAACTCCTGGAGCGGATGGGCCGTCTTCTGGAGCAGATATCGATGACGATATCAAAACTGATTCTAGAACGGAAGATAGTAGAACTTTTGGAAGAGCAGATGGTAAATTTTTTGTAAAAATGATAGTAATAGTAAATTTTCCAAATTACACGATTTTTATTTAAAATATAATTAATTATTCTTCTATAATGAATAATTAATTATTATATAAATTATTATATATATTAAATTATATAAATAATATTATATATTAACAAATAGTGTTAAAACGTTAGATATTTTATTGTTTAGATTTTTTTTTGGTTTTTTTTTATTTTACTTTATTAATTATTAATAATAATAATTATTTTATTACTAAGTAATAGTAATAACTTGATATTTAATCGACTATTTGCTTAATTAATGGCGTGAATAATTAATAAATTTAATTGATTGATAATAAAAAATATGATAAAAATCGTAATTTCCATTAGGAAAATTCCATTAAAGAATGGAATACATTTTCTCTTTGATAGCTGAGGAAAAAAATTTTTACAGTTTAAGTAAAACTCTTAATGAGTCATAATTTTCTTAAAATAAGTTTTAATTGCAGGCGACAGCTATAGAGTCACTACACCAACAGCAACAGAAACTATGTTGCCTTGGAAACGGGAAGATGACTACGATTCTGCCCATCCAATTAAACAAAATGAATTTCCAGCTTGGTGCTCTAATAAGGAGTATATAGCTTATAGTTCGCCTTCTGCAACATTTTTAGGTAAGAAACATGTCTCAAACTAATCGATTTTTATTTAGAATATAATTAATAATTCTTGTACATGAATAATTAGTTATTATTATTATTATAGAAATAACTAATTATTTGTAGAAAAATTATTAAATCTATAAAAACGAATTATTTATTTTCACTGATGGTAAATAATTATATTTTAAAAAGTCGAAAGTGCAATTCTCCGAAAATAATATCTTTAATTATTAATTACTCGAAATTAAAATTATTTTTATAGGATAATTTTCTCTTTTTGTGAAAGTTATAAAATTTTTCTAGGGGACCAAGAAACACGCAAATTGCCTCCTTCTTAAAATAAAATTCACTGCATGCTATAAATGTCTCACGCGATGTTAAATGTGAAAAATTTGCACAAAACTTTTTTTTTAAAAAAAGATGTTGTTAGTTTAACATTTATTAAATTAATTAAGTCTGATTAATTTATTAAATTAGCTAATGAAAGTATTTTTAAAAATTATTCAACATGCAATATCTGATCAGTATAATTGCTTTTGCATGTATTTATTTTTTTTTAATTTTCTATTTGCGTCTAAAAGAATAGAAAACACTTTTAGTTTCATAACTTATTTATTGTCTTAGCTTTTACAAATTTAATCATTTTTGTTTAAAATTGTAATTAATTTCAAATAGACGAAAGTTTGTAAATATAATTTATTAAGAATACGTAAAATATTTATTTATTTAATTTATTCAGTTTATTTAACTTTTTATTTAATTTATTCAATTAGTAAATCACTGTAAATTGTTTGAATTACACTTAAATTGACGAATGAAATATAAAAAATACTCTGAATTATGAACAGTTTTTATTATGAGCTTAAAAATAAGTTTGCCTGAATTAAGAGTCATCGCTGGCTCTCAGTTTCGATTCTTTGCCATCTTTGTAGAATGGTGAGTATGTACAGAATTATTATCGATCGTAGAGTGATAATCGTAATAACATTAAAGATGAAAGATTTAAATGACTCCAAACTCCAAGAATAACATTGGTACAAGACATAAAATGTTTGATAACAATTTTAAACCAATTCCACAATTATTCTTCATATATTGATCCAGGGTTGACACAAGTCAGGGAAATCATAAAATTATTACTTAGAAATTATTTAAAGAATAATTTTACTTAAAAATTTTAAAATTAATTTGATTTCAAAAGAGTTGCGTTTACAATCTTCATAAATAGATGAACTTCAAAGGTTTCAATTTTAAATTTTAGAAAAAAACAATTTTTAATGAATTTAAATAGAAATTTTAAGAACAACTGATTACAGAAATTTAATTATTTTCAAAATTGATAAACTTCTTCGCATAAATTTAATTATGTTCAAAATTTTTTTTAAATTTTCATTAAAATTTCAATTATTTTTATAAAAAATAAAATTCTTCTCCATAATTCAATTATTTTCAAAAATTTCCCTTATTTCAATTATTTTTATAATATCTACTATTTTAATAAAATTTTCCAAAAGAATTCAATTATTTAAACAAAATATTAATAAATATTTCACAGGAATTCAATTACTTATCAATTTTTTATAAATTTCTTCGCACCAATTCAATTATTTTTAATTTTTTAATAAAGTTTCTTGAATGAATTCAAATATATTCAGAAAATTAAAAAAAAAATAGTTCTGAGACATTTAATTATTTTGAAAAATTTAAATAAACTTTTTTTAAAAATTCTATTATTTAAAAAAATGTTGACAAAATTATTTACAAGATTTAGTTAATAAAATTTTCCTATATAATTCAATTATTTTTAATACAATTCTTCTTAAGAATTCAATTATTTTCACAAATAATACATTTTTTATGGGAATTCAATTATTTAAAAAAGTTTGATTAAAATTCTTCACAAAAAATCAATTATTTTCATAAATAATAAAATTTTTCTCGAGAATTCAATTATTTAAAAAATTTTGAATAAAATTCTTCACAAGAAATTAATTATTTTCATAAATAATAATATTTTTCTCCGGAATTCAATTATTTTCACAAATAAAATTCTTCACAGGAATTCAATTATTCTTTAAAAAAATGTTTAATAAAATGCGTTGCAAGAATTCAATTATTTTCATAAATAACAAAACTTATCGCAGAATTTCAATTATTTGTTGTACAATTTTAAATAAAATGATAGAAAATTGCATTTATTCTTAACATTAAATTTTTTTAAATTCGACGAAAGAATTCAATTATCAAAAAATTTTTTTTTATAAAATTCTTCATAAAAATTCAATTATTTAATAAATTATTTATTTTTGTATTTAAATAATTAAGTTCTCGAATAATTTACTAATAAAAATTGATTAAAAAATGAATTTCACTTAAAATTTTTAATTATAAATGTATATTAAAAGCATTATTATAGTGTGCATTTTTAGAAATAATTGAATTTTAAAAAGGGGAATGTTTGAATTTAAAAATCTAAATTTCTATAGAAAAATAATAGGTAATAATTAAATATGTGAATCAGAATAATCTTCGGATTCAGGAAAAAAGTCAAAATTTTCTCTGGAAATCTGGGAAAAACAAAATTAAATTTTTGTGGCAACTCTGTTGATCATTACAATTAACAACTGCGACTAACACTGTCTATAATAGTTTATAATAAATTAACAAGAACATTTAATTATTAAATTTTTAAAAATAAATAAAAATAACTGTTTATATTGTAAATTAATAATTGCGTTTAAATTATTATTTATTAATGATGGTATTTTAATAATTTACAATACATTAATTTTGTTAATTACCAATAAATTTATTGTACCTACAAATTTACAATAAATTAATTATTAAAAACAATTTATACTTTAAATAATAATAATAACTTTATTTTGATTAAATTGTAATTATTAAATTAAAATAAAGTCATAGAAAGTTTAATTACACCTGTGACAATAAAAAAAATTTGTAAAATTGTTATTTAAAGCGAAACAGATGTAATACGTGTATATCATTTACAATTGCTTATGAAAAAAAAATTCCTGCCATATGGTTATTCAAAGAATCGAAACAATATGTGTCTATAGGATTATTACTATCAACTTTGGCCTCATTACCTTACTGTTATTTCGTTTATAATTCTAGAAAAAAAAAGATTTTTTACTTCTAACCATTTATGTCTCTATAACATTGAGTGTTATTGTAATTTTATTGTTACAACTCCAATTGATACTAAAATCAAAAGCTCGATTAATTTCAATTGTCTCTAATTATTACAGCTCTTATGTGTATATTCAACATTGAATTAACTCTGAAGATTTTAATAATTACCCGTCATTATTAAAAATAACAATTTTCATGTAAAGAAATTTTCTAAAATTTTCTAAAATGACTTTAATTATTTTAGGAGGGATTGAACAACCAAAAATTCAGTCTGTGATTGGTTATTTCCGAAGAGAAAGCGCTGCTACATCCGATACATTAGGTTCACACGATATTGACGAAAGTGAAGAATATACAGCAATGAGGTTCGACAAACATAGTCCTCCAAGTACTGAAGGTAAAGAAGAAATGATAAAAATAAATTTTTAGTTAACGAATATTTTTAATTTAACGATCACATTAATGAACCTAAAAATTTAAAGAAGTGGAAAGGAAAGTTTTCATCCTTTTGAACTTTCTTCTTTCACTTTTGATAAATTTGTTCGTTTTTCATAAAAAAATCCAGTAGTTTACACAATTATTCATTATAATTAATTATTCACATAATTATTTAAGTTCAAATTTCCATTACAATTTATTTTTTCAATTTTATTTCATTTTAATTTTATTTATTTTTTTATATTAATTAATTTTCAAAACTTTTAACTTTAATAAAATTTAATAACTTGAAAATCTCGCTGTACCTGAAAATCAAAATTTCCATACATAACTAACAATTCATATTCAACTAATAATAAAAGCTAATAATATTAATTTGTATCAGCTTTAGTTTTTATTTTTAGGTACAGAGAAATAAAAAGGGGGAAGTGAAGTTGATATTGTGTGGCGGATTTCTATATTTTATTTCCTTAAAATTTTATCTCTATTTGTTACTTAATTGCGTACATGAAACTATTTCTTTGTTAAGTTTTTTTATTGTTGATTAAATTTTTATTCGAATATTTCAAAAATAGTTTTAAAACCAATTACAGGGTTGCCACAAAAATTTAATTTTGTTTTCCCTTCACTGACTCTTCTCTGATTTTTACAGACCGAATTTTGACTTTTTCCCTGACTCTAAAAATTCACTCTAAATATGATTAGACTTTAAAAAATATCCTAATACTTTTATCTCCTAATTTCTTTAATTTCAAAGAATTTTAATTTTAAACCGTTCGAAATTTATTAATTTATAAAAATTGCTACTGTAAATCCTACAAAATTATTTTTATTTTTTCAATTCTATTTTCTGGAATTCTTATCTGAATCAATCTCTAAATCAATCGTTTTTCATAATTTTTACTAAATTTCGATTATTCGAAAATTCTTTAATTTTCTATATCTGTATTCAAAAAATAAAAAATTCAATTAATAATATAAAAAAAATCGGATTAAAATTTTTCAAAATTTAATTATTTTTTTAATTTTTAAATAAAATTTTTCCATTAAGTTAATGAATTCTTTTTAATAATATTATTTAAGAATATTTTTACATCAATTATTTTTAATAATTAAATATAGTATAAATATAAATATATTATAATAATGTTCAACTAATTTCAAGAGAATTTGAATTAAAATAAAATTTCAATAAAATTTCTAATTAAATTCATTCGAAATTCAAGTTTTCTAAAATTTCAATTTGAAACCTTTTGAAATTCAATTATTTATGAAAATTGCAAATGCAACTATTATAAAAGACCTGCGGCAACCCTGAATTAATTTAGTTTAAAATTATTTAGTCTTTAGTTTAGTTTTAGTTTTTTAGTTTAGAGTTTGCATAAATTTTGATAATTTTCGAAAAATGAATAATAATATCCAAATTAGTAGTTGAATTGATAAAAAATTCAGTAACAAGAGAGTGTTTGATTTTGTTAGAAACGAAAGAACCTCTAACAAGAAGACGTGGTTCGATGATGGAACTGGGAGCTTTAGAATCATCAGCAAAAGAAAAAAATAACAAAGGATCTCACTCTCTTCCTGAATATTGGAATCCACACAGGTTGCGATTCACTTCCTTCAGTTATTCAGGCAAAGAGCCGGCGAGTCTTTCGACTGCATTGATTGCTTCATCTTCCAATTCATCAGTTGAACTTGAAGAGGAAGATTGACCAAGAAGAAAGGAGTCGCTCTCCTTTGAACAGCTTCGACCAAAACGAAATCGAAGACGACGTCCTGTATCATTATGGTCCAAGTTTCTCGGAGGTTCAAGCTCTCCTGTCTGATAAAAAAAGCTATTTTTTCACTAACACAACATCGTTCATTTTTTAGGATATAAATTATATTTAAAAAAAAAATTAAATGCTAAGATCGAAACTTACGCAACGGTGCTTTAGGACAAAAGGATAATAAATGAGTGTGCGTGAAAACGGGAGATGAATCTGTAAAAAAGAGAATGAATTTTTTTTTCTGTCGTGCTCGAACAACGCGAAATATTAATCAATAAAAAAAAACAAAAACAAAAGCGGAAATTATAGGAATTGTCGTTCGACAAAAATAGAGGGTCTGTCCATATCGTCGCGACATTTACCTTTTTCGAGGAAAACATTTTGCATGTCTCGCTCGACTTTCAAAGAGAGATGACAAATATTTTGTTGTTGATATAGTAAAATTGATTAGAGGAAGGCAGGAAGAATTTTAAATTTTATTAAAAAGTCAGCATTTAAATGTTCATTTAAAAAGAATTAATTCCGCTAAAAATGTAAAATGAAAAATTTTCCCTGCTTTCAATTAAGCTCAAAATGTCAGGGAAAATTGAAGGTTGTTAAAAAAAAGAAACACAGTTGAAAATTGTGTGTACTGTTATTGAGCTCAGGAGGTGGTAAATTTCTGAAAAGCATTAAATATGCTGAATAATTTAGATATAAAAGAAAAAAATATTCACAGTAAAAAAAAAGTAATTATTTTGAGAAAAGTACGCAGAATTAGAAGAAAAAGTAAAAAACCTCTTCACTTTTTTAATAATACTAACAAAGAAAACAATATCAACTCTCTTTAAATGAAATTGTAAATTTCAACACATATTTCCCTATTTTTTTACTGTTTGCAAAAACACTGATCAATTTTAAACAAAATACATAGTCAATAATTATTGAATTGCAGTAAAAAAAAAAAATAAATTTTAGACAAGTATGTAGATTTTTTTTAGTCTATTCCGACGCATGCACGGAGAGAGAATATATATTAAATTTTGTAAAAATATTTTCAAATTGGGGAAAAAGTGCGACAAAGCGAAATTTTGATATAAAAATACTAAACTTTAAAAAAAGTTTTGTGAAATTTATTAAAGTTACATTAGAATTTAATTAATATTCTTGATATTTGATATAATTATACTAAATTTCACATAAGTTTTTTTAAAGTTTAGTATTTTTTATATCAAAATTTCGCTTTGTCGCACTTTTTCCCCAATTTGAAAATATTTTTACAAATTTTAATATATATTCTCTCTCCGTGTGTAATAATCTTAAATTATTATCAGGACTAGCAAATCAAAAAAAAAAACTTGTATCAAATGTTAACTAAGAAATAATATGATGTCGGAAGTAAAAAAAATTTTTAAACAAATAAAAATCAATAATATATTGATTAGTGTGAGGAAAAAAGTAAATAAAAAGCTGAATATTCGCATAAAAAGAAACGCAAGATTTAGGGGAAAAAAAGCACTATTTTTTCGAGCATTTTAGACACTTGCCTGGCTTTGAGCTCGCAGACATGCTTGTAAATATCGTGTATTATAAAAAGAAAGTTACAAACTGTAATATATAGACTAGTTAGTAGTAGAAAGTTTAATAAAATAAAAAAGAACACTGGAAATTTAGAAAGAAAATTGCTTCCCTTCTAGAATAGTCACGATTTTCACAATTACATATACATTAATTATACTCTCGTTACAAAAAGGGAAAATGCATAGTAATCTTTTTTCTTGCTAAAATCTACAGCATAAAAAAATTTCCATATCAAATATATTTAATTTTATTCAGAAATTAATTTAAATGTCGAGAAAAAAAGATACAGGTGTTCTTTTATTCAATTTTCTTTATTAAAGCAAACAATTTTAATTAAATTAAGCAAAAGCCTTTAATAAATTATACAATAAAATTATATTGTAATATTTATAGTAAAGACCATTGCAAAAGGGATCTATAATACACAGGGTGTGATTTTTTCTCACAAATGTTTTTTACATTACAAAAATATTTAAAAAGTGTATTTTTCTGCAAATTAAACTAAAAACTCTATTTCCTGATATTCAGTAATTTATTCGAAAAAAAAAATTAATAAAATTTTTAATCTAATGTAAATAGTTTTTAAAACAGAATATTTTTCTGAAAACTTATTAACAGTGTCAGTGGCATAAACTAATTTTAAAAAAATACTTCTCTGCTTTTTAGTTGAGAATTAAAAATCCCCTCCTTAATAAATCAATTCTATTTTGAATGTATTAAAATTAGATAATTTTTGAAACTAAAATAAAAGTTTTCTAATTTTAGCCAAATCTCTGTTTTAATTGCAAATAAAAAAATTGATCATGACTAATCTTGAAGGGAATTGGAAAATCGTTTTAGAAAAAAAAATTGCACATATGGACAGCTCGCATCGAACTTCTTAAGAAAATTATTATATTAATTAAAATTAGCCTTAAATAATGCGACGCATGTACTTACATTTTAGTTAAATACATGTAAGTAGGACATTAAGTCACTTTTACACGAATTTGAAGCAACGTTATGTGTAAAACGTCGAGAAAAAAAAGATACAGGTGTCCTTTTTCCAAATAATAAAAATCAGGTTTTTAATCATAGACCAACAAAATATTTAGGAATTGATGTCTTCAGAACTGAAAAGTAAAAGCCGATTTAAGACTTAAATGAAATTAGTAAAAGTAAATCAAATTCTCTTTAACAAAAAAAAAAGAATATTGTAAATTAAATAAAATAAAACAGATATTTTTTTAAAAACACTTAGCCCCTTTTTTATTAAGAATTAACGAAAATAATCTCTTACGACAGATTATTGAGTTTTAATTGTATATTAAGAACTTTTTTTTTCTTTAATAACACAACTTCTTTCCTCTTCCATTCGATAAAATATAATTAAAAATAATAAAATCTAAAAATAGCTTTTAATTAAATTTTTTCTTATAATAATATTTGCCAAGTGTCAAATTAACTTGAATGAAAATAATTAATTTTGTAAAGTGCTAATACAGTTTCTTCTTAATTTCTTCTTTTCGTTCATTGGTCAATTATTGTTAAATTATTTTTTGAAATTTGAAAATTTCATTATTTTAGTAAAATTTTATTTTTATACAATTTTATTTACTATTTTATGTACTCAATAAAATTGTATGAATTAATTTAAATTGGGTATTAAATGCTATACCTATTTACTAAATTAACTGGAAACGTATAGCAGACTTAAAAGTTTAAGTGATTGAGCTTTTAAATTAAACAGTATATAAATATACATATAATGTAACAAATAAAGTGAACTGATCTCTTTTTTTCTCCTATGGCTTCTTTTCTATCGTCTAGAAAATGCTTACGTGCTAAATCAATTTTCTTGTCTTGAATATTTCCATAAAATAAATATTTTTTAATTCATGTATGGAGAAAGGATACGCGTTTCTTTAAAATAGAAAAATTTGAAAAGGCTTCCAAAACAAATCTTGAGAGAGATGGCACTTTAATACGTTTTAGTATACTGATATAATTTTAAAGTGATAATTTTCTTTATGAAAAAAAAAAATTCTGTTCATAAATTCAAATTGAATTCAACATAGAAAAAAATTATAAATTCGGAAATACAATTATTTTTTTATAAATAATTGCAAAATTTTTCTTTTACTCCAACTTTCTTTACTCAAGTATTTTAAGTATTTTAACTGAATTAAAAAATTTTTTTTTCATATTTTTAATTCAAGAATTTAAATGAATAATTTAATTAAATATCCAAAATTAAAAGAATTTATTTTCAAAAAGTTCTTTTTAAAAATCAAAATTATTTAAATAAGGTTTTTTAAATATTGACTAACTAGCTATTGTTCCAAATTTTCATTTCAATAAAGCTCAGGTTTTTCGAAAAATATGCCCTTAAAAATTTTATTTCACTACAGCAGTAAATAAAATTAATTTTCAAGTCAATAGTTCCTAAAAAAGAAATTTAAGTGAATTATTTTTTAATAAAAAGCAAATAGCTGTGAAATAGTTAATGAAGTAAGTTCCACGAATCTTATATTTAAATATAAATGTAAATTAAGAATTTAATGAAATTAAAGAAAGAATTTTCCGAGACCTGTAAAATATACTTGTATTTCAGTCGACTGATCTAAAAAAAAAAAAAAAAAATTTCTGCGACGCATTAATCGCGAATCAAGTTTTGAATAATACGCATATATAATATATTATTTTTTCAACGAAAGAACGAATAGGAAAGAAGTTAATTTCGACATGTTCTTGGATGCTGAGTGTTTTTCTATAATTAAATTGGGCCATTTTACTCTTCCATCTTTGCTGTGTGGCCCTGATAAAAAAAAAAACAAAATAATCGAGACCAGCTTTATCTAGTCTCTATGCTGTTGATTTGTTAAATAAATGTTTATTTCGTACAGAAATTCAATTACTTTATATTTTCTTTACCCAAATAATAAAATCCCCAGATGTGAGATATTTTAATTTAAAATATATATTTTCTAGGACGAAAAGTCTTTTCTCAAAAAAATATTTTTAAGTAAAATAAAAAAATAATTTTATTTTCTTAGTTGATTTTTTAATGTCTAAGACACTTTTTTTACATTCAACAGTGGCATGAATCTCACAGGTAACATCAATTAACCGGGTGTTAATTATTGCTATAAAAAACTGTTAATGAACGATAATAAAGAAAAATTTTCTTACCAATTCATAAACTATTCACTTGCAAAAAAAAGTTGCAGTTCAATTTTGAAAGTGAAGTTTGTTTAAACAATAACAATGCCAGGCGGTGTTGTTTTTTTGGTTTGCATTCCCACATTAAGTTACGAGCATGAACTTGTTTTTGGATTTCCGATAAAAAAGGACAAGAAGCCAATAAAACCCAATAAAATGGATTTACGGCTCAAGGATACAAAATCGAAGACAAATTTAATACCTTTGGGAGCTGAAGACACTGATGATGATAATGGCGCAGAAGACGTGGATGATCAAATTGGCAATACTCTTGTCACTTTTCCAGGACGAAGAATTCCCGCAAGGGATCGTAATGTTTCGTCACCAAGAATGCGACCGAAGGACCCTGTTTTTGTTTCAATGGAAACGGTAATTTGATTCATATTTAATGCTTTAGAGATTAAATAAAAGCAAAAATGATTTAAACAAAATTGTTTTGAATTAAAAATCATAATTTAATTTAACATTCTGAATAAAATAAAAATAGTTACTTGGAAATTATTGTAGAAAAACTAATATTTTTGTTAATGCAAAATACGGTTTTTGAAAATTTATTTTCTAGGAAAATCTGAATTTTATTTATTTTAATGTCTTATTCTATGTAATTATAGAATTAACTATTAGAAATTTCGTATTACTTTTGTGCTAATTAGATCAAATTTTTACTAATTTAATTAATAGAAAAATTTTTGTAGAAATATTTACGAAGGTAAAATTTAGAAATTATATTCTATTCCACAATTTTGAGTAGATTCTTTTTAATTTTAAAAGATCACATATCTGTTAAATAAAAATAATTTAATTCTTGCACAGTATTTTATTAATATTTTTAAAAAGAAATTGTTACGATTACTAAGAATTTCATTAAAATCTTTTGAAATTTTTAAATTCGTTTAAGGAATTTAATTAAAATTGTACTGATATTAATTGAATTCATCTGAAGAATTTTATCAAATTTTTTGAAAATATAATTGAATTCTTTCCAAGAATTTAAAAAAAAAATTGTTTAAATAAATGAATTCCATTTAGAATTTTTATTTACACTGTATTGAAAATAATTAAATTCTTTCAAGAAATTATATAAAATTTTTTGAAAATAATTACATTTTTTCAAGAAATTAAAAAATATTGTTTTTTAATAATTGAATTCCATGGAGAATTTTTATTTACATTGTATTGAAAATAATAGAATTCTTAATAAAAAATTTATCAAAACTATTGAAAATAATTGAATTTGTTAAGAAAAATTTTATCAAATTATTTGAAAATAATCGAATTATTTCAAGAAATTAAAAAAAAGTTTTTTTTAATAATTGAATTTTAATTCCATCATAATTAAATTTTTATTAAAAAATTTATCAAAACTTTTGAAAATATAATAATTCAATTTTTTAGAAAAATGTTATCAAACTTTTTGAAAATAATTAAATTCTTTCAAGAAATTAAAAAAAATATAGGTTAATAATTAAATTCCATCGAGAATTCTTCTTTACATTGTATTGAAAATAATTTAATTCTATAAATAAAAATTTATCAAAATTTTTGGAAATAATTCAATTTTTAAAGAAATTTTATCAAATTTTTGAAAATAATTACGTAAATTCTTTTAACAAGTTTAAAAAAAAATTGTTTAAATAATTGAAGTCCATCGAGAATTTTTCTTTACATTGTATTAAAAATAATTGAATTTTTAATAAAAAATTTATCAAAACATTTGAAAATAATTGAATTTTTCGGTAAAATTTTGTTAAAATGTTTAAGAATAATGGAATTATTTGAGTTTTATTAAAATTCTATTAAAAATAATTAAATTCCTCCGAAGAATTTTTTTATTTATGAAAATACATAATTGAATTATTTCGAAGGAAATTAAAAATTCTTTCGAAGAATTTTATTAAATTTTTTTGGAAATAATTGAATTCTTCCCAGAATTTTATTATAATTTTTTGAAATATCTGAATTCTTTCGAGAAATTTTATAAAAATTATACTGAAAATTTAATTGAATTCTTGCGAAGAATTTTACTATTTATAAAAATAATTAAATTCCTACCAAGAATTTTATTATTTACAAAAATATTTGAATTGTTACAAAGGAAGGAATTTCATTTAAATTGGTTTTGAAAATAGTTCAATTCCTAAGAAAAATTGTATTATTTATTAAAATAATTGAAATTCTTTCGAGATATTTAATTAAAATTATATTGAACATAATTAAATTCTTACAATAAGAAACAATTAATTAGTTAATATATAAAATTTTTTTAAATTTTGAACCTGAAATCTTACAAAAATTGAAGTTGATATTTGAAAATAAAAAAAATTGAAATTTGGATAATAATTAATTAAATACCGCGATTTGCGAGCGCATCATTTGCTAAGTAATTAAATAAATAAACTAAAAACAAATATTTACCCAAAAAAGGTTTTAGCTGAACTGCTGAAGAAATTGAGAGTAGAACACGTTGTCTGGTGCAAAGACAGAGCAAATATGTACTACGAGGTAAATAATCATACCAATTTAATTAATTACGTAATAAATAAATTAATTAAAATTTATTGTTAATCTTTGGCGTTTATTTCCAGGTGATTTTTCCAGTCCCTGCCGGAGATCCTTGTGAGAACTGTCTTCATTGTTTAACTGAAATGGGAATAGGAGTTAAAATGAATTCAATCGTAAGGTATAAAATAAAATTTCGATCCAAGTAAAAAATAAAGAATCGATATTAATAATAATCGTTGTTAAATTATAAAATTAACTGGAAAATTAATTTTCAGTGTGATACCAACTCAATGTACTTACAGTGGAGTAAGACATGTGGAAGCAGCCGCCATCAAATTGGAAGAAGAGCGCAGAAGGTTTCAATAAAAAAAAATATCCTTATATTTTAATTTCCTGGTTTTCCTTCATTGAAGGATCCATTTTTCAAAATGAATTAGAAATTGATAAATTCTTGAATGTCACAGAAAAACGGATCAAAGAAGAAATGACTGGGATAATTTTGTGTCATCAATCCGTTCGAAATTGACTGTGAAACAAGTTGTCGACGGTGTTCAAAGCGGTGGAGATTTAACTTTTGATTACATTTTATTGGTATTAACTGCTGAGTAAGCTGCAACTTCTAAACTATATTAAGAAAAAATTCCCAAAAATATCCAGATTTCACCATTTTTGTTCATTTCAAAAATTTCTTAATTTTTCTTCTAATATTTCAGTTGCCTTGCTGCTCTCGGATTAGTTGAAAACAGTGCAACAAATGTCGTTGCAGCGATGTTAGTTTCTCCACTAATGGTACGATTGATTCCTTGAATGATTTATCAAACTTTCACAAATATTCGGAAATTGTAATCGAATTTAAAAATTAATTCATTAATTAATTTTGTTTAGGGTCCAGTAATGTCACTGACATTCGGTACTGTTATAGCTGACAGAAATTTGCAATTTATTGGATTCAAGAGTTTGATGCTGGGAATTTTTCTCTCGATTCTTTTTGGTTTTATCTTTGGTCTCGTTCTTGGTACAACTGAAATGCCCTGGGGCTATAACGATTGGCCGACAGATGAAATGAAGGGCAGGTAAAAAAAAATAGAATCAATTCTACTTCTTTCAAATGTATCTTTCGATTTTTTTGATAATCGAGTATTAATTTTGTTGATTAATTTTCGTCTTAGAGGAAATTATAGATCATTATGGATGGGAGTTCTTTGGGCTTTGCCATCTGGTACCGGAGTTGCTGTTGCTCTTCTTCAAGGCAGTAATGGTCCTTTAATTGGAGTTGCGATTTCCGCTTCTTTATTGCCACCGGTTGTCAACTGCGTAAGAGTCATAATAAATAATAATTAATAATTTAATTAAACTAATTCTAAACTAATTTAATTCTAATTCTAATTAATATCAGGGTTCGAACTAGCAAAAGTATTTAAAAATACGGACTTTATGGACCAAAAATGTAAAATTACGGACCAATTACTGACAAAAATATAGCCAGTCCTAGTCAAATAAGAGAACATTTTACTTAAAACTATAAATTAAATTTTTCATGTTTTATAATAATTAAAGATAACCGAGTGACAAAATCATTATTTTATATTATAAGAATATTGTAACTTCTTTAAAATTATTTTCATTATTTCAATTCAATTATTATTTTCAAAAATTTTTAACTACAATTTTACTTTATATCTATTATTTTTAATAATTTTTGAAAAAGTTCTTTAAGAATTTTTTAAATTCATATGCTTAAAATATTCAATTTTACGAAATGTCAATTATTCGGGAATTCCTTAATTAAACATATATTACAAATTAAAAACTTCAAATAATTTGAAGAAAAATTCAATTAAACTTTTTCAAAAAAATTAATTCTATACAAAATTGTTAGTTAAAAGTAGGAAATATATGTAGATTTTTAAAGTTTTTAATTCGAAACCTTTTAAAAATTCAATCATTTTTAAAAATTTTCACTTCATAGATTTTAATATTTAATCATAATCTGAAATTTTAACTGAAATTTATTTTTAAATAAATTTTTATCAGAAAATTTTACGAGAATTCAATTATTTAAGCACAAAAATAAATAATTTATTGCATGTTTCTTAAAATTGATTTCTCATACAAAATTTTATCAATAAATTTTTAAATAATTGAATTCTTTTGACGAATTTTGATGAAATTTTTAAGAATAATTACATTTTTCGAGGAATTCGATTTAAATTGTGTTAAAAATAATTAAAATTATACGATGAGTTTTATTATTTATAAAAATATAAATTCCTAAAAGAAATTTCATTTTTTGTGAAAATAATTGAATCTCTGTAAAAATATTTTATTATTCTTGAAAATAATTGATTATTTTTAATAATTTTGCAAAAAAGTTCTTTGACAATTTTCAAATCTATTTGTTTACAATATTCAATTTTACGAAATTTTAATTATTCGCAAATTCTTCAATTAAATATAATGTATTAGGAAATAGAAAATTCAAATAATATATAAAAATTCAATTAAACATTTTCAAAAAAATTAATTTCAAAATTCAATTATTTCTATAAATTCACGTCTTATTGCTTGTAATATTCAATTATTACTTAAAATTTTAACTGAAATTATTTTTTAATAGAAACTTCAACTAGAATTTAGTTATTTAAATACAAAAAGAAATAATTTATTGAATAATTGAATGGTGTCTTAAAATTCAATTCCCATAAAGAATCGTTATCAACAAATTTTAAAATAATTTAATTCCAGCAACGAATTTTAATAAAATTTTTAAGAATAATTGCATTTTTCGAGAAATTCGATTAAAATTGCTTTAAAAATAATTGAAATTCTGTAATGAGTTTTATTATTTGTGAAAATAATTGAATTATTGCGAAGAATTTTATTACACTTGAAAATAATTGAATTTCTGCAATAATTTGTAACTTTTACAAAATTGAATTTTTTTTCTTGTTTTTAACTAATCATTTCTATAAATCCATTATTTTTAAGAATTTTTGAAAAAGTTCTTTAAGAATTGTCAAATTCATTTGTTTACAATTCAATTTTAAAAAATTTCAATTATTCGTAAATTCTTCAATTAAAATATATATTAGAAAATAAAAACTTCAAAAAATATAAAAATAATTCAATTAAACTTTTTCAAAAGAATTAATTTTACAGAATTGTTTGTTAAAAATATGAAAAATTCAAATTTCAATTCTACTAGAATTCAATTATTTCAATACAAAAATAACAATTTTTTAATAATTGAATGTTTCTTAAAATTAAATTCTCAGAAAGAATTTTATCTATAAATTTTTATATAACTGAATTCTTTTGACGAATTTTAATAAAAATTTTAATAGTTTTTTCGAGGAATTGGATTAAAATTGAATTTAAAATAATTGAAATTCTACAATGAGTCTTATTATTTATGAAAATAATTCAATTCCTAAAAAGAATTTTATTATTTTTGAAAATAATTGAATTTCGGAGAAGAATTTTATTAGTTTTGAAAATAATTGAATTTATGCAATCATTTGTAATTTCTCTAAAATTATCCAAATTATATCGTTCAATTTACGAACTTTTTATCATTCTTTAATCAAATTACGGACTTTACGGACCTTTTTTTTAAAAAACGGACTTTTACGGACCTAGTTCGAGCCCTGATACTTAGAATTTAAACTAATTCGAAATTAATTAGAAATAGAATTTCTCACTGGTTGAAAGATTATTTTAAATATAAAGCAAATTTACATCAAAGTCACTTTGACTTGAAAGATTGATAAATATGCTTTGCATCTAAAATAATATGAAATTAGATTAATTCAATTATTTGACTATTTAGTTAATTTAATTCACATCAATTATTTCTATTCGATCATTTTTGCTACCTTGAAAGTATTAGAATTTTATTTTCTATTTGACTGACTTGTTTAGGGATTATTTTGGGCCCTTGGTTGCATTTGGCTCATATATCGACCAATTAAAATGCCTCACATTAAAGGTGAATCCTATACAGATTTTAATAGTTCTTATAAATATGTCTACACTGATTATCTACCGGTTGAATTTTTCTGCAATGGCATCATCAGTGCGTGTCTAACATTCGTCAATGTCGTCTGCATCTTTATAACTGCGATCATTGTCCTCAAGGTTTGTAATTTCTTCAAATTTCTCCAATTTTCAATTATTTTCAATTTCTAAATATTTAAATTCCTCTTCTCATTTTCTTTCTTTCTTTCTTCTTCTTTTTAATTCTTTTCAGATCAAAGAAGTAGCAGCTCCTTATACTTCAACACCAGAACTCCGACGATTCTGGGAACATGATATTCGTTTAGTTCGTGATAAGAATATATCACGAGACAATAGTTCTCTTGATTCTAGGTAAATATACTGCAATAGAGATAAAATTATATCCGTGAGTGTAAAAGAAAAATACTAAATTCTTTGCTTCCAGCTTTTACGATGGATTAAGTAAGATGAAGAAAAAAGCTTTGGAACGTACCCTGAATGAAGCGGTTCTTGAAGCAATTGACGATGATACCTTCCGTAAAGTTCAACGGGCCAGTTATGGACAACATGGAGCTGAAGATGTGAGACTAACTAAAAAAACAAAATTATTAAATTAAAGTAAAACAAAATTATTTACCGAGTTTTGATTTTCTACAATTTTTCTTTAAACAGATATCGCCGAGAATTGGATTACGAAACGCGCACGGAGTATCGGATTTGAAAAATAAAGGAGCAGACAAGCATGTCGATACTTCTCATCCAATCGAAGATTTACCGAATCAATTGCAAGCAAACACCACCGAGGATCTTGCAGCTCTTGACAGACTCATAACATACTTACTCGGTCAGCCATCCACGAATAATTCGAATAATAATCCTGGAACTTCAAATTTAGACAGTTGGCAACGTTCATTTCGCGCCAGCGCAAGGGGATACCGTCCATTGAGACCAAATGAAAATCACGGCGAATCTTCAAATTATGGAATTGGCACAACACCATTGTAAAGATAAATTTTTTATTAAAATTACTAAGTATCGATAATAACATTCTCCTTCTTCTTCTTTTTGTAGAAATAAGTACATGAAGACATAATATAGTCTTCATTATTCGCACATAATAATCACGATTTTGAATAATATATAAGTTACGTATAGTAGTCGATAATAATAATCGATAATAATCAGTCAAATATACATGCCAAAGTCTTTTCAAAAAATGTTAATCATCTTCGAGAGATGGTTCAGTTCCAAAATATCGATCACCAAAATTACCGATTCCTGGAAGTACGTAGAATTTTTCATTGATCTCTGGATCAACGGCCGAGGTGACAATTTTCACTCCTGGGAAGGCGTAGGCTATTGAATGCACCCCGGATTCAGCCATTAGCAATGATACAAGAAGAATGTTTTCTTCACCAACGTCATGATCGAGAAGAACTCTTATCGCCATCATTGCAGCGGCACCAGTCGCTACTGTTGCGTCCATCAAAATCACCTTGTAGTCTTTTATGTCCTTCGGTAAGCGTAGATAATATAACTGAAGAGAAACAAAAAATTATCATTAACGGAAACTATTAAAATTATTAAATTAGAGTATTAAAAGTATTCTTAAGAAGAAGAGTTTAATGACTTTTCTTTGCAATTTGTTCAAATGCGCACCTCTGGTTCTCCAGTATGAAGATTAGTCTGAATCAGAATTTTGCCGATACGTATGTCTTTACAAACATCTCTTACAGCTTGTTCCATCGTTTCACCGGCTCTTAAAATAGAAACGCCACAAATTTTATTGGTTGCCGCTCGTTTTCCATGATAAGGAACACCTTGTGGTGTTTCAACTGTGATTTCCTGTATGACAGAAAAATTATTTTAACGGGTTGTTTCTTTTCTTTCTTGACACTATATTTAATAATATTTTCAATACTCTTACATATTAATCATGTTAATAAACTAGCAAATATTACATCGCTAGCGCGCGAAACGCCGTATTCAATTTATTATTGTTATGCAAATTACAGAATTTTTTATTTTTAAATATCAACTTTTTCAATTTTTGAATAATTAGATTGAAAATTAAAAAAAATCAATTATGTATTAACTAATATACTACTTAATTATTATTGTTTGTTAATTTCAAAAATTTAAGAAAATTCTTCGTAAGAATTAAATAATTGACACAAATAATAAAATTCTTAGGAAAATTTCAATTATTTTTATAAATATTACAATTCTTCTGAAGAATTAAATTTTTTTTGTAAATAATAAAATTTTCTGAGGAATTCTATTATTTTCAATAGAATTTTAATAAAATTTCTCGAAAGATTTCAATTTTTAAAAAAATTTTAATAACAATTTTCTAAGAAATTCAATTATTTATTTATTTTCAAAAGATGTGATAAATTGTTTTTTAAGAATTCAATTATTTTCACAAATAATACATTTTTTCGCATGAATTGAATTAATATTCAGTTAATTTTTTATAAAATTTCATGAAACAATTCAATCATTTCTAAAAAAAATTTTAAAATCACGAATGAAAATTTTAATTACAATTATTACAGTAGACACGATTATTTTAAAAAGTTGAAAGAAATTCTTTCGTAAAATTCAATTATTTTCCAAATTTTTAATTAAAATTATTTAACAAACGATATTATTTTTAAAAAAACTTAAAAAAATATCTCAAAAGAATTTAATTTGGTATTTACGAAAACTCTAATAAACAACCTAGTTCAAAAGAATTCAAATTTTAATAAAATTTAATAGTAAAATTATATTAATAATCTATATTAATAATCGTTGTGTTCCGGTTGGTTCCGGTAATCTGTTCGCAGTTTGAAGTTAGTTGTTATTTGCCTTTTTGTTTCTTAACTTTTTGAATAAATTAAAAATAAATTCTTTTTAAATATTTTCAATTTTAAAATTAAGATATATTGAAAATCATCAAATTTTTGCAAAGAATTTTATCAAAAAGTTTGATAATAATAGAATTCCTTCGAAGAATTTTATTATTTAGGAAAATCATTGAATTCTCTTGAAGAATTTTGTTCAAATTTTTGAAAATTCCAATTAAATTCTTTTTGAAGAATTGCTTTCAATTTTTTTTTTTTTAATAATGGAGTTTTTTTCACTAATTTTAATTAAAAACTTTTAAAATAATTGAATTTTATGAACAATTTCTTTCAAGATTTTATTAAAATTTTAGAAAATAATTAAATTTTTGCAAAGAATTTTACTATTTATAAATATAATTGAATTGTTTTAAAGGGTTTATTATAATTTTAGAAAATAATTGAATTTTTTTTTTTAAATATTAAAAATGAAAAAAAAATTGAATTCTTTTATGAAAAGTTATTAAATACCTATGTATTAAAAATAATTGAATTTTTGAAAAGAATTCTATTATTTATAAATATAATTGGATTTTTTCGCAGAATTTATTAAAATTTTAGAAAATAATTGTATTCTATTGAAATTTTTTATAACGAATTAAGAAAAAAATTTAATTCTTTCCTGAAATTTTTTTGAAAATAATTAAATTTTAGCAAGGATTTTAATATTCTCAAAAATAAATGAATTGTTTTGAAGGATTTATTAAAATTTTAGAAAATAATAATTGTATTCTTTCCTGAAATATTATTAAAATTTTGTTTAAAAATAATTGAATTTTTTATTCAAATAATTGAATTCTTGCGAAAAATTTTATTAAAATTTAAAAAATTGATAAACATGAAAAATTAATTATGTACTTAATAAGTGAATGTTTTAAATTTTGAATCTAAAATTATTCAAAAATTTATATTTGAAAATAAAGATTTTTTTGTAATTTGCATAATAATAATAAATTGATTTAATCACATTTGCTAGTCATTAATAAAATCGATTAAATTCAAAAAATTGTTCAAAAAATTCAAGAAATTGTTCGAAAGAATTTAATATTTTCTAAAAATCTTAATAAAATTTTAAAAAATGGTTTAATCGTAAATCATGTTTTTTTTAATAATGATTGAATTTTCCAAAAACTTTCTCAAAATTACAAAAAGAATTTATTTAGAGTAGAATTTCAGTTTAATATTCTAAAAAATAATGGAATTTTGGAAGAATGATAATTGTAATTTGTAAAAATTACTAAACTTTAAAGGATTATATAATTGAAATTTTTAAAAATTTTAATTCAAGTGAAAAATTAAATATGTAATTATAAATTTTTAAAGTAATTCAACAAAATTACTAAATCATTAAATAATTTAATTTTAAAAAATTGAAAACTTTGTCCAATTTTATTGAAACAAGTTTCATATTTTAAAGAAATTTATCACAATTTTAGAAAATAGTTTTATCTTCAAAAGAAAAATATTAAAAAATTGGAAAAGTGTATTTGAAAATCAATAAATTTGAATTGTAATTATTTCAGTATTCCAGTTCTGTCAAAATGAGTAGACAGAATGATTGAATGCATTTGTCATTATATGTAACATCAGTAATAATTAATTTACCTGGAAAGGTAAAAGCGAAAGAGCATATTCAATAACCAGGCGTATAAGTCTTTTGGAGTAAAAAATGAACTCATCGCGATGTGTAAATTTGTTCCTGATGAAAGTATGAAGACCTTTACTTTGTGGTGAATCAGGAAGCATAAAAAGAGAAGACGGCATTGGTTGTCCGAGGCAGGAGTGCGCAAGTTTTTCCCTCAATTTAAAACCTCTCTGTAGAAAATTAAACAATTTAAATTTACAATTTTTTAAAAATTTCATTTACAAATAGTCTTTTTAGTAAATTTTTTTAAAAAACAATAATTTTATCTCTCAGTCGTCTTTAATTATTATAAAATATGAAGATAACGATCACTTCGAGTCGAAGACTCGGAGTGATCGTTATCTTCATATTTTATAATAATTTTTTTTTAGTTAATAGCGAATTTAGCCTAGCAATTATTTAAATTAATTTAAAATTCCATTCTTAAATATTAATTTAAAATAGAAAGAAACGAACCAGCTGAAGTTGAGTGTGAATATGTTGTACAATTAGTTCGATCGCCACTTCATTTTCTCCGCCGCGTGGCACAATAATGTCAGCATGAACCATTGACGGAGCGATGTAGTAGTAAAATGATGGCTTAACCATTGTCGAATACTGCTTTAAAACACCTTCAAGATCTCTGCCCCTTTGCGTAATATCCCTACGCAGTCGTCGTGCAAGTCTTATATCGGCATCCGTGTCAACGAAAACCTTCATGTCACACAGCTTCATATTTTGAAGAAATATAGTAGTAAAACAATTCAATGAGAGATAATAATGTTTGTTTTTTTCTATCTACTTTCCTTATAATTTCATCACACTGGAAACGCGAAATTGGACGTGAAGCAAATAAAAATGTAAAGGAAACAAAAGGGACAGGAGGCCAGCAGTTGAAAATCCTGATCCTGTACTCTGTAAATTTTCTTCAATTATACAACCTTTTTTCCCAATAAAAAATTTCGATAGCAAAAAAATTTCATTTTTTTTCTGTAGTAATGATCAGTATTACAACCACCGCTGTGTTAGTGGTAGATAAGTGATTAGAGAAAGCGAAAAAAAATAACAGTAATACCAGGGTTGACACAAAAATTTAATTTTCATTTTTCTCTGACTTTTCCCTGATTTGAAGAAAAATTTTTGACTTTTTCCCTGACCCTGAAGATTATTCTGATTCACTCCAAAAATTATTAGATTTTCAAAAAAATGTTGCATTACATTTATTTACGAATTTCTTTAATTCAAACCTTCTGAAATTCAATAACTTTTGAGAATAACAACAAATTTAAGATGACAGAGTGATAAAATCATTATTTTATATCATCAGAATATTGTAACTATAAATTCAAATTTTCAATTATTTTAATTTGAACCCTTTTCAAAATTCAATTATTTCTAAAAATCCACGCTATTATTCATTTATAATTTAAAATTTTAAGTGAAATTCGTTTTTTAATCAATTTTTATTAGTAAATTTTCCGAGAATTCAATTATTAAAATACAAAAATAAATAATTGAATTTTTATGAAGAATTTTATCAAAACTTTTGAAAATAATTGATTTTTAGACAAATTTTGTTAGACTTTTTAAGAAAAATGTAATTATTTGAGTTTTATTAAAATTACATTAAACATAATTAAATTCCTGCGAGAAATATTATTATTTAGGAAAATAATTGAATTGTTTTAAAGGAAATTAAAAATTCTTTCGAAGAATTTTATTGAATTTTTTGGAAATAAGTGAATTCTTCTCAGAATTTTATTACAATTTTTTTAAATAACTGAATTATTTTGAGATATTTTTATAAAAATTATACTGAAAATTTAATTGAATTCTTGTAAAGAATTTTACTATCTGTAAAAATAATTAAATTCCTGCGAAGAATTTTATTATTTCTCCAAAATAATTGATTTTTTCTGAAGAATTTTATTCAAATTTTTTTAAATAATTGAATTCCCATAAAAAATGTATTATTTGTGAAAATAATTTAATTATATAGGAAAATTTTGTTACACTTTTTAAAAATAATGCAATTATTTGAGTTTTATTAAAATTACATTAAAAATAATTAAATTCCTGCGAAAAATTTTATTATTTAGGTAAATAATTTAATTGTTTCGAAGGAAATTAAAAATTCTTTCGAAGAATTTTTATTAAATTTTTTGGAAATAATTGAATTCTTTCCAGAATTTTATTACAATTTTAATAAAATAACTGAATTCTTTTGAGAAATTTTATAAAAATTATACTGAAAATTTAATTGAATTTTTGTAAAGCATTTTACTATCTGTAAAAATAATTATATTCCTGCTAAGAATTGTATTATTTATGAAAATAATTGATTTCTTTTGAAGAATTTTATTCAAATGTCTTATTAAATAGTTGAATTCCCATAAAAAATGTATTATTTCTGAAAATAATTTAATTATATAGGAAAATTTTATTAAAATTGCAATTTTATTTGACAAAAATTAAGGTCCTGAAAACATTCTACGTTTCAATTTTATTAACAAAATTTTGTAAAGAATTTTGTCCAAATTTTTTTGAATAATAGAATTTTTAAACGAAGTTTATTTAAATTTTTCGAAATAATTGAATATCTCAAAACTATTTCTATTGAATTTTCTGAATAAATTTGAATTCATTCGAGAAACTTCATTAAAAAAGTAAAAATAATTGAATTGGTGCAAAGAAATTTATAAAAAATTGATAAGTAATTGAATTTCTGTGAAATTTTTATAAATATTTTGTTTAAATAATTGAATTCTTTTGGAAAATTTTATAAAAATAGTAGATATTATAAATAATTGAAATGAGGAAAGTTTTTGAAAATAATTGAAATTTTGCCAAGAATTTTATTAAATTTTTTGAAAATAATTGAATTTCGGAGAAGAATTTTATTATTTATAAAAATAATTGAAATTTTAATGAGAATTTTTAAAAATTTTTGAACATATTTGAATTTATACGAAGAAGTTTATCATTTTTGAAAATAATTGAATTTCTGCAATCAGTGGTTCTTAAAATTTCTATTTAGATTCATTAAAAATTGATATTTTCTAAAATTTCAAATTGGAACCTTTGAAGTTCATCTATTTATGAAGATTGAAAACACAACTCTTTTGAAATCTAATTAATTTTGAAATTTTTAAGTAAAATTATTCATTAAATAATTTCTAAGTAATAATTTCATGATAGTTCTTCAGAAATTTATTTTATTTCAAAAGAAACTATTGTCAAAAATAGAAAAAATTGAAGGGTTTGTATTTGAATTCTTTGGAATTTCATAGTTTATAAGACAAACAAAAAATACACCAAACTTCAGAATTTTCTTATAAATTCAAAAAATTAAATTCTTTTCAGTACTTTTAATAAAAATCCCTGACTTTTCCCTGAATTCCCTGACCTGTGGCAACCCTGAGTAAGAGTAAGGAATTTTTGTGTTCGTGCTTTAGTTTGAAAAGAAATTGAAACATGCAAACACACAATATCTAAGTTTTGTTTTAAAATTACCTTCAACACGTCTGCGTTGTAGAAGGTTAATATACCTTCGAAAATTATGACATTGGCACCATACATCGTTTTCTTTGCAGTCAAGAAATTTATAATTAAAATTCATTACTTAATAATAAAGTAGGTTAATAAATTTAGAACTTACGGTCCGATTTTCTCTCGAGTGCGTAACAAAGTTGTAAATAGGAACCTCAACCTTACGACCTTCTTTAAGTCGTTGAAGTGTTGCTTTCAGTAATTCAAAGTCGAAGGCATCTGGATGATCGAAATTATATTCGTTATTAGCAGCCATTTCATGCTGTTTCTCATTGAGAACCTGTTTTGAAAATTGCAACTGTTTTAGAAACATTTTCATCTTCATTCTATTTGAATTTTTCTTAATTTTCCAGTCTATTTTCTATTTTAGTTCTATTTATCATTTCTCAAGTTTTTGACACTGAATTAAATTCTTCTATTCACCAAGTCTTCGTTAATTTTATTAGAAATAAAATCTCACTTTATAGAACGAATCCATGCTGAGTAATGTGACCCATGGAACATCCAGAGATTCTATAATTTTCGTTGCTACCGTTGTTTTTCCAGAAGCACTGCCACCGCAAATACCTAAAATATTCATTTAAATTAATCATTTAAAATTTGCGAAACAATTTAAATTTATTTAAACAATAAAATCAGAACTGTGTAAATAAGGATAAATGAGCCTCGAGAGATTACGTAAAGAGATTACGTTTATATAATGTAAAAACATCAGAATTGAAAGCGAAGTTAATTTTTTTTCGAAAATATATAAATATCAACTGACCAATAACAAAAGGTTCGACTTGTTGTCCTGCATAATTATACCAAGGAGGACGTCCTGCGGTGTAAATAGTTCTCGTCTTACTTCTCAAAATTGATTCCGAAGATGTTTTCTTATTAGACTGCGACATACTTGTTGTTCGTTGTCTTCGAGATCTTGGTGACTTCTGAGATCCTGCAAATAAATTTTCAGTTTAAAAAGAAATACAAATTTTTACTGCAAATATTGAATTAAATCCCATTTTACGAGAAAAGTCGCATAAAATCAAAAAACACACAAATAGAATTGAGAAATTCACCTGTAAACAAAAATTCCAAATAAAATAAAAATATTGTTTCACCTTGTCAAAAATGAGTGGAACTTATTTTTAATTTAAACGACTGGAGGAAAAATTTAAGCACAATTCACAAATTAATTTTAGCTTCTCTTAAATTATAGAAAATGAGGAAATGGAAATTTAATTATAATATTAAATGCAAAAATATTAATCAGTGTTGGAAATCATAAAAATAACTCCTATAATAGAAAATCAATATCAGATAAAGCGCAGATCACGAAACATTCATCTGTTGCTCCTATTAGGTAAGCAAATAAAATATATCAAATTACGTAAATTAAAATTTATGAAATTTATGAAATTTATTTATAAGGAATTTTTTAATTTTTTCTAATTCTAAAATATTTTGTAAACAAAATACAAGATATGTACATATAAACCAAAAAAAAATGCAAAAACAAGTATAGAAAATAGAACGTTAATAAATGTTATAATCTTAAATATTTCGAATTTCACTATTCATGTAATTTATTTCACTTGGGAAAATTTTTGTAGTTTATAAAAGTTGATTGTTTGCACAATGTTTTAGCACTTTGGAGTAGGGAAAAGGTCGTGAATTTACTTAACATTACTATAATTATTACCGCTACTGTGCGAGGCATTATTACAAACAAAAAGGAAGCATTTATGTAGAACAAGCATTCTTTTCAAGAATTTTTCAAGAAATAATAAAAACAATAGCTAAACAATTACCAGCGGAAGGAGGCCTTGGCGATTGTGGAGTAGGTGTACCCATATCAATTCTTTGTTGACAATCATCGTCACATGTTTCTTCAATTAAACAAATCTCTCGATCGACTAGGCATGCATCTCCATCATCGCTGCAATCAATTACATCATATATGATTAATTTACTTGATGTCAGTTTGTACTCATTCTCGCGGTCAATGTTACACTGCAGTTTTAGAGGTCAATTTTGAGGTTAGAATTGCAGAAAAATGTTGAATAAAGATTTTTTGGAGAATTTACCTTTCGGAGCTCGCGGAACTTGGTGTTTCAAAGTGTTGAATTTTTGCAGCCATTTGATTTCTTAATTTGAAAGTGCTATAGAAATGGCAGGCACTTGAAAAACGTGCTTGTGAAATTATATTTGACGTAGAGAGCTTGTCTCGCGCAGGTATATACTGGCGGAGATGTGCGAATGTGTTGTGCCACGAATCAACTCTTCCGTCTCTTTTATTTGTCCACGTATAGCAGGAGCAAGTGAAATAATATGATTGCAGTTATTAGCTAGCTGGCTATCAAATGCAATTTAAAAAATAATAAATAAAACATCTTTGTGCATTCTCGATAAAAATTAAATTTTAAGGTTATGTGAAAATGGAGGATAATTGACAGCTGGCTTTGTGATTATTACATATTTTTCTCAAAAAATCTAAGTTCAGAGTAAGTATTTTTATTAATCTCGTGTATTTTTTTCTTGTATTCGTTTTCGGGAATTCTGAGATTATTGACAAAGAGCAAAAATTATTTAAATTAACAAAATTTGGAGTAAATTAGAAGTGTCAAAGTATACTGTCTGACAAATTTGGAGTAATACAATATTTATACTTCTTTTTATAACATTTTTTCACTGTTTCTCTAAATAAATTAGCTAATAATAAATTTTTCTCAATCGATAAATATTAGTCAATCAATAATTAGTCCAAAAAAAGAGTACATTTATTGTATCAAACACATATTTTTAAATAACAAAAGTCGTATTTTCTATTTTTCCAGCAGAGTGTATTTTTATACTTTCGAATTTATTATTCCTGAAAGGGGAAAACGTAATTATTTCATTTCCGCAAATGTCCTTTGTTGTATATTCAAGCGTAGAAAAATTATGCTTATCCTTTTGTTGACATTCAGCTATATTTTAAACATTTATTTGTTGTAACTTTTTCTCTTATATAATAAACTAGTTATTTACATTTCTCGATAAAACTTTTAAAAATAGAAGTACAACAGATTTTCATGTAAGCAATGTTTCTATTTGAAAGCAATTTAAACTCTTATCTATAATTTTTCGTGTGACACGACAGCAGTTTATTAGTTTAAAAATATTGTTTGTTTTTTTCAATATTCTGATGGATAATTTTTTTTTCAGCAGTAGTAGATACTGTTTATTTAAGATAATCAGTTTTACTATTTGTTTCAGCTCTCGTAATGTGAATCATTTGCCACGAAAACAGTGTTATTTAGCTTAGGATGATTGGATTGTGGTCTTGGCGATCAAGTTGGCTCGGAAAACTTGGTTTATTGTTACTTGTTGCATGGCTTATTGTGCTCATTGTATCAGTTTCTCAGGTGTACAAAACAAGTTCATCGTCTTCATTTAGTGATTCAGTTAATAGACAAAATGATCAACGACTTGTACAAATGGCTAGCGATTTTGAAATTCTCAAAAAACAGAATGAAGCACTGCGAAACATCATTATGGGGTGAGTTGACATTATTTTCAATTCTTGCTTCTAAAAATAAATAGATTTGTAAAAATTTCGATTTTTATTTGCAATTTTCAGAGATGAAATAAAGTCCATAAAAGGGGATCATTTAGGTTTAATTTTAGATCAATTGGAAAAGGCTTCTATTTATCCTGATCCTGTGGGTTCTCATGGAAAACCTTCCTTTGAATATGAGGAATTAAAGAGACGCGTACGGAACAATATTCAAGAAATGTGGTAAGTATTGTATTCAGAATTGACCCAGGTCAGAGAATTTTAAGAAAAGTACTTGAAAATATTAAATTTTAAGAATTTGTAAGAAAATTCTAGATATTATTATCCACCAATTTTGGAAAATATTTAAAATAAATTTTTCTTTTTGTTTGTTTATAACTTTGAATTCATCACGAACTTTAATACCAGAATTTAGAACTAAAATTACTTAAAAGTTTAATACTTTTTCATATGTTTATTTAAATATAATTAAAATTCTACATCCATTGAAATTTTCAAAAATTTTTAAGTTGAAACCTTTTGAAATTTTACTATTCCGAAAGATTGCTACTGTTACTTTTACAACGTTAAAAAAAAAAATCTAGAAAATAATTGTATTTTCTAGATTTTTTTTTACTAAAATTCTTTTATAAATCAATTATTTTTAATAATGTTGAGAAAGTTTTTTGAGTATTCAATGATTAGGTAAATAAAAAAACGTTTATTTAAAATGCAATTTGAAATTTCAATTTGTTTTCAAAAAAAGGAATTTTGATTATTCGCAAATTTTTTAATTGAATATGTGTTTAAAAATTCCAAAAATTACTAATAATTAACTGATTTTTAAAAATATTTGAATAACATTTTTACAAGAGACTGACAATTAGTTATTTCGGATTTTTAATTAAAATTATTCAAAATTTATATCTTTAGAAATTTCAATTTGAAATCCTTTGAGATATTATTATTTCCAAAAATTTCTCTTGTTACTTTAGAATTCAATTATTCAAATTCAAAAAAGTTAATTTAAAATAAATCTAAAATTTAATTGTTTTTAACATTAGGAAATAAAACGAAATTTTTATTATTCCAAAATTTGTTTAATTGAATGTATGTTCGAACATTTCAAAAAATTACTAACAAAGAACTAATTTAAAAAAAATTTTAATAAAAATTTGGCAAAGTTCTTTGAGAATTTAATTATTTAAAATTAATTTTCTTCAGAAGTTTTTACTACAATTCTTCGGAAATTCAAAATTTTTAATTAAAATTTTTCTCTAGATCAAATATTTTGAATAATATTTAGAAAGTTTTTCGGGAATTCAATTATAGAAATACAAAAGTTCAATTTTTTATAAAATTCAACTATAACTTTTAAGGGTTTTTTAAAAAAATTTTTTAAGTTGAAAAGGAGAAATTCTTTAATTTTTATTAATTGTGAAAATAATTTAATTCTTGAAGAACTCTTTGATGAAATTATTAATTATAAATTATCAAGTGGATAATTTTATTTTAAAATTACCAAAATAATTGAATTTTAAGAGAGTTAAGTTTACAATTTTTTTAAATAATTGAATTTAAAAAGGTTTCAAATCGAAATTTTAAAAAATTTTAATTCTTTATAATTTTAATTATAAATCCTGAGAAATCTAGTGTTTGAAAAATTTTTATTTAAATTGTTTTTTTAAATTACATTGAATTTTTGATTATATATATATTTAATTGTAAAATTTTCGAAGAATCCAAGTTTCGTAAAATTGAATTGTAAACAATCGGTTTTTAAAATTATTTTTGATGATCTTTCTGTCGTTCTTTGAGTAATTGAATTTTCGAAAAACTTTCTCAAAATATTGTTAAAAATAATTAATTTAACAACTGATTTAGTAATACTATAAATTATAAAATTATAAATAGTCAAATTTAAATTTATAAAAATAATTGATTTAGAAAAGAATGTTAATTAAAAATTCTATAAAATTGTAATTGAACTGAATTCTTGAAAATCAAGGAAAAAGGCAAAATTTTGTCTGGAAGTCAGAGAAAAATAAAATAAAATTTTATATGGCATCTGTGTATATTATAAGTTCTTAAGGAAGTGAATTTTGTTTTTTAATTATTTATCATTTTTGATAAATTAAATTTCCCAGAATTTAATAATGTGATTATTATTATTTTCTCTTTTTTATTATAATTCACTGTATTTAAATTTTATTCGTGTTATTTTCTTATCTTTTCTTTATTATTTAAACAGGTATTACATTAATGCAGAATTGAATAGAATTAAGAAACGCGCACACGAATTACCTTTCGAAAGTGAATTGCAAGACGCAATAAAAAACGTATGGGAACATAAAAAATCTCTTTTAATAGATGTAGATAGATTGACAAAAGCTGACGGTCATGATGAATGGCGTGAAAAAGAATCGAAAGAATTATCTGATTTGGTTCAGAGGCGATTTACGTATCTTCAAAATCCGAAAGACTGTAGTAAAGCAAAAAAATTAATATGTAATTTAAACAAAGGCTGTGGATTCGGTTGTCAGGTATTTTTTTCCCTTTCTCTCTCTCTCTCTCTCTCTCTCTCTTTATTGAACCTTATTGAGAATTTTAATCAGAACTGAATTTTAATTAGAAATAAATTCGTTAATTTTGTAGATTCATCACGTGGTCTACTGCTTCCTGGTAGCATTCGGTACGGAAAGGACAATGATTCTGAAATCAAAGGGCTGGCGCTATCACAAGGAAGGATGGGATTCAATTTTCAAGCCTTTGAGTGAGACATGTTTATCGACGAGCGGTGACTCGTATGCTAATTGGCCAGGCGATGAGAACGTGCAAGTGATCTCATTGCCTATTGTCGACAATGTACATCCAAAACCGCAATATCAACCTCCAGGTGTTCCTGCCGATCTAGCGCCACGTTTAGAGAAACTTCATGGACATCCCCTCGTTTGGTGGGTGGGACAAGTATTAAAATTCCTCATGAAACCGCAAGACGACATAAGTAAAGTCCTCGAGGAAGCTAAAGAGAAACTTAGATTTAAAAAACCAATCGTCGGCATTCACGTTCGACGAACCGATAAAGTTGGAAGTGAAGCCGATTTTCACGATATCGACGAGTATATGACAAAAGTTGGCCAATATTTCGATAGTTTGGAGGAGCAACCAGATGTGAGGAGAGTTTTCATAGCCAGTGACGATCCAAAAGTTATTCCATCGGCTAGAAATCGTTATCCTTCCTACGAGATAATTGGCGATCCTGCAATTGCTGAGACAGCATCTGTTTCACGACGTTATTCCGATGTTTCGTTACACGGAATTCTCATTGACATTCATCTTCTTTCATTGAGTGATTTTCTCGTTTGTACATTCAGTTCACAAGTTTGTCGTGTCGCTTATGAATTAATGCAAACATATTACGTCGATGGTTACAATCGTTTTGCATCCCTCGACGATGTCTATTATTACGGTGGACAAAATTCACATCCAAGTATTGCAATTTTGGATCATAAGCCAAGGAAGGGCGATGAAATTGAATTGAAAGTCGGTGATCTAGTCGAAGTACTTGGAAATCATTGGAATGGTTTTTCAAAAGCTCGTAATTTACGAACCAATTCAAAGGGATTGTATCCTAGCTTTAAAGTTGTTAATCGAGTAAAGAAAGTAGACTTTCCCAAGTATTCAAATGTGCCCTTACGTGAAATTAAAGTATAGTGATAAATTAATTCTAAACGAAAAAGATTGATACGTTAAGTTTAATTTATTTAATTAATTAAATTAGCCTTTACGTTATAGATTAACAATCATATAGTTCTTCATTGTGATCTATTTGTTAAAAATGAAAAATAATTTTTAATCTTTCTGTTATAATCATGTTCGAGTGACATTCATGATTATAACGATGCGTTTTGAATAATTTTTCAAATTAGAATTTATTTAGTTTTTTTTTAATTCTTTTTAATATACAGTATGTTACATAATGTATTTTCTAATCTATCTCAGATATTTTTCTAAGAAATAATTATATATTTTTGCTTAGAAAAAGAATTAATTCGTGAGACGTGGGTATATGTGCAAAAAAAAAGAAACGAAACATTTTTAAGTTTTAATAATCAGTACTTGATATTTTGAAAATATTGATTTAGTCGTCCAAAGATTTCATTATTTTGTATTATTTTGAAAATATCTGTAGAAAGTTGAAATGCCGTTAAAATTACAGACTTGTCAAATCTTAATAGAGACTGAATTGTGAAAAATTCTGCTGAAAATCATTGTAAAAGAAAGTCAATATTCTCTTTTCTTAATAATTGTATAGTCGCTAAAAATAATAGTTAAAGAAAAAAGTAAAATATAAATAATGTTTTGCAAATGTAGAATTATGAAGAAGGTAATTGGTAAATTTTTTTATTATATTTGTTATATAATAAAATAAAATAAAATGAAACAATATTGCGATATTATAATGATGATAATTATAATAATAAATTAGTATTACTTGTGAATTAAATCAATTAGTATTTTAATATAAATTTTTGACTTATTGGAATATTTTAATGCCGATTCCTTCTTCTAATTGCAAATTTATTATAAAATACGAGCTTTTTGAAAATTTCATCGTATAAATTATAACTTTGCCATTAATTAGTGTAGAATAATGGATTTTATGTTTATTATAAAATTGTGTTTTTAGTTTATATAATGCCCTTTACCAAATATGTAAATTGACATATATTAAAAAAAGCTCCCTTTCAATCTTCGAGTATTAGAAAATTGTTTATGTCAGAGCTTAGCGTGCAAGGGCAAATCATTCTTGTATAAAATAACTTTGAATGCTGTACATGTTTATAAAACATGGATATCGAGCTGGGCTTGACGCCTGTTTTTACTATAATTAGAATTGTTCTTGTATACATATTGTAATATATTTTATACTATGAGGCAAATAAGAATTATTGTATGACTGATTTTGGTTTTCAATAATAAATATTTAATTATAAAATTTCGTCTTAATTATTCAAATTTGATTTTTTCATTAAATAATTTATTTATTTATTTACATTAATTAATTATTGATTTGATGAAGTTTAAATTAGATATTTATTTTAATTAAAAATTGTCATTACTAACCATTTTCAAGACATTTTTTTTTATTTTAAATTTCGCGCTATTTATTAAAAAATATAACGACCCACGTGGTTTTAGTGAGTATTTAAAAATGGCTAACAATTTTTGACAGCTGCAGGTGTTGCAGTAAATTGTTTATAAAAAACATGTAGATTTTTAATTTTACTGGCTGAGAAATGAATCAAATTTTTCGTTTTTGTAAAATTGATCCTTTTGTAATTTCACGTCATTATGGAAATCAAGGGTAAGTCAATCATACAAAAAGAAACAAACAAAAGAAAAACAAGTACTTACCTTTTCGTGTTTTTATTATGCAATATTATGAAAAAGTTATTTTTATAGTTTTTATTTTACGCGTAAATTTCTAATATAACTTCGTTTATTTATTATACAAGATGAATTTGACGATTACATAAAATTTTAATTGAAAAGTATTAAAAAATTGTTTTGTATTCATAACCTCAAAGTGTTTTTCCGTTTTTTTGTTAATTCAAACTTGAATTCGTTTCGCAATTTAATTGCTAGCGATTTTCAAGTTATATTTATAATTACCTAGTTTATTTATTTATTATTAATAAAGAAAAATTATTTTTAGAAAAACAACTACGCATTATGAGACTCTACGAGTTCCGGAAACTGCTTCCCAAAAGGATATTAAAGAAGCATTCATAAAACTTTCAAAGGAGGTAATTTTCTAAAATATTTATATATTTAATTGATATTTTAAATTCTATTTACAAATATAAACATTAGGAAAATTGTTAAATAAAAAAACAGCGTTTAAATACAAGATTACTAGAGTATAATTAGAAATTTGTAAAAAATAGTACCGCGTGTAGTAGTCGAAGAAAAATTCGAAAATATTTTCATTTTTCACATGTTTACATAATTCAGATGCACCCTGATATAAAAGGAAACAAGAGTCACGAAGATTTTGTGAAAATTAATGAAGCTTATAATGTTTTAAGTAAAGAAATTCCAAAACGTGATTACGATACGAATTTAAAATATGGATATTCTCCAAATTTTTCCTCGCATTATGCTTACGGATATAGACCACAATCTAGTGACTTTTACTACCGACCACCACATTTGTACGTAAAATTAAATTAATATTACTGCACAATTTTAATATTTTAATTAATATTTTTATATTTATAATTTTATAAAATTAATATTTTAATTAATTTATAATACTTTATTATAAAGGGTGTATTTTAATATTATAATTATTTATTACACATTAACAGTCGTAGCAAAGCAGAATATGATCAATATAGGAATTCTCAAGCAGAAGAAAAAGATGAGAGTACAAAAAGAAAAAGGCGAATAAATAATTTGTTTATTGCTTTTGTTTGTTTAGTAGTTACAACGATTAGTGGGATTATTCAAGTGATACGTGTAAATAAAACATTGTTAGACAGAGAGGAAATTTTTGCAAAAAGAACTTTACGCTTTACCAATGAATTAAATGAAATAGAAGAAAATGTAAGATCAAAAACAAAAGAACAAAAACTTCAAGATTTTCGTAAAAAAATAGAACTTGCAAAAAAGGACGAGTAAATTTTTTAAATTCTAAACAAATGAAACGATTTCAACTTTTATAATTAAAGGAACGTGTTAAATAAACAGTAGAAAAATAGAAATTGTTCATTATGTATTATTTGTTAAAAGAAATACATAGTACAAAATTTAACAATCTAAAATATTTCGAATCTGAGAAAAAATATCAATTTTCGTACAATACAAATTTTTTTTCTATACAATATAGTAATTTATTTTAAATAAAATTTATTTATTTAACTACATTTGAAATAATATTACGCTACTGTAGAATAATAATATATTTGTAAATAGCATTCGAAAAAATTTATATTTTTAAAAATTGTAAATAATTGAATTTTTTTGTATTCGTTAATGAATTTTTTTTTAATAAATATTTTACTTCATTACAAGTCAGTACAATTTTTTCATCCATTCGATTTGCACAACAAAAAAAGAAATAGCAACTAGAACGAGATTAATTGTGCATTTTTATATTAGTATAAAAATATCCCTATTTTGTTAATATTAATACATTTTTGTTTTTCGTTTATTGGAAGGAACTAAGTCTAACGAATCACATTTTGAATATTAAGCAAATTAATTATCTAACTGTATAATTGCGGACGAAAATTTATAATATCTTAATTTAACTAAGTAATCAGGAATTAATTACTTACTTTAGTTAATTTAATTGAATTTTATAACGTTTAAATGCATTGCGAATTTATTAAGTAATTTGAAAAATTTAATATTTTTCTAGATAGAGAAAATTTGTTTTCTATTTACGTAAGGCATTTTTTTTCGTGCTCAATGATATGTCTTTTGTCTCTTTTTTTTCTTCTATAAATAATTTTTCGAAATTGTCTGAAATTTTAGACTTTATCACTATTTTTCAACTTTCTTAACGTAGGTCACTTCTGATACATGAGGATGTAAAGGTGTAAAGATAGGATTACCAACTTCGTCCAAGTAATCAGCGTATTTAAGTTCATAAACCGGTTCGAAACCCAATCTCTGGCACAATTTGCCTGTTATCGCTGAAGAGCAATCAACTCGTATCAAATCATAGTTTCGCATTTTACAAATTTCCCTGAAAAATATAATTATAATTTTAGTTCTAGCTTTCTCAAATCAAACAGAAAATAAATGAAAATATAATTAAAAGAAAAAGTTGATGAACTCACATTGACTTTTCTATGAGAGCTTTCGCAATTCCTTTGCCCCTCCAACTGCTGTCAACCGAAATTATCCTGATTTCAAAGACTTTTTGATTTGGAAATTTGTCGTGTATATTCGATTTAACATCTACGTAGTGAAGGAACTTTAGAATTTTTTTAAACTTTGGATTTTTGCAATTCGTTATATAATCTGGCTCTTCATTGCTAGGAGGACCCATACTACCTGTAATTAATCAATTAATTATTTTCTAAAAGGAAAAATTCTGAAATAAAAAGTACGATTTTAATTAATTTATATCAAGGTAATAATTCATGACACACTTATCATCTAATCAGTGTAAATGTGTTACTAATTTGTTGCTACAAATCCTATGGAGTAGTAGAAGTGTATTATCTCACTCAGTGGTCAATAATTATTCACAAATCATTGATCAGCAAATGTACCGTTCAATATTAAATTATTCCGTAAATATGACGATTGATTAATCATTCACGGAGTAATTTAATATGCTTCCAAATTAGCTTTCTTTAGCTTTTTTTATTTACTAAAAAATTTATTAATATAAGTAGCAAAACTACTTTATCAGGGTTGCCACAAAAATTTAACTTCGTTTTCCCCTGATTTCCAGACAGAATTTTGACTTTTTCCCTGACCCTAAAAAAAATTCCAATTCACTCTAAAAATTATTAGATACCTACTTCAAAAAATGTTCTATTACATTTATTTAAGAATTTTTTTAATTGTAAAATTATTCAAAAACATCAATAGTTTTATTTAAAATAAATATTCAATCACTATTATTTTTATATTGGAATTAAAATGTTCAAAAATTTCAAATTCAAACCTTTTCAAATTGAACAGCTCATAAAAAATTCTATATAAAAATTAAATTACTTTCAATGCAATTTTTATATATTATATACGTCAAAAAAATCTTAAGAATTCAATTATTTTCAAAAAAGAATAAAATTCTTGTGATGAATTCAATTATTTTTAATATTTATTTAATTTTAATAAAATTCATTAAAGAAATTAAATTATTTTCGAAACAACTTTAATTGAATTTCTCGAGAAAATTTCATTATTTTCAAATATTTCTATAAAATTCTTCATAACAATTTAATTATTTCTTGAAGTTTTAATAAATTCTTCGAAACAATTCAATTTAATTCAATTATTTTTATAAATAGTAACATTCTTCGCAAAAATTCAATTATTTTTATAAATAGTAAAATCCTTTGCAGGAATTAAATTATTTTCAATACAATTTTACTAAAATTTTTCTTCATAAAATCCAATTGCTTTAAAAATTTTCAATTAAAATTATTAAAGAAACTCCATTAGTTCCAAAAAATTCAAAGAAAGGAAGGAATTCTATTATTATCAAATTTTTTGATAAAATTCTTTGCAACAATTGGATGATTTTTAATACATTAATTTTAAAATTGAAAATATTTGAAAAGAAAAATTATAAAAAAGTTAAGAAACAAAAAAATAAATAACATGTAACTTTAAACTGCGAACAGATTACCGGAACATGTAGTTTATTATTATTAATAATTAATTTTACTGAAATTTATTTTATTAAAGAATTTGAAAACAGTTTTTTTAAATAATTGAAAACTGTTTGAAGAATTTTATTAAAATTTTTTAAATTCCTTAAAACAATTGATTTTATGGGGAGATTTTTTGTTTTGACTTTTGATCAAGATAATTGAATTCTTTTGCAGAATTACTGCTACTTCTGCGACGAATTAAAAGTTATTTATGAAAATATTTTAATTATTTCAACGAATTTTATTATTTTATTGAATAATTAAATGTTTTTTAAAATTGAATTCTTTCGTCAAGTTTTAATAATATTTTTAATAATTGCATTTTTCGAGTAATTTATTTAAAATTGTATTGAAAATATTTGAAATTCTGCGATAAAAATAATTGAATTTCTAAATTAAATTTTATTATTTATGAAAATAATTGAATGTTTTTGTAGAATTGTATCAAACATTTTTTTAATAATTAAATTTTTTGATAAATTTTATGAAAATAGTAAATATTGAAAATCATTGAATTACGAAAAACTTGTGAAAATAATTGAAATTTTGCAAAGAATTTTATTTAAACTTGAAAATAATTGAATATTTGGCGAAAAATTTTTCTATTTATAAAGAGAATGGAATTCTTGACGCAATATTCCTTGAAAAATTTTTAAAATAATTGAATTTCTTCGAAGAATTTTAGAACTTTTGAAAAGAATTGAATTCTTGTGATGAATATTTTTATTTACGAAAATAATTGAATTTTGACAAGAATTTTTTTTTAAATTCCTAAAAATAATTGAATTTTTGTAAAGAATTTTGTTATTTATCAAGATAATTGCGTTAAAACTTTTGAAATAATTAAATAATATTAAAAAATTCATTCTTGTCAGAAATGAAAATTTTTTTTGAAAATTTTGTATTAGATTTAATGGGTTTAATAGTAGTTTTATAGTTTATAAGGCAAACAAAAATTTAGAATTTTTTTATGAATTCTAAAAATTTAATTTTTTCCAGTACTTTTAATAAAAATCCCTGACTTTTCCCTGATTTCCCTAAATTCCCTGATTATTGTCAAAATTCTAGGAGAATTAATTTCACAAATTAATTGTCAAACTTTTGTCATGACAATTTCAGCTGTAAAATTAGAAAAAGGTCTAATTACCATTTAGTATAACACCTATGATTGTTCCACTACTGGAGACTGCCATTAGACTTAAATCCTCATTCATGGCAGATAAACTATAATCCTCGAGTTCATAGCAAGTGCTATTTTCACCTTCAGGAATTAATTTAATTGTATAATTTAGCGGTTCATCTCTGAAGAAAAATTTTCTCAAAAAATTCAAAACTCGTTCTCTATCCTCCTTTCTGACTCCTTGGATATGATAATCCATCCTATGATCCAGGTCGTCGGCAGCGTCTGCCAACTGAAAATAGAAAAAAAAGAATTTTTATTACGAAAGATATAATTTCTATAATTTATTCTATTTATATTCAGACGAGGAAACATTCGAAATAGAATAGAATAATTGACCAATTCGAAACTCTAATATACAGGTATAATTATTATTACCTTCAAAATTCCAAACAGTTCTAATTTTATTTTTCGTTAATTTTTTTTAACTTAATTTTTCGAAAACAATTGCGAAATTATTTTGTCGACAATATTTTAATTCGAAATATTCATTTTTCTATTTATACATTGTAATGAAAACATTTATAATCTTGTCTCTCTCGAGGGCTCATTAATTTTAAATATACTTTTCTGATGACAAATTGACAAAAACAAAGGTAATGAACCTTTACCGAAGCATAAAGTATACTGAGGATAGAAATGAATCTAAACACAAATTCAGTTTTAGAACATATGGTCGCGAAACTATAATTAGAATTTTCCAACTAACAAAACTCTCACGAAAGCTCGTCGATAAGCTTCTGGGGCAAACACTAAATCTAAATTCTTATCAGATTCATTCACAAGAGTCTTAATGAAGAGCGTAATGCATTATATACTATAAAGTGCAAGGAGAAATTTTATTTTTAAATTAGATTTAATAATTTAAATTAATACTTTCTTTTTCAACAATAAATTCAAGGAAAAAGTGTTTTAATTAAAATCTAATTAATTAAAACACTTTTCCCTTGAACTTTTTGTTTCGCACTTGAATTCAGAAATATTAAAAATTTTTACTAAGGGATTTTTTCAAATTCAATGTTTTTCTCCAAAAATGTTAATTTTTATTATTATTATTATTAATAGTAACAATAATAAAAATAAATTTAATACTTATTTAACAAATTCATTTTATAGTCATCTGCGCAATTACAAGTTTTTATCTCTCAGAATGATAACTAAATTAGAATACATACCAAACTTTGACAATTTTCACAATAGGGTGATGGAACCATTTGTCGAGGAAATAGTGAGGTTCAACATTTACACATTTTTTAATCACAATCAAAACCATCCATGTAAATTAAAAAATATAATTTAAGTAAGAGGAGTATCTAAGCTTGTATACTTGATAAAATTTCGTTAAAAAAAATAAATTATATATTAAATAATTAATATAAAAGAAATTGTTTGTAAAATACCATTTGTCGAGGCTCAGATACCAATTGCTCGATTTCTTGACCCAGTTGTTTTTTTTTTGTCACATAATAGAAATTTAAAAAAAACTGTATATATAACAAATTTAATTACTCTAAATATAATTTTACAAAATTTCATTCCTCTGATTTCGTGAGTAATGCATATAAAATTATTTTTTTTAAGAAAAACAATTTAACATTACAAAATAAAACATTTTTTTATGAATAACTATATTAATTGGGAATATTGTTATATTATTTTACGTATTTAATATAATTTACTATTTATAGACATAAATAGTCACCAAGACTCGAAAACTGGCGTCGACTCGACAACTGGTTCCTTCACCCTATTATGATAAACTAAGTGGAAAAAAACAAAAGCGAAGAGACAAAAGTAAATAAAATAGGTAGTAAAAAGTAAATAAAAAGAATGAAATTAATAAAAATAGACAGAAGGAAAAAATGTAAATAATGCTTTATACAATGTAAATATTTTACTAATATTTTTAAAAATATTTCCTGTTTCTTTTCAATATCGAAAAAAAATAATTCTGCATTTATAAATTTTTAACGATCTGAAAGGTAAACGTTTTTAAAAAAAATCGGCACGTGTTGAAAATTTAAAAATAGTACAATGAATTTAATTAATTCAAATTGATGCATAGAAAATTTGCATACAAAAAATTCATAAAGGAATATATAATTTCTATAGTTTATTAAAAGATTTATTGTTTATTAAAGAACTACAATTAACAATTTACTTTTAATTCTACTTTTCTATTATTGTTTTATTGCTCAAATGATAAATTTACAAAAAAAAATAGGAAATATTAAAATATATTAAATTATTATTGTAATTATTATTAATTATAATTATTGAATTATATATTTATTTATATTGTGATAAATATAAAATATTAAAATTGCATTACTTTTTCTTGCTCTAAAAATAGAGTCCCATTAATTTGAGTTAAAAATTTTCTCAATGAATTTACCGAGTGCAAGTGCAAGAAATTGTGAAATATAAATTTGCACTTGTCATGATAATGTATTTTCTCTTTTAGTGAGACTATTATTGTGTCAGATTTATTGATATTGTTACTGATTACGTCGCAGTAAAATCATCTCTTTACAGAATACAATTTATTTATCCCTGTACTTTATAGATTTTATCGAATTGTATTTTCGTGGAAAAATGAATTAAATTTTTACGTATATTGAAACAATTTTTCAAAATAAATTTTCTTTTTAAAAAAGATAAATTAATGTTTCAATTTTTTTAAAAGTGAAAAATTTATTTCGCTAGAAAAAAGAAACTCGTCGTGTCTGTTTACTCATACTGAAATTAGAAATTTATCAATGAAACAAAATTTTTTAATGAATGAATAAACAAAGAAATTAGAAACAAAAGTAGAACAGTAAAATAGCCTTGATATGAAATTATATGAAGAAGTGTTTACAACTTTCAGACACGTAAAATCCAAAGAAATAATAAGTTCAATTAAAAACATCTTAAATCGATGATTGCTGATTATTCAATCGCATTTTTTTTTTTGAGTTACATTTATTATTATTTACATGCAACAAATCATGATGAATTCATATTTTGTGCATATCATTTTTTTTTTTTGCAAAAAGAAAACAAAATTTACATTTTTTTTAATTAAAGACTTCATTTTTTAATCTGAATATAATTGAAGTTCTTTTATTTTTATCTTCGCACAAATACGGTTTTCATCATATAATCTCATCACAATATTAATAACGTCAATATTATTAAATACTTGACCAATTGTTTTTTTCCCCGTCATTATGAATACATACACGGTAATGGTTTTTATTTTTATGCAAATTAAATACATAAATGAAATGACACATATAGAATCTTTTCCGGTATTTTAAATTCATATTTTATAATAATTAATTACGCAACTAAAACGGGAAATAGATTTCAATGAGAAAAAAAACAGTATTTCTAACAATGTGTTTTAAAAATTCTTTTATTATTCAGTCGAAAAAATTCCCTTTCTCTTTTTTTTCCTTTGTAAGATCATTTTTTAAATCTTCTCTTTTTTGGTTTAGTATTTTATATAATTTTATTGAATCGAATTTTTATTTAAATTTAATTTATTTAAATCTTAAATATTATATTTTGTAAAATACTTTATTTTTGTAAATTTCTATTTGAATTTATTAAATTTATATTTGTTAAAATTTTTATTTAAATTTTTGTATCCCAATAAGATAGAAATATTAAAAATACTTAATTTTAAGAAGTGTGAAATTATTTATTTTGATTGTGAATTTTTTTTTAATAATTATAAATCTTGAATATTTATCCTTAACAATTTTGTTAATTTTTCTAAAACAAAAATATTTCTTTTCCCCTTTAAAAAATTTTTTTTTCATTAAATTGTCAATCAATTTTCAATATATTTCGAAACTTTAATTTTAATTGTAAAATTATTTTTTAATATTTATAAATTTTGAATGTTTATCCTCAACTATTTTGATATTTTTGTCCGAAAAAAAAATTTTTTCTTCTCCCCCTTAAAAGATTTTTTTTTCATTAAATTTTCAATAAATTTCAAAACTGAATTTTAATTGTAAAATCATTTTTGAATATTTATAAGTTTTTAATGTTTATTCCAAAAAAACCAAACTTTATTTTTGAATAAATTTTCAATAAATTTTGAATTTTCAACACTTAATTTGAATATTTAGTAAAATTATTTTTAACAATTACTGATTTTGAATGTTTATCACAAAAAAAATTTTTGTTTTCAATTAATTTTGAATAAATTTCAAAACTGAATTTTAATTGTAAAATTATTTTTTGAATATTTATAGGTTTTTAATGTTTATTCGAAAAAAACTTTCTTTTTCAATAAATTTTGAATTTTCAACACTTAATTTGAATAGTAAAATTATTTTTAACAATTACTAATTTCGAATGTTTATCACAAACAAAAATTTTTGTTTTCAATTAATTTTGAATAAATTTCAAAACTGAATTTTAATTGTAAAATTATTTTTTGAATATTTATAGGTTTTTAATGTTTATTCGAAAAAAAACTTTCTTTTTCAATAAATTTTAAATTTTCAACACTTAATTTGAATAGTAAAATTATTTTTAACAATTACTAATTTCGAATGTTTATCACAAAAAAAATTTTTTTTTTCAATTAATTTTGAATAAATTTCAAAACAGAATTTTAATTGTAAAATTATTTTTTGAATATTTATAGGTTTTTAATGTTTATTCGAAAAAAAACTTTCTTTTTCAATAAATTTTGAATTTTCAACACTTAATTTGAATAGTAAAATTATTTTTAACAATTACTAATTTCGAATGTTTATCACAAACAAAAAATTTTTTTTTCAATAAATTTTCAATCAATTTTGAATAAATTTCAGCACTTAATTTGAAAATTGATTTTCTAATATTTAATTATAGATTTTGACTGTTTATCCTTAACAGTTTAGTTATTTTTATCCGAAACAAAAAATTTTCTTTTCTTTATAAATCTTCAAGTAATTTTTAAATAAATTTCAAAACTTAATCTTACCGTATATCGGCTCATTTTTGGTCCATCTTTTATAAAAGTGGTTTTCGACATTTCGCTGTCGACTAAGCTGATATTTTTTAATTTCGATGCTAATTTCGCTTCCATGATGTTTAATTAAATTTTTTTTTCAAAAAACACTAGAGTATTGTTATTATAAAATGAGTCTATTTCATGTGTGAAAAAGTTCCTTTACACTGGCATCAACATTCCCTAATTATTTTTTTTTTTTTGTGAATGCAGAACAAAATTATCTTAATGAATACACTTGTATCGCAAATCTCACAATGCAACAAGTACTTGTCGATTTGTTTATTTTTTTTTCACTGAACGACTTTTCTATAGCGTCGTCGACGTGATAGTTTTACACTGAGCGTTCTGATAGGTCTTCGTCAGGCTTATAAAGGTTCCTACCAAGCAAAAGCCATTCTTTCAGGTTCAAGGATATCTCATTAATTTTTTGACTTATTCACTTTTTCCTATGGCAATTACATAAGCCACTAACTAATTTCGATTTTTTGGAAATCCGAAATATAAAAATTAAATGAAATTCAAATTTTGTCTCTGAAACAGAAAAAAAAATTTTTTAAAACTCAAAATAAATTTTAATTTGATTTTTGATAGTGAAATTATAAATTCAATCTAATTTTGATTAATTGGATCAATTTTGCAAATTCGGATTAAATTGGATTTTTAGAACAAAATTTGAAATCTAGTTTTTAGCTTTATTTACAAAAAAGAAAAAATAATTAATTATCGGTTGAAATTCAAATAAAAAAATTGAAATAAAAAATATCTTGTAAATTAAATAAATTTGAATAAATGAATAAACAAATAAACAAAAAGTCAAATAAAGAACAGATAAAATTATGCGCAATTTTACAAACTTAAAAATTAGTTTAAAAATTTACTTTTGAATTTAAAAAAGTCTGAACTAATTTTCTTTCCGCTGAGCTATGTATTGAATTGTCGACAATATTTAAATTTCATAACAGATTTTTTACTTCTCGTAAAAGAGAACTTTTTAATGTAGATGATGAAGAAAAATTATTCACAGAAAGGGGTGTAAAAAGCGAATTGCAGACAACGCGAGAGGACGAACGAATCCAGACTGGGAATTGTTGAAATAAAGTAGGTTAAATTAAACTTTGTTTATGTATATCTGCCTTGACACTTTTCTCGCGTTTCGACTTATATGAGTTATGAGATATGTGATACGAGTAATCATCAGGAACAGAATTATAAATTTTTCGTTATTTGCGATTTAATAAAATGCGCTTACACTTTAAGCAAAAAAAAAAAAAAAAATCACCTACACAATTTCAAGTACAAACTCATATCGAAATTATCTCAAGTTGCATAAAATATGAATATTAATTTCATTAATTAAATAATTACGCAGTAATTATTGTAATAATATTTAATAATTTATTCATAGTTAGTAATTACTATTTAATAATTAATATTTGTAATATATTTTGTAATATATTTAGTAATTAATATTTAATAATTATATTTAGTAACTAATATTTAATAATTTAAATTTAGTAATTAATATTTAATAAATATTTTCAGTAATTAATTACAGTTGACAATAAATTATTTTCAGTAATCAATTATTGATATTATTGATTTAGAAATTAATATTTAAAAATATGATTTAATTAAATTAGGATATTAAAATTTTATTTTTATAACAAATTTAATTTTAACAATTCTATTCAATGAAAAAAAATGTTAAAAGTCATTGGGATTATATTCATAAGCTTGGGAATGATTAATGGGAAATTGAAAATATCTTCGGAAAGAAGAAATAAAAAAACATTTTTAATAATGAAAATAGTAATTAAAGAACGTCTAGTTTGTGATCTTTGCTCTGATACTTTTCTGTCACTGCAGTGAATAAAAATGATATTTGTCTCTCCTATTCACATAATTTATAAATTACTATATATGAACAATTTGCAAGTGTAAAGTACTTTATACCACATTATATTTCATTGAAACAGGGATCTATGGCCTAGAATAAAATTGATATTATGTAACTTTTATAAACCAGTTATTTGCAATAAAATTCATATCAATAGCATATCATTGACATTTGAGCCTTTTTGACTTTCAAAGTTTAAAGAAATTTTCAGTACACTTTTAAAAAAAAAATTAATTATGTAGAAGAGAATCAAAGTAATTGCAATTAGTTTCAAATTACACATTTTGATCTCAGTGTTCTTTTAATTAAAATTTTTGATTTTAGTGTCCTTTTGATTAAAATTTAATTTTCATTAAACGTATAAAGCAAAACGGTTTGCATTCTCCTATAAATTAAGATAAAAATGAATTTGCGATAATTTGTTCGTATCGATCTGATTTTATCATTACATGGAATAACATTAGCTGCGCTAATAATATAAATGTGTAGATATATAATTATATAGATATATGTATATATTGTCAGCGGGTCATTTACTTATGTTCCGCGTGATGTCGAATCGACACAATCACAGGAGAATGTTTTAAATACTATCAGGGGAATGTCCTCCATTATTCTTTGTGAAGGTTAATCGTGATCGATGCGATCATTTATATATTGAATCGAAAGAATAAAACATCTTTAACAGTCACCCTTGAACCCATAAAAATCTTCTTTTAAAATGATTTTGATTTCTGAAACAGAGCAATTTATATTTACTTCCATTAAAATTAAATGCTCACCATTCATAATTAAAATTGTCAACCTAATTAAAATAGCCAACTTCATTAAAATATTTACAAATTTAATTCTTTATTCATTGTTATTATTTGCAAACTAGCAGTTTCTTTCTTTATTCTAAATTGAAAAATTTCTTTTTAATTCAATTTTTGCAACATTAAAAAAAAATAATTACGATTTTAAAGAATATAGTATTTAGGAAAATAGCTCGCATGTAATTTTAAGACAGACGTTTATTTCCTGTTTTAAAATTCAAATTCTTTTCGTTTACTTATTTGACGAGTGATTTACGAACTGGCTCGAATTGTTTCGACAATGGTCTAACTGCGATTATCGGGGATGATTCTTTATCGTTGAGAAAAATATTCCTAATCATAAAGTCAATAAATAACTACTTCGATATTTCATGATCATAATATATAATCGCATTGTTCTTTATAATCCTTGAAAGTTGTAAACGTCAATTGTCGATACATGTAACATATTTCTTCAGCATTTATGCTAAAGACGTACCTCTGTGCGTGTAAAAATAATCTTTTGTCATGAAAATCGATTTTTCTCTAAAAAAAAAAAAAAACAAAAAGAAAATTAGGCAGTAGTGATCAATCATAAAACTTTATCCATATCAATGATATATTCATACAATCAATTCAATACCAAATCTATAAAAAATATCGAAAAAAGTCTAAGTCATCATGAATTTATCAGAAACTATATATTTCCCTTGACAACACTTACGTGAAATAACAAATTAAAAAAATAATTTGCAAAAAAAAATTATTAGTCAATCGTCTAACAATTTTATCGATTTAGTCACTATTTTATTTGAATGCACTAATGTGAAAACAATGTCTATACTTGAGATATAAAATAATACAACTCGTTTTATTGTTACCTATTACAAAACACGGATCTTCGTGTGATAACCAAGGACCGATAAACAAATTCTCGTGTAAAATCATTTTTTCTCTCTCTTTCTCTCTCTGTGTCTCTTTAAGCATTTGAGATTATATTTTTGTTTTTAAATTTTAAGACGTAGCTATAATAGAAATTTTTTCACTTCCTAGCGGAATTGAACGAAAAAATATTCATTACATCAGCATTTTTCATTTATTGTCCAAAAAGAACGGTAATAATAATCTATTCAAGTTTTTTTTCCCCTCAATACTTATGAAACCTTGATGTGATTCATAGTACTTTTAGAATGGATTTCAATATCAAATGACAAGGTTATTTATGCGAAGAAAAAATTACAGATACATAATAAATTAATTTGATTTTGATTTGCGATAATTTTTCCTCAATTCTTCATTTTTGAATATTTTCTTATTTAATTTTACCATTTCGGTAATAATTATCAACAATTATGATGAAAATAATTATAAATTCTCAAAATTAAAATTTGTATCAAAAATGAAAAAGAAAAACTAGAAAAAAAATCAGAATTTTGTTTTCAAATTTTACTATTTCGATAATTGTATAGTAGGTAAATACAATATTATATTTTTCAATTAAAATTGTATGAAAAATAGAAGAGAATAAAAAATAGAAAAGAAGAGAAAAAATATAGAAGATAAAAATTAAAAATTATATTAAATACAAGAAGATCACGTTTGATGTGTGTGATAAAAAATTGACAGTATGATAAAATTATGTGAGAAAAAGATCATTTTCCTTGGATTGAGAGAGGCTCGACTGGAGTTATTATAATTTGTGAAGGTAGGTAAAACGTTCTTGAATGGCCGATAGATATAGAAGGCGGAGCCAATGGAAAAAATTAATATCCAATGGGATATGACGATTATTTAAATATTAAAAAAAATTATTAAGTAGGTGGTGCACGTCACAGTTAATTAATTATTTCTAAACGTCTCCTATCGTTTAAAAAAAATCGTTCCTTCCATATATATAATATTATTTTAATTTCAACATATTCAAGATCAAAATTATTTTTCAAATCAAATTCTACACCAGGAAGGAAGGTGAAAATAATCTTTCTCTAAATTTACATTATTCAGTTCAAAAATTGGCTTCCGATTTTGGTTTCAAATTTCCGTATTTTATGGTTTCAGCTTTAGTCCCCGATGCAACGGTGAATTGCAAATATCTAATTTTCAAACAAGCTTTGCTTAAATTTTTTTTATGTAGACTATCCGCAAATATTTATAATCACATTTTAACTTATATTTAGAGAGTTTTTTACTAATTTACTTTTTTTTTAATAGTGAAATATTAAAATTATTGAATTTTTTATATTTGAGTTTTTAATTTTCAAAAATAAGTACTCACGATTAAAAGATGTTTCAAGAGACGAAATAAATTCTTACTGAACACATTTTACTAAAACTTGTTTCATGACTGAAAGATAAAAAAGAGAATCTTTTTTACGAATCAAATGGTTACTTGTTTATCAATCGAGTATTTTTAAGGAAAATTTTATTATTAACGAAAATTCTGCTCATTAATTGTTGAGGGAATTATTAATTAGTGAATCAATTATTAGCGTTGTGTTAACAGCAGTAAAATTCGTAAATTATAACGAAATTGGAATTAGAATTATAATTAATAATTATAACTACAAAACCTAGAGAAAAATTTTATTTTAATCAAATATAATTTATCTGAACCGAATAAAATTTAATTTGAACCAAATAAAATTTATTTTCTTTATTTCATTTATCTCAGAATCTACTAAATTATTTATTTGGTTTAAATAAAAATTTTATTCGCCACAAATTAAATTTTTATTTGAACCGAATAAAATTTAATTCGAACCATAAAAAATTTAGTAGTTTGAACCAAATAAGATTTTTTTATTTATCTCAGTCTACTGAATTATTTATTTCTTTTAAGTAAAACGAATGAAATTTAATTCGAACCGAAAAAAATTTAATCTGAACCAAATAAAATTTAATTCGAACCGAATAAAATTCAATTTGATAGGCTCTAAGCCAAATATAATTTTTTATGAATGTAATTACAATATACAAATTATAAATTTCTAATTCTACTATACCTCAAAAATAAAAATCTAATCTCACTACAGAAATTACAATTTTTCAATTAGCCACATATTTACTAATTAATTTTTCTCTAGACACTGCAAAAAAAGATCGAAAAAGTAACGAAGAACCTATTATAAAATTAAATTACAATCTCACTACAGGAATTAGAAATTATCAATTAGCAAAATATTTACTAATTTAGTTTTTTTTACCAGAAACTGCAGAGAAAGAGGGGAAAAGTAATGAAGAACCTAATATAAAAATCGCTGATTAGTTTTTACCTAACATTTGATGAAAAATAAAATCTCTTCCGTTTTCTTTTTGGAAAAGGGTCACTTTCGGTGGTCCCTCTTTTGGCACTGTTGATATTGCACTGACAGTATAAAGCTGTG